CTATTTGTTCAAACGAACCTGTTGTAGATTTGGCCAAATATTCTAAGTTATCTAAATTAGTACGAGTTACTGCTACAGTGTTTAAGTTTATAAATAAGTCAAAGCATTCTGACGCTGGTCCCAAACATTCTGCAAAGACCTACCTCTTCAAATTAATGCAAAAACAATCTTTTGATAGGGAAATACAATATCTTGAGAATTGTCTAGGCAAAGAGACTCCAAGTTTAGTTAAGGATTTAAACTTATTCATCGATAAAGAAGGATTTATTCGTTCTAATGGAAGAATTGCCAAAGCGGATATGTATCAGTTTGAAATTATTTATCCTATATTGCTGTCTAGAAGTTAACCTTTAACTAATCTCATTATCTTTGGTTGCTAAGATGTGAACATCTGGGCATTGCTGAGATAATCCGCGTTTTGGTTAGCTAAGGCTTGGTAGACTATAAAGAAATGCATTTCTAGCTGTTACCTCTGTAAAAAGAATAATGCTTTTGCATTATACTTCCCTAAGCTTACTAACCTACCTAAGCATGGTGTTAACTTGGTTCAGCCCTACTTGCACACTGGAATAGACTTTACTGGGCATGTATGGTTTGGTAGTGGCTAGGGAGCGAAAAAGATGTACATATTAATTTTTATTTGTATGAACATCCGGGCATTTCTGCCCACATTTATAGTGATAATGCTCGGTCATTCGTTGCGGGTTGCAATTTTGTGAATGAATTTCTGACTTCCAGTGAGTTCGTAGACATATTTGGTGTATTTAACACCAAACACCTTACAATTCCTCTGTACTCTGTTTGGATGGGCAGTGTGTGAGAATGTATGATTAAAACTATCAAGTTATGTCTGTGTAAGACCATTGATAGATTTCAGGTCGACTATTTTGAATTACTTACTACTCTTACAGACATACAAAGAGCAATAAATTCCAGACCCCTTACTTGTCGTTGCTCCTCTGATTCTGATCTACAGATAATTACTCCAAACTTCTTCCTTTGTCCTTATGTAAATGATAGTTTGATGCTCAATGTAAGTGAAGAAAGGACGGTATGCTCGGATCCCCCAGCTAGAACTGATATTGCCAAGGCTATAGAAACTAGAGATTATTTGTTAAATGATTTACGGTATCAGGAATATCTCTTGAGGGCACAGTGCAAGGATTTGTATGATAGGAATTTTGAAAATATGATTAAGATTGATGATGTACTACTCATCAAAAATCCTACGAAATCCATACCTTATTGGTCTTTGGGTGGTGATTATGATAACATTCGCTCGGTTGAGATTAAGTATTCACTCAAGCACTTCTACACGTTGGAGTTATCCATCGCTCATAGCCACAATCCAAAAGCACCTCCTAATGATTTGGACAGAGTCTCCTGTCCGGACGATTCTGCCATTACCCCTACTGATCAAAACCCTTCTCCTGCTAATAGACCCAAAAGATTATCGTCAAAAAATCCAAAGGGATCTAATCCTAATGATCCATATGTGTGGTACTATGGCTACAGCCTGCGTCCTGGGCATGATGTTAAACTGCACCAGCGTCTTGGGTATTTCTAATTGCTCTGGTAGTAACATAAACATCGATTTACTAGATATTATTTTGGAGATTTGTACACTAGGACCTCTGAAATCAGAGAATTTTAAGCTGGTTGTGGTATTGACTCCTCGATTCTCGGCCCACGAAGCCATAGAATTTGGGCTCTGAATATGTTATAAAATTAATTATAAACTTACATTTTAATGTATTTATTCTTTTGACGGAGTTAGCTCCTTCTTAATTCCCTAATTGTCACTAGGGGTCGCTCTCCTTACACTATAAATACTGGGCGACTTCTTGCCTCGTTCTCTTTTTCATTTCTTCATTTCAGCGGACAAATTTAAAAATGTAATCTCTTGTAGAGATCAGCGTTTTGCCCACTTCTGGGAAAACGCCATTAAACACACATACACGTACGTACGAACATTCGCCAAAGAACAAACTCTTTACGTCCACACACAAACACAAATGTTAATGTCTTTGTCACTTGTAAATTTGTTGTTTAATACATATATTTGTTGACATATATACATATCGGTCTTGTTTGTTTTCTTTACATCTTCGGTTGGATTCAACTTGAGTCCGCCATTTTCTTGTATTTGGACCTTCTTCTAGCAGGAAATAAACAACACGTGTCCCTAATTCAACAACTTGCAAACCACCCGGTCCTCTACACTTTTCTCTGGTAATAGGTTAGATTACTTAAACTGAAACTTACGCGTTGTCAGTAACTTCCCTTTTATAAAAATTCGGAAAATGTACTTGCTCGTTGAAAAAAGTTTAAAAATTTTGATTAAATTTGAATCATAGGATTCCGTACACCCTAAAGCCTCCAGAATCATAGAATTCCAGGCTGGTATTGTTTCCTCGTTTTAGGCCCCCGAAGTCGAAGAACTTTGAGCTTCAAATATGTAATTAACTTGATTTACTCTTTTAAAATAAGTTTAGTAGTAAAATTACATTATTATTTCTATATTTTTCCCATGTGGGATTGGTAAGATTTATTCATGAAAAATTAAACCTTACGCCTTCTGTAAGAATTTTCTAAAACGTTTCTGAAATAAATATATTTCCAAATTAATTGGTTTTAATTGGATTAATTCATCCATATCTTTTTCCGTGTGAGCATATTTGGGGTGGAAAATGATAATTTGTTCCCGCAACTGAAGTTTATTGCACTTTTCTCTGCGAGGAAAGAATTTAATTTGAGAACCACTACTACAATGTTTTACAAGTTCAGGTTCTGGCCTCTTTTCTGATCTTTGCCCCAACTTTCACCCCTACTTTCAAATCCGATTCCCAAAACCTTAATCCTTATCAGAGATAAATATATATATATATTCTAATGAACGAGAGAGCAGGAAAATATAAAAAGGAATTTGACACCCCCCAACCCCACCTTTTGCCCTGACCATGGTGCCATAAAGTCGGGGAGTATCACTTACTACTAGTCGGACCCTTGCTTCAAAAACGGCTCCCAAACGTTTGCTTTTTATCAGATATAAGAATATATTTTCTGTCGAATGAGAGGGCCGTGAAAGTGTATAGCAATTTTAGATGGAAGAGTTCCCAATATTTCTGAGCCTAATTTCTAATCTCGATAAATATAGAGAATATGCACCGCTTTGGCAGTGAGTACTTGACATCGTCTGTGATAACATCAGGTCGGCGATAGAACATCAGTCATCTTCCGATCCTGTTTCAAGGAAGAAATCTATATGCTGGGCTCTAAAGACAAAACGTCGGCGCTCTACTAAAAACTAATCGAGATATGCTTTCGTGAACCTAGAAATTCCTGTCGTGGGCCTACGAACCCACTCAACTACTAACTACGGACCTTCTGGTTGTTTTCCCCCTCAACAAGAGCTCTGAAGAAAATTATGTGAGTGTTAACCCCTTAAGAACAATTTAGTTGCTTAAAGAACTTTTAGGCCCTCAGAGAAATATTTTTGAGCAAGCCTTTATATGAACACTTTTGCTTCCTTTAAGTTAAAGGAATTTTCTTCTCCTTTTCTTTCTCTCATATTTTGTGTATATCCCTTTACCTTTTTTGTGTATGTAAATAAACATTTTCTTCTTCTATTGTTACACCCCGAGCAAGAGTTTGAGTCTTTATTCTTCCGCCAAAAAGAAAGAATTGTCCGCTGTAAACTTTCAAGCCATTGTTGTTTTTATTGTTTCTGTCTTCTTTAATTTTTTTTAAAGATTGAATAAAAAATTATTTTCCAAAAGTAAATTACTTTTCTGTATCTTAGTCTCGGGTTGGGGCGGAGATTCTTGCATCGGCCAGGCCTGGACTAATTCAAGATATTTTGTTTGAAATTTTTTTTTGTAAAGTAAAGTAAACAAAAGAACAATATATATAATTAAGCTTTGTTTGTAAAATCTGCAATAATGAATGAATAATAAAAAGTTAAAAATAATTACATACAAAAAAATACGGAAATAGAAGATTTCAAGAGAATAGAAAATTTAAAAATACATATAGATTTTTTCAAGTTATCAGCAGAATTAAAAAGTAAAATCGAACGGAAATAACAATTATACTTGTTGGTTTTTTACTTTTTAATTCTGAGAATTTCAAAACGCTTACATGACTAAAAATGGATTCGAGTGCAATTATTACGTATTTTTAATTTTAAAATATCTTCGCAAATACAAATCATACGATGATCATTTTTTGCAAAAAGGTGGGTTGGATCATACTGAGTGTATATTTTGTCGTTAATTATTGTATCGGATCATATCTTGTGGAATTTGGTAATAGCTTGAGAAAAAATAAATTTAAAAAAATATCTGACGATATGTTGCTCTCAGTAGGACTACAAATAAGCAGACGCTGAAATTACACATTGAATCTACAGACTATCAAGGATTATTCAAACCTTCCAAAGTTTATACAAAAAATGTTGTGCTTTTGAAACTTTTGTAGTAAACATAATTCTGGTTATAAATATGTAACAAGGATAATATACGGATATTTTTCTTTTTACATTGTTGTACACTTCAATTATTAGAAACGGCCTAATTTAAATTACAAAATTGTACTTGGACTAAACGAAAATTACTTAAATTCTTTCTTGCCGTCAATTTTGTCAGGACGGGTACACTAATTTAAAATAAAATCCTAATTATTTTGTATTTTATTTTGATCTTATTAGCTTCTGTGAGTAATTTTCTGTGATAACCTATCATGAAAATAACATGAAATAAAAAAAAATTATCAGCATTTCATCAGACAAAATAAATTTAATTATCAGAATTTCATCATACCAACCAATTTTAAATTATCAGAAATTTCATCAGGCAAAAGAATTCTAAATTATCAGAATTTCATCAGCCAAAAGAAATGTAAGCCATATTGCTATGTTTCGTTCCGGAAATACTGTACTTAAATCCACTATTTTAACCTAACCTAAAATTTACATTACATTGTGCACGTGGTACAGCAATATGGCAGACGAGGAGAAAATTAGTAAGAAGTGAGTCTTTAAAAATCGCGTTATTTGTTTAAAACTTGCAAAATTTCTCATTTATTTTCGTAATACATATATATTCTGTTCTTATGTATTTTACCAATGCTTATTTTATGTTAAAGCAAGTTTAAATATGTCACTGGAAAAGATTCTGAAAGTGCACCTTTCTTTTTCCTTTTGGTTCCCGGTAAAAAGAATTTTTTTATTTCAATTTCTCTATTCATTTTTTTTTTCATGTATGTATGTATTGTTTTGAAGTGTCGCATGTTTAAGCCAGTATTAAGTTCATTCAGAAATAAAATTGAAATATCAAAATAATACTTTGTTTTAAGTTTTTCCTTTTAACTTTTTTAATTTAAAAAAAATATTTTAAAGTTCATAATTGTTTTTTCTTTTTAAATTTAATTTTATCTTTCGGCCAATCACCAAGATAAGCTATAGATTTTTGTTGATTAATCTGTTTAACCTTAGTTACCCAGTATGTGAAAATAAATTATCGAACGTTTGTAAATTTGCTTTGAAAAAAAAATGTGCCGGCCTGTAAGCAAAAGAATCGTTGTTTGCTTTTACTTACTTAATTAATTAATTTAATAATCGAATTCCGATCAAATACTTTTCTTTTTTGTTTAAAGGAAAACCGTGGAATTCATAAATTTGTATTGTTAAAAACTACATATTAATTTTGAACTCAACGCGATATCACATCTAGCCAAAATTTAAGGATCAATTTTTTTTATTTTACAATTTTCGCGTGGGGCAGATATACATACATTGTTCTAATTTAAAATTTAACATTGTTTTTTGTCTACGTGTCTTTAATAAATATGTAAACGAATCTTGTGAAAGAAACTTAGCGACTGTTGAGCAAAATTGTTCTTTGCTCTTAAGGGGCGAAAATCTTTCCTAACTTATGAAGGAAGGGAACTTGAGGAAGAAAGAAATGATGTATTATTGTAGAAATTAAGTTTTAAAAGTTGCAAGCAAACCAATCGTAAAATAACAAACATTATCAGGCTGCCGCAAAGAACGTGTTTTAAATAATGTCCAAGCAAGAACGGTTCAATTTAATGTGAAAAGAAGATAATTATAGTTGAGTAGCTTAATTGATGAAAAAGTATGTTCGAAATGACCTTTTTGTTCGATAATAACTTGAAAGTTGTTCAAGAACTTGAGTTATAGACGAACTGTTCTATTGTTGCACTTTTATTTTGTACCCGCATTTCAAAATACTGTGTCAAATTCTCACTTTTTCCGAGACAACTTTCAATAAATTTACAAATCAATTTTTAAATTTTTCAATACATTCTTTCGAGAATTGGGCTTAAAATACTTTTTCTTTTTTTTATGTTAAAAAATATCTTTTTAATTTTAAGACTTTTTAAGGAATAGTCTCTATTTTTTTACTGGTGTGTTTAAAATAAACCCCCAGGCTATTTTACCAGTAAATATTTTTATTTTTTATTATTATGAAGACCGGTAATGTTTTAAAATAACGATACAGATTTTTAACACGTTTATTAAGACAATTTATTTTTACCATTAATTATTTAAAAAAAATATAGAAGTCTCTGAATAAGTACTTCATGCATAAGTCTCTCCAAATCCAGTTGGCCCAACTTTTAGCATTTCAGCTGCTCTGTCTGTCATACTAGTCTAGACGTCTTTGTGCTTAGATACATCATCGTTGTGGTCACTAACATATTTTGTAATGACTACACTATGTCCATTTTCACTAGATTTCAGTTTTAGCTGGTATGGGCAGTCAACCTTGAATGTAGATTGGTTTAGTTGCTGGCCTTTGGATTTACTTTGTCTTCTGCCACTATGCACACAGGAGTGTAGAGTACCTGGCGATTTGGCAGTCTCTTGTTCTGAGCTAACAATTGTTCTGTTGTCACTTTTCAAAACTGCACATTGTGGATTGGTAACTTTAAGTTTTTCTTCTAGTTCAGCAAATCAACTGAAAGTATCTCCAACATTGAGTTCCATGGCTATATTGAATGATTATTTATTATGTTATTTATTCAATTGTTATTGAAATACCAACTGTGGCACAAGGCCAAAGGGGAAGTGGGTAAGGCTGGTCACCATTAACTGTCCTAGACCTAGTTAATCAGATTCATAACCCATTCATTCATTACAATTTGCACATTTACCACAAGAACTCCATCACCATTCATTCCAACATATACCATAATACCACATATGCACAGGGAACCCATAAACAAGCCCATAACATAAAAATTTCAGAAGTTCAATGTCTTTTTTTTTTTTTTTTCTTTCTTTCTTATAAAAATATAATGATCATGAAATGATAGGGTAGGGGATGAATCCAAAGACAAAACAAAAAATATAACAAAACATTCAAACTAAAAATAACATATGTTAGTAGGACCTGTCCATCCCACAAGAAATAAGAGAAATAATTCTTTTAGGCAGAATCAAAAAGCTCCCTCACTAATGGAGAGGGAAGAATAAAAAAAAAATGGAGTGAGAAAATCAGACTGACCCAGTCAAGATACAAAAAAACAAACTGGGGAGGTTGGGAATCTCGACATGGATCACAACAAAAGAGAATGCCAGGAACAACACTTACTCACATTAACTAGGTAAACAAAGAAAGTCTATCTTAACCAGGGGAGTGTTTGCAGGAAACCACTGCATTTCATAAAAGGGGACTTTAAAAAAAGAAAATAAAGACTAACCCTGTTCACACAAACCAAGCTTACCACATTTATCCACCTTTCACTGAAATCTGTCAATAACAAATTCTTTCTATAAGTTCTGATCTTCAGCTTGAGTTGATGCCCAAAGAATCCAACCAGATCCTGATAAGAATAGCATTCATATCACAAGATTCCCTCCATCCACAATGTCTACACTACCATTCTTGCCATGGCTAGCAACATAAGAAATGCCACCCATTTCACCCCAGAGAACAGAGGCAACACATTATCTCACATGCATGTGAGATCAATGGACATGAGATGTCCAGAATCAATACAAGCCATCAACCCACCAACATAATCCCAGAATGGGCATACCTGAAGACAATAGTAGAAGGCATGTGAAGTTTTTTTCCTCTAGACCAAGGTCACACCAATGGCAGTTGGGCAAATCCACCCAGCCCCCTTTGAAGGCTACATCATTGAAAGATAGCACATTCTGATAAGCGGAAACTTGTGGTTACTGAGGTAATCCCTCATTGGTATACAAGACCAGAAAGAGCACAACTCGGTCACCGACAAGCTGTGTCATCCACAAAGAGGAACCTTCATGAACCCCTCTACTAATTCCGGATACAATAGTCTTCTAGGCCATGAAAGATCACTGGACTGAGAAATGGCCTTCAAGGCAGCCCAACACTGGGAGCTCAGCCCTAGCAACAGGAGTGATGTTCTCTAACACTCCTCCAAGATCAAGTCCTCTGTCAATGTATGGCATAGGAAAGCCAACCTCAATGCATGACAATGGCTCATCAAGTGTGGCATCATCATCACCCCCCTCTCCATGACATGGATGGTGAGCAACTACCTCTCTGCAGAACTGATGCTTGTGACCACACCCCAAGAGGGAGGATAGCAAGACCCCAAGCATCTTATTATAGTCCTTGCAGAGAGGGAGTACAGATAATTGATAAAGGATGAGAGGAAAGACAAATGTGGCACATGCCTTGGCCCTACCCTTCACTGACAGATGCCATTGGCGCCAAGTCCAGGCAGCTGCTTCGACCTTTGTTTGTACTTCTGATCATTTCTTCAACTGGAGCCCAGGCCTAAACCACACACCAAGAATGTAGATGGGTCTGTCAGTTCAACATGAAGCCTGACCCTCTTCCAAGCATCTAACCACAAGCTGGAAGACTTGTGGTTAATATTAGCTCCTGTCACCTTTTTATACTGTTCAAGTGTCTTCCTTACTACCTCAGTGTCACTGTGGCATAACATGAAAATGGACATGTCATTGGCATACATGGCTCGAGAACTTCCAGAGACAGCAATTCCACATAGGGCCAGATTGCACATTATGTCCCTTAGCTGGTAAAGGAAGGGCTCCAACACCAAAGCATAAAGTAGGGGCGACAGCAGGCAACCCTGTCAACTATCAGACTAACTATGACAGTACAACTGCTTTCCATTCCCATGTACCTCTGCACTGGGGTGGGGAGCGATACAGGAGGCTGATTCACTTGCATGGCTATATTGAATAAATATTGTTTAATGAATATAAGGTTCTAAAACACTATTTACCAGGACCGGCAAAATAGCATATTTGTTTGTTTGTTTTTTTTAACACTGTCACTAAATAACCATCTTTGTATCATAGGTAGAGGTATTGTTTTATGGGTTATGTTCTTTTAAAAATTTAAATAACATCTTTAAAAAGTACTTGTCTTTAACCAGAATTGGGGAACCGCTCTTGAGGAATGTAATTTAGAATTGCAGTGGGGGGTGGTCAGATGTTGGAATATTGATCTTTTCACAAACTACAATTCTATAGCAATGCATCATTTAAATAAGTCGGATAATTTTGAATGAAAACCCTATTCTTAAATGATAGTGAAACATGTGCCTGGATCAAAATGGCTAAGGAACCACTGCTCTACTATTAGCATTACAAAGTTTTTTGTTTTTTTCTATTCGATTTAATTTTGTTTCATTTAAACATGATCAATGTTATAAAAACCATCATTAAAGCCTTTTGCAGAATATTAATTATTAATTATGCATTACTTATAATAATTAAGCCTTCTGGTAGGAGTTTTTTTCCTGTAAAGTTTTTTTTTAAATATGCATTTTTAAGTACCTGTCTGGATATGTATTAAAATATGAAGTGTATGATCAGCTGAACTGTCTGTGATTTGACTCTTATTATTGATAACTTTATTGTTGGTGTTATATATTTGATAAAGCTATACAGCCTTTTAGTTTTAATAAAGTTATAAAATAATACTTTCACTACTCATCACTTGAACAAAATAAAATAAATGAAAGTAACTCCCAAAACATGCTTATAGGTAAGTAATATTTGGTTATCAAATATTTTTAGAATACTGCGAATAACCATCAAAATATCAGTCAACCACATTTTTTGCTCATACTGGGAGCTTTAATTTTAACATTTGAAACAAGTCCTGCATTCCAAATATAGAATTACCTCCCTTAGATTTTTTTTTCTTTTAGCTAGCCTCGTAAAATGTGGTGGCGAAAAGTTTTAAGCTTGATTCCCTTCCAAAAATGCTGATATTTGGAGTGAAGAGATCAGGCTCATATTTCAACACCCATTTGTATTAGGATCACTTTTTTTTTTTTTTTTTTTTTTTAAATAAATAAAAAATGAAATGTCATTTAACATTTGTGACCAGTAAGACTGAGAATATTTAAAATAAAAAGAAATAGACTTACTGTGTTTGGATTTGAAAAATTTTACATCAGAAACAAAACAAAAAATATATTGCAAAATATATCTATTTCAATTGAAAAAAAAAAAGTGAAATATTTTAACTTTGAGATGATATTAATGCCTATAAGCTCACAGTATAAGGAAACATATTCTTTGTTTGACTTCTCAACATATTATTTTATATAAGATGGGAACAATTCCTGGCTAGTACCACTTTGAATTTTATACCTTCAGGATTTTAAAACTAGATGTTTAAAAAAAAATGTAATCGGTGTATGATGCTTGGTAAAGAACTCTAGGGATGTAATTGAGTATTTAGAGTCTAAAAATTTTTTTTACTGTTAAAATCAACACTACTTAATCTTTCTCCAGGAAAAATAGCTTCACAGCTGGAAACTGGATCAGTCAAAATATACTGATAATCAAATAAACAAAGCAGTTTGTCTGAACAAATTTTGTAACTTCAAATTTTCTCTATATTCTCTTTGGCAATCTTGCTTTAACAAATTGATCAGCTTCATATTTTATTTTTCTAAAATATGTGCTTAGTTTAGCATAATTTTATAACAAAAGGAATTTATTTGGTATCTACCATGTACAATGTATAAAAGAAATTTTTTTTTTAGCTATTGGAATGGCAAATTTTGCAAGAAAATATTTGGGTTGTGTTCACTGGTCCTTTTTTTATCTTAATTCTTTGTAATTCATTTTTGTTATATATGGTGCTATCTAGGGTGTACTAAATAAATATAAATTTGTATTCCATTTTTTCATTAATAGTGTAGGCATTCTTCTTGCAAAATATAAGATGCGTATAGTAATACATTTGTTTATCTCCATTCATTAGTGCTAAATAATACCAAAGAATATGTAACTTCTAGATCTTAGATAAGTGATTCAATTTTTTCTGTTTTGGCTGCTAGGGAGGACGTGTGAAGCAGACTATTGTCCAGAGTAGTCTTTGCTGGTCACTCTGAGAAATGTCTGTCCAGCTGGCTTTTCTTCTGTCTCGAGGGGTAACAAGATTGCTCACCCATCAGACATTTGTCCACAAGCTGATACCAGTCCAACCAAGCTCATCATGTAGCTTTCATTCTACCAGCTGGACATTCTATGCCAGGTAAATTCAGTGTCATAGATATTTCAGAAGTCAATACTCCTGTTGTAGTTTTTATATAGAAATATATCAAACCAGTGTAATATTTTTACATTACAAACCATGTGGCTTTTGTCTGTATTTTTAAAGTGAATTTATACAATGGAATAATATATTTTAAAACATTGTATGAAGCTTATTTATTCAAATTATGCCACTTGTTTTTTTATGCTCATTTTTGTCAATTTCCTGATTGTTAGAACAATACTGAGTTTGGTTAGGGTTTACTTCTTGTTCTGTTAATAAATTAAACAAACCTTTCTAACAAGCAAACCTCTTTATTCATCCAGATTCTTTGCCATTTTTATGTCATTTCCACTCAAATCTCACAATTTATTCAGTAAAATTGATATATTCATGTTTTGTGTCCCCTCAGGACGTAGGCAATCATGGCTCTCTGCAATTCCCCTTCCTTTGTAGCTCTTAATAAATTTTCTTTTTGATATTTTTCCAAAACCTTGTTCCATCTTCAATTTACTGAAACTCACTAAGTATTTTATGTGTTTTCCTCATTATGTGCCCTAGAAATTTCAACTGTATCTTCCTGATGTTAAGTATAAGGTTTCCTTTTTGTTTCTATTTTCTCTAAAACTTTGTTGCTCACATATTGGGCCCATGGTATCCTCAGAATCCTTTTGTAGAACCACATTTTTGTTGCTTCAAGCCTCTTCTTCCTCTTTGAGGAGATTACCCAGCATTCACTGCCATATAGTAGGACTGATATCACATAAGCTTAGTATTCTTTTCTTTGTTTCTAACAAAGTTTTTCTGTTTAACGCTCTCCTTAGCTTTTGGAGTACATCTTTGGTTATTCCAATGTGCTTTAGCATTTCAGTGTTACACTTTACATCCTCTGTTAGAACACTTCCCAGATATGTTTGTTTTAATTTAATCTTAGAGTGTATAAACTCCAAGCTAAGCAGCATGTTGAATGTTGGAATTATTAATACATATTAGGATCTTTTGAAATGTTAGTAAAACTAAAATGATTTCAGTAAAATTAAAGATTTTAAATTGTGCAATTATTATGTACAATAATACTGACTTGATTGATATATTAAAAATGCCTGGCTATAACACACAAAAAAATCTTTTATTTGGTTTATATATCCTCTACATTGTATTGACAAAACTTTTTAAAATTAACAACCAAGGTGAATTCCATAAATTCTATCAGATTGCAACATAGTTTTCAAGTGTTTTGCTTTCATTTTTTCATTTTTTTTCTTTAATTTTAGTGAACTTAAGCGCCGTCAGAAGGCGGAGAAGAAGGCTAAAGAAAAGGCAGACAAGGCTGCAGAAAAGGCAATTGCAAAGGAGACAACAAAAGAAGTAAAGCAACATGACAAACTTATTAGCACAGATGATGAGGATATTGACCCAAATGTAAGTCAGTTTTGAAAACATGCTGAATTCTATATTGCATTACTCATTAACATGTACATTCACTAGCAAGTGAAGTAAACAGACTTCTACATCAACAATGTATTCCTAAATATCTATTATTTGAAGTAGATAAATCTACTAGACATGCAATTATAGCTTCTTTATACAGAGAATAGAATTTCTCTATTAACTATATATAGCTTGTTTTGATATTGCATTATTTATCTCTAAATGTTTAGCAAAAACTAAAAATTATTTAACTTCTATACAAAATGGAAATAGTTTCCATATCCTCTTTAAAAAGTTCTCATTCATTTGCCTTTACTAGCCAGCAAAGGAATTAGTCAGACATCAATTCTGGTTCAATATTATTTACTCAACAAACTTCTACTAGTATTTAGAGAAACAATAACTTAGTTTTCACTTTTAAAACTTTTACTCTTGTTGATTTACTCTAGTGCAATAAAAAGAACCTAAATGTAGTTTTATGATTGAAAATTATTTCTCTATAATCCTAACCCCCAAAAAACTTTTAAATGAATTTAAAGTGATAGGTGAAATTAGAAAAATATTTTTTTTAACTTCTAATTCACTATTTTAAATACTTTTATTAAAGAGGATGTTTATATAAACTAGTTTGTGTGGATTTCTAAAATCAAGAAGTGACATACACTGATTTTTGTGGCATCATGAGGAAGGATTAGGTAATACAGTAGATCCTCAAACACTGGAAGGAGAACGACGATGGGTAAAGAATTCTGTTCAAAATAACTAGAATGTTAATAAATATGTGACTGGTACGCCATGAAGGCTGCCAAAATGTTGTAACAACCAAGATGATTTTCAATGTATAATCTAAGTCACATACTTTTAACTCTTATCTTGCCTGTCATTACCAACATATTTATCCTGTAAATCAATCACATAACTAATATTATAACTTGTTTGACCGTTTCCTGTTTTTTAAAAAGGTCACTTTGAGATCTCTTTTCTTTCTTTTTTTTTCTTGAGGTTGGAGTAAAAGTGCTATTAATTCTTACTAGAAAGTTAGGCTTTAAACAAAGTTAGTGAAAAGTCTTAAGATATTCAAGATTTTCCATGGCCTGAATTTTTCTTCATTCACTGTATAAACTATACATAGCTTCCCATGTACATTACATCTCTAGCAAACTTTTGCCCAAAGAGTTAATTTCTGTCCAATTTTAGATAACCAGATTAGCTTTTGCTCATCAATAGAATGACAAATTGTTTGTGTTATGAATTTGGTACAGAATTACATACTTGTAGTATCCACTAAGAATAAATTTTTGGTGAGATTATTCTTTAGTAAATAGTCTTAATTAATTGAACAAGCTAGAATCAGATTACCTACTTTAAATAAAACGATATGAAAACTATAGTCATTTTAAGTATTTTTTGATAATTTTACAATTTTCACCTACTTTTTCAGGAATATTTCAAGCTTCGCAGCAAATCTGTTGCGGCCCTGAAATCTTCTGATTGTCATCCTTACCCTCATAAGTTTCATGTCAGTGTGTCTTTAGAAAAATTCATTGAAACTTACCAGGGCACAGAACCTGGCACTGTCTTGGAAAATGATATTGTCAGTGTGGCAGGTAAGTGTTCTTAATTTTCTAGAATTATCAAGTTTTAAATGTCTGTCATTAGAGAAATGCACAAATTGCAAAGATTTTGTTAACAATAGACTAAAACTATTTAATTTTTCTCTTCATTGTACCAATTGTGAAAGATGAAAAATAAGGATAAAGAATAAGAAAATGTTTCACTAATTAAAAACAGAAAACGGTTCCAGATATCTATTTAAATTAAAAAAATAACTGTGGAAAATGAGATCAAACTTTCAATTTATTCATTGCAGCATGCAAAGTTTGTATTTTTCACATTTACTACACAAAATCTAGTATTCACTGTTTACAAATGTTTGAAGTGTGTGTGTGTGTATATATATATATATATATATATATATATATATATATATATATATATATAAAAATAATGAGATGAAAGTATAGTTTTAAGGTATGCTATATCAGGGATAGAGTATATATGTAAATATAAAAGTAGAAAATGAGGTCAACACCAGGTGGCGAGAATCTTTCCTGCTTGAATGCAATCTTCAAGCATGAAACAGAATGTCACCACTTGGTGTTCATATCTGGGATAGAGTATATATAAATTCTCATATACTCTATCCTGGATAGTCAACACTTTTACTCTATAAATGTAGCATAACTTAAAACTATATTCTATCATATTTAGCTCCTAATAAATGCACAACTTTTATTTAAAATAATCTTTCCTGACTATAAAATAACCATTAGAATAACTCAAACCAGAAAATAACTGACCTTGCTATTCATAATGCCTCTAATGACTAACACACATAAAGAGTTGAACTACTATCCAACCCACATAGTCTGAAGTTTGCATTCTGGTATAAAACAGACTGTTGCCATTCGGTGTTGAACTCCATGTCCAAACTGTTAAATTATATATTTAAAATCTTGAGAGAAGATTGTTAGTGTAATTTTCTGTAGGGGAGAAATAAAAACAAGCACCCATAGAAACAAATATTTAAAGATAACATGTTTGAATATTTTGTAAGGTATTTTGAGCAATGCTATGCAAAATTTCTTTTGATTGTTAAGATCCACATACATGTATATGCTTTCATTTACAAAACAATTTTTGTAATTAAATTTTCTAGTATTCTTAAATTTCTTATGAAATTTGTCCTGCACAGATATCTTGAAAATATCAATTTTTTTTTTTAAAAAAAACAAGCAAAGTTTGGAAATAGGAAAGCTTAAAGATGTCAAACTGCTTTTATTTTCAAAATAATTTAAATATTTTTATGATGTCATGGGGGAAAAAAAGTTAAAAATTGATTTATTTTCAGGTCGTGTTCATGCCAAAAGAGTGTCTGGAGCTAAATTGTTGTTCTATGACTTGCGTGGTGAAGATACCAAGATTCAAGTCATGGCTAATGCAAAGTAGGTGCAGTTATTCATTAATGTTATAATTTTCTCTTGGAGGACCTCTAGAAAATATCATTCACTAGATTGATCCCCATACTTTGATTCAATTTCAAATGCCAGTTTATAGTCAATAAATCTTTCCATATTGCAAATTTTGGTATAATTTAACAATTATACCAAAGAAGGATCTGAAGAGACTTTATTAAGGTTGTTCTCTGTTCATGTTTTGTTTATTTTAGGTTTTATTCAAGTGAGGAAGAATTTTTTGCTGCCAATGAGAAATTAAGAAGAGGGGATATTGTTGGTGTCAGAGGTCATCCAGGTTTGTAATTTTGCCATTAAACTTTTTAATACACTATATTATATATAAATATAATGGCTTGCTGCTCATGTCCAAGTGTGTCTGTCTAATAGGGTGGATATCCAATCCCTGTTGCAGACGCCTGTTCAGTACATGTACCTGCATATATTATACAAACTCATCTCTTAAGCAGTTAACAGTAGTATTAAAATTATAGGGATATTCATGACTACTACATGTTTCTAACATAGATTTAGGTATTTGTGTAATTTTAGCTTTTATCAGAATTCCAGTTAACTTTTATATCAGTGTTAATCTCACCTTTTAATATTAAAATTTGTTCAAATGATCATAGGAATGCAACTTCTATTTTAGTTCACAAATATCATTCCTTAGTGTATATTGTTTCTCTTATACCTGTTCTTTATTTGTTTTTATTGAGTATTGAATTTTGTTATTACAGGTAAAACCAAGAAGGGAGAATTGAGTATCATTCCACTGGAATTGGTTCTGTTGTCACCTTGTCTTCATCAGCTTCCCCATCTTTATTATGGTGTCAAGAATCAGGTGTGCCTTCTACTGAAATCAAATTGATTTTCCTTTATAAAATACCAGTATTTTCAGTGCTTTTGATATACTATTCTCTCGGTATAGTAATTGCAGCTTCTTTGTATGTGTATGAGAGGATACTGAAATGTTCTCAACTTGGTCAAAAAGATTTTTAAAGAAAATATTTAGTCATTTGATCAGATTTTGATAAGTGGCTCTGGCCAAGAATGTATCAGCACCCTGTGTGTGTGTGTGTGTGTGTGTGTGTGTGTGTGTGTGTAAGATCTATATAATACTAAAACTCTAATCTTGTATGTTTGTTCCTGAAATACAGCTTAAATGATACGTAATACTACAACCAATTAGATTTTTTTTCCCCACTCCCTGCTGGCACACAGGTATTTATTCATGTCTGTTTGGGAGCATGCATATATATATATATATATTTTAAAATAATATTAAAAATAGAGCATTAATAGTAATATATGAAAAGATTACTTTTAAATATAAATTTTATTCCAACATCGGTACTTGTCAAAATTTTCAGTCTTCAGGGGTTGTGGTTTTAAACTGTATTTCCACTATTTTTTTTCAATTTGTTCCATGTCTTTTTCAATCTTTTTTTTTTTTTTTTTTTTTTTTTACACCATTTTGTGCATATTCATGAATTTAACGTTTTTTTGCATGTTCATGAAATTTTGCTTTGTTTGCATCTTTCCTTTTCTTTTTTTCAGCTGTATATTTTTTCTTCAAAATTAAATTTATTTTTTTGTTTATATAGAAGTTATGTTATATTATTAATTAAATTGTAATATTTGTTAATTGATGGCAGAACAGGGTCTGGGAGAAATAACCAAAAGACAAAACTTATTAAGAGCTAAAAGGGACGGGAGGAGGTGGAGGACCATAATCACCTACATCCTAAAGAGATATGGCACATAAAAGAAGATATGTATCTAAATACTTACTTGCTACAGGTGAAAGCCTATACAGGGAAGTTTTTAAAAAAAAAAAAATAAATAAATAAATATTGTGCCCAATATTTCAATACTTTAAAAAAAAAAATTAATTTTTGATTGCTATAAATTTGGGGAAAATATTTTTATCATTTTGAAATGTATCGAATTATATCTATCACCTGTAACATGTCTATACATAACTTTCCTTAATTTTTCTTTTGTAGGAGACAAGATATCGACAGCGGTATCTGGATTTGATTATAAACAACACAGTTCGACATAAGTTCATCACACGCACCAAGATCATAAATTATATTCGCAACTTTCTTGATCAGAAAGGATTCCTAGAGGTGAGTACAAAATTATTTCTAAAATATCTGTACAATCAATACTAGGATGTGAAATTTTAAAAATAGCCAATAAAAGATATTAGCATTTTTATAATTGCAAACAAAAAAAAGGATTTTTTTTTTTCTTTCTTTCTTTAACTATGTTTGGCAATTGAATAGAAAAAGTGGGAAAATTTTGTCAAGAATAAATTTTAAAATTGTTTTCACTGGTAAAAAGAAATTGTGACATCAGCAGGTTTTCTGCACTGATATAAGTTGAATCTTGTGACTGCTTTTAATTTTTCTAAATGCTTTTTCCCCATCCTCATTTCTGTGGTTTGGGAATCATGGACAATCATTATGGTTTTGAATTCAGAGTTATACTTACTCTTGTTCTGAGCCACAATCTGTTACATAATTTGCATCTCTTTTTTTATATCCATTATTCTCACTGGGAAATATGCAATTATATCAAATACTTCAGGCAGGTGAATGTCTTTGTCTTGCATAGTTCAATAACTCTTGGAATATGAGTAGACAGAGCTTGTTAGCCTTGGTTGGCAGTTTGTCTAGGAGAAGAGTCCCTCTAATTTCAAAACCAGAGTAGATGGGATTTTTAGTTAACTTGGTGACATTCTTGTGATGAAGTGGCTCAGTAGCCAACTTTTGAGTAATAATCCAAAAATGATTCAAGACTCACAACATCATTTTCTCTCTTTCCTCCTTTGTGAGAATCGTGGATATTTTTTCTAAAATACAGTCTAATTACCTCCACTAATTCATTGAAACAAAGGAAAAGGCTCCAAACTTAATAAAAAAACCCAAAAAAAACAGTTTTATCATCAAAATGCTTGTTATTATTAAGGGAAAAGACCAAATTCTTTTTTTTTTCTTTAAAATTTTTTACTCCTTTCTAATGTTCAAAATTTTGGTTATTTTTTTTTTTTTTTTTTTTTTTTTTTTATTCTTATAATTAATATTATAGGCTGCATCAATGGTGTAACGAAACTGGTTATGGGAATTTTTGCACTTGCTTTACAGTAAAATAACATTAATTGGGAAATTCTTGCAAAAATCAAATAATTATCAGATTTTAATGAAACTCTCAGGACTTATTCACAAATGAATGAATTTATTTTTTTAAATCGTTATTTTTAGAAAATCTTGGCCGAAAGTTTGTTTTTTTTTTTTTTTTTTTTTGCATCCATTACCCACACTTAATTTCATTTTCATCATACCGTTTTAAAATTGCTATGCTCTATTTTTGTAGTCTTCTACAGTAAAAGTGAAATTTAAAATTCATCTGTATATCGCTGATAACTATTTTCCTATATTCTTTCCATGACACAAATGTAAATTTTACTTTATTTTTATTTATTTAATATGATCAGAAATAATTATTTGCAAAAGGAATCTGTCTCCTTTCTAAATGGAAGATTATGAATTGTATCTACCTGAAAATAGTAGAAATTTCATCAGGTTTAGGGGAATTTAAAGATCTGAATTGTGAAAGTTGTTTTATTTTATTTTTATTTTTTTTTTTTTTCCTTCAGGTGGAAACACCAATGATGAACATGATTCCAGGTGGTGCTGCAGCCAAACCCTTCATCACGCATCATAATGATTTGAAGTTGGATTTATACATGAGAGTTGCCCCAGAACTTTATCTAAAGGTATCAGAAGTTCCAACACAATATTTTTTTGCCAGTATCTTGGAAAAATATTGAATCTTTGTTTAATACCCATTGCCAATACATTTATAAATACATAAGTGATTCCAGAAGGAAACTGTGTTTTATCCCTTAAAACAACTCTGTGTGTGAGATTCCACATGTCCTGCTAACAAAGAACTCTCAGGTTCCATTGGTGGGATAAAGTATTGCATTTCAACATTTGGTAACAATTACAGTCAACAACCATCAAAGCTACATCCACCCCTGTGCCCATAAATTGACTCTTGTGATGTGCTTTTTACAGTGAATTGGAACCAAACAAAAAGGCTGTAAGAGCTGTAATATCTTTCCTAGCCTATTAGAAATGTTATCTAGTGATTAGGCCAGTTGACAATATGTCTGCATAGATGCCATTTCAGCCACAAGAAACATTGGTCCAACAGACAGTGAAATGCCATCAAGAGATGTCACCTAAAGATACTCTACTGTCAGCCATGGTCTTTTCAGATGCTTTACATGTTGGTAAACTTCATCTGAAAATACAGATTGATGTTTTATGTACATGTAAAATCCTATGAGGTTTTATTCTACTAGACATATGTCATTGATATGAATACATCCTTGAACTTTAAGTGCATCAGAATTGTTTTGCTACAATCTAAATTGATAATAATCTTTTAGTACATCAAAAGTTTAGTGTATTCTCAGACTGCTCGGTATCATTGCTGTTAAAATCTTACTTTCTCTTCTCAGTCTATATAAAAAATATCAACATGTGGAATGATATTTCTCTACACCCACCTCCAAGCAACCAACCCCCCACACACACAGTCTGCATAAAAATGACAATTTGATATAAAAATCACCATTAATTTATTGTAAAAAGTGGGTTCAATTAAAACTAAAGAAGCTATGGGTAATTCAGATTTTTACTAGGAAAATAATGAAGATAGAGATCAGATGTTAGAATGCTTCTATTAAAAATATAGAAATCAGAAAAATAACTTCTTTTAATTCTTTGCTTAAAAAAATGTACCAGTAAAATTACAGGTTAATGTTTGATTCTGTATCTAAGAAATTTGTCTTGAAGTAGCTTTCCATTGTTATAGCATGCACAAGTGTTACACTAGTGCAAAGATAGTCAGCTTCATGGTTTAATTGATATTTAAGATTCCCTACATTTATTTGTAAAATATCCATATCCAAAGATTATCTTTTTGTTTACTACTGAGTTAAGTATGTTTATAAACTTGTAATATCTGCAATTCCTAACAAACCCAATAATAAATGAATATTATTACTCAATTGTAGATGTTGGTTGTGGGTGGACTAGATCGTGTCTATGAAATTGGGCGCCAGTTCCGAAATGAAGGCATTGATTTAACTCACAATCCTGAATTCACAACATGTGAATTCTACATGGCTTATGCAGATTATAAAGACTTGATGAAGATAACAGAAGACTTAATGTCAGGTAAGTTGCTCAAAATAAAATATAATTGCAGAAAACCTACCCTGTGAGCTTCAGGGTGATGCAATATAAAGTCTTATCACTGAAAATAAAACGGAATATGCTAATATAAGTCTAAGAAATCTTACAAATCGAAATTGCAATAAGCAGAATCCAAGAGGATGATAACATAAAAAACAGATAGGAAACATTTATTAATCTAGCATGTCATGTTTCGCTTTTATTAAAGCTTCATCAGAGATTGAGAAAGAAGTGACAAAAAGCCCAAAATTCTGGTATTTTCAATTTGGTGTGGTTTGATTTTCATTGGTCAGTCATGTATCGAGTGCATTTTAAACAGATAATTTTGTATGGATATAAGTCTAAAAATTCTAATTTGTCTATGCTGGCATCAGATAATGTATATTCATAATTGTGTATGTGTGTATATCTAGTACAAGTTCTGACATTTTCATTTCTGTGAAAACTGATTCTGATTGGTCAGTCATGTATGTCCAATAGAGAACATGTCTGTTAGTTTTATCATGTCTTGATATCTGAATGTTTTTATGTATGTATTGTCTGTACTAGATAGACATAAGTTAGATTCTTTTAAGAATGGATTAAATGAAGTTTGTCGATGTAATATGTTTTAGATGTGTGCTGATAGTTGGTAATAATGTTATTTTTAAGCTTTCTAAGTACTTGAATTTCCCTTTTCTTTCTTTTTTTTTTTGTTAATTAGGGTGGCATCAATAAAATCAATGGCCAGTTTTGTTCCTGTGTAATACAAAAGCGCTTGAAGGATTGTTTTTTGTATTCATAGATGTGGGATTTTAGATCACATGATGTCTCCACTATGTAAAAACTTTGACATTGTAAATAATTTATTTGGTAAATACCAGTATTTCAATTAGTGTTGAGTTTATTTTTCTTCATAATTATGTCTCCAGTTGTCTTGGAAGTGGTGGTAAAGATCCTAGTGTTAGGGATAACTAATTTGTTTACAGGTTTAGTAGAAAGTGTTAGAGGGTAGGATTATGAATTTTGTACTATTTTTGTTAATCTTACTCAATTTCTGATGAAGCTTTAATAACAGTGAAACATGTTAGATTGATAAATGTTTCCTATGTATTCTTTATCTATCTCTCATACATATACATATATATATATATATATATATATATATATATATATATATAATATAAAAATAATTGTGCCATGCATGAATCCCATCCATTGTTATCAGATACCTTGATAAAATGTTTCATTACTGGGCATGATGGTTGAAGAAAAGTCAGTAAGAATGTACTTGAGCAAATCACTCTCTCATAATTACCAAACTCATTAATAATTGACTATATAATTGTGCTTGTCCCACCTTTCATTAGTAAGCATGACTGTTATGTCCAATAAATAAATGGCCTATTCCGCATTTTGATTACATGGAAAGAAGGAAAAAGACATTTACTTGGTTTCAGTAAGAAAATGATAAAAACAGAAGAAAGAGAGAAAGGTAGAAGTGGAGAGAGAAAGAATCAGTTGATAAGAATAGATATTACACTTTGATCTTGACCAAAAGGCTGGGGAAATGTGGCAACCATGATAAATGTGCTATTTTTCAGGCACACTGTATCGAATAACTGAAACCAAATGAGTAATCGGCAAAAATCCAATTAATAAATAACATTACCTGATGAATTTTTTTAAAATTATTATTAAGAGAAATGCTCGTAAGATGGGGATTTGGCTAGAAAGAAGAAAAAAAATAAGGAAAGATAAACATGTTTAACATCTGCAAATACCTCATATATAATGTACTATTTTGTTTTGATCATGTGGAAAGAGGGGAGAACATGCTACTTGATTTCAGTGAGAAAATGAAGAATGGAAGAAATAAAGAATGGAAGATAGAAGTGTTTCAGTGAAATGGAAAATACCCATTTCAAATATTTTCATTTCTACCCAGTTCTTAAAATAACATCCAGTTGTACTTGGCTCACCGATTTCACTTTTGGAGCCAATAAACATTATACTACTTGCACATTTAAATTCTTATTAGCATGTAAATAAAGTGAAAACATCTCCAAAATTCTATTTTTGAGAAATTCCCTTCAGTTTGTGGGTCATATTGGATTGAAAGGTTTCTCATGCTGTGATTATGCCATTGGTAATGTTCATTGGTACCCAGCCTATTAAGTCAGTCTACCAAAAGACATCATACACAGATTTTTTTTTTGAGTGACACATGTTTCAGGGTTTGTTGAATGTCAATTTAAAATGTGTTTCACAGCAACTAATCAGTAGCAAAATAAAAAAATATCTGAACTCATCCTTGGGGGTCATTATTAAACAATCCATCAGCTCTTGCATGATTGAAATCAGTTATGAAGTGTGCCAGGAGACCCTAGGCTAGGCACTTAGCAATACCACTGCATGCAAAGATTTTTTTTAGTGTTTGTATTAGTGTGACGCTGAGCTGTCGGCCCGTGGTCAACTCCCAGTCGTAGCACGAAACTGTAATGTTTCTCCCACCGACGTTTTGGGGTTGATTCTTAGTCGCTGCCACCAACCTGTATCCCCGTCGATTGGTGGTCGTCGCTACCTGGCAGAATCCCTTGATCAGGGTACCAATATGTGACACTAGCCCATCCAGGGTCGAATCCTGGTCGTCGCTACCCAGCGGAATGCTTTGGTCAGGGTACCGAGAAGGATGGTCGGTCAATGCTAATGGCTTCACACCAGCTGGCAACCGGTTCAACACCAGCTCCATCGTTCCCAACTTACTTCCAACATCTGGTTACCAAAGTAACTGCTTCGATTTCAAGTCTAACCTACCCATGTTGTGATTTTGAACATTACCAATGGTAGATGAGATCAATCAGGCATCAAGCCATAATGTAAGATGAGTCCAAACTGGAGGTGATATCACACAAGCGTAAAGAAAAAGAAGCAAATAAAAACCCAAGAGGTTCAAGTATGTTAAAAAATAATAAATTAACTTTATCCGTCTGTTACATACAGGAGTGTATTTCTCTCCCAGCCCGTTTTCTATGGAGTGTGACACTTCTACATTTCTTAAGCAAGTTTTGGTATCTTAAGTCAACTGGTTTAGTTTTTAGGTGCTGTCGTGGCTTCGTTTGTCAGTATAACTTGCTATTGGTAGGATAGGCAAAGTCAGAGGTTGTGGAATTTCTCGGTCAGCTTCTGCGAGACAACGCTCTACTCAAGCTGTGACTCCCGAACTAACTCTACTGTCGAACGGCCTGAGGACGTTCGTTTATATGGGTACCGACCAAAAAACGGTGCAGGGTTAGACGCAGTCTGGGATTCTCGGCAAATCTCGATTTCCAACAAGATATCTCTTTGTCAGGCCAGGAAAATTGATTACTTCCCATTTTTGGAAAATTAATCACTTTCTATTTTGGGGGGATCTCCTCATTCGTGAGGAGAGGTCGGAGGAGAGCTATCCTCCTAAACTCTTCCTCTCTCACATTGATACCTCGTACCAATCCCTTCAGTGGGCTTTAATAACTTCCCCGTCCTTCTCATCAAATTACCTCCACCTATCACCATTGCTACCACTCAACCAATGGCATCCCAGCCATGCAGGTGTGGCTAAGCTGGCCACCTTAAAATTATAACCCAGAATTTTTGTTTACAAAATTCTTTTTTTTTTTTTTTTTGTGTCGGCGCCTGAAGACAACACCTTGGAAAAGTAAATAATAACAATTCTCTCCAACTCGTATCGGAATAAAATATTTCTCATGCCAAAATTCGCACAAATACCATATGGCTTTGCCTTGCCGGCACTCAAGAAAAATGATATCTTGGAAAGACAGTTAATATTGATTCTCTCTACCCCGTATTGGCCGAAATTTTTATGAATGCCGTATGGTCTGCCCAATATATCAACACTTTGCTTTTTTCTGAATCTCCTGTTTCTCTTGGCAAGCATTCTTTTTTACAAACAACATTAATCAATTTGTCAAAATCTCACATATGGCTTTTCTACAAGTCTACTGTCTACGCCAATTTACAGGTCTTTGTGAAAAGTAACTTTTTCGGAAATAAAATAAAATCTTTTTAATATCAATCGGTATATCTTTCGAGATATCTTCTTTCCGTCCTCAGTATTTCTTGTTTTAATTTCTATGGTTAATTAGTTAGTCAATTACCATAGCTAAATAGTGTCACATTAGAAGGCTGATATATCCAAATCTCTTCTCATCGATACTTGCATATTTCAGTGAATTTTAAATATAATTGATTTCTATTAGAAATATGTTACCAATAATTTATTTAAAAAATAAAATATAAGAAAGGAAATATTGAATCAAAAACTAATTGCAAAATGTTCTCATAAAACTCATGAATATATAGGAAGTTTTATGTACAAGTTTAAAGATATTTTAAAATATTTGCTTTTATTCTTTCCATTTTTTTTTTTTTTTTTTTTTTTTTTGTATATATATAGAAAATAAAAATTCTTTATCAATTTGTAGGTGACTAATACAGTTTTTCTCTATATGCAATAAAAGTGGGGTTGGAAAATCTTTTTAAAGGGTCAAAAAGTGTTTAAATAATAAAGTTGGTTTTAATAAGTTTGCAGGGAGTCAATAATTTTAATTAAAAAAAGAAAGTCCCCCACCCAATTTTTATTAGGTACCTAAGAATACTGTAATTCAAGTAGATCTTTTGTTTACAAGGAGGCATGAATTTAGTATGTTACACAATAATCAGATCATTTCCACTTGGATGTTGACAACTTGTCAGCATGACTACTTTCATAAACTAATAATTGGTTAGAATTCACTGTTATTTCTCTAGTAGTTTAAAAGGTCAGGATTAGTTTAGCCTCCAGCTGTATCAGCTGCTATTTATATGGTGGAGATTTGCACATGAATACAACATTCTCCTATATATATATATATATATATATATATATATATATATATATATGATTTTTTTTTTTTTTTTTTTTTTAGCAAAAAAGTGTGTGTGTGTGTGTGTATATATATATATATATATATACACACACACACTTTTTCTTAACCAAATCAATTTCTTGTGTGTTCAATACAGAATTGTTTAAGTGCTTAGAGAAGATTTGATATTTGGTGAAATTTTTGCAATGTTTGGGATAGGAGAGTTACAGGTTTCTGCTTCAGCTCTTTCAGTTGAATCACTGGACACTGGTTGTGGTACAGTATCTTCTGATTTTGCTATGTTGTTTCCATCCAAATCCAGTATGGGGCTATTTGAGACTATTGTAAGGTTTGTCAGGTTTGGAGATTGTTATTCCCTCTCCAGCAAGAGTGAGGTGATATAGAGAAACAGTACTTTCCTTTCCATTTGCTAACCTTACAAGAACATAATTGGGATTTGCTTGTTTCAGCTCAACTTCTCATACAGTAAGTTCATACTTGTTGTTCTGAACATAGTTACTCATGAGCACTTCTCCAGGAATTGTCAACCATGGAGAAATAGAACTTCCGGAGGTAGAGTTTCTTAGATAAGAAAACCTGTTCATGAGTACAATTCATGGCTGTACACAGTAAGGAACAACTCTAGTAGAGAGCATCAGATAAAATGGTTTCCCATTAATGCACAGGTAAACCTCAAGTTTAAGTTGATCATTCTCTACAGAGTTCCATTCAGTCTTTTCAGTTAACTGTTTCCCCATGGGTTGTATGCAGTACATCTACTAGTAGTTATTCCTTTCTCTTGAAAAAAAAATCTTAACTTCTCCAACATAAAACTAGGACCTCTATCAGAGTGTATATAACTTGGCATACAAAATATACAAAATAATTTACTTAATATTAAGTCAATACAATTGTAGTGAGTATGTCCCTATACACAAAAGCGAAAGTGTTGTATAGGAATCAAGTGTCACTACCAACACTTGAGTTTGAACATAGAGCACCAGTGAGCAAACATAGGCAATCACATGATTGAATTTAGTGGATCATGTGACCATATAAGAAATGCATATATAGGAAGTCACGTGATATCTAGATTGATCGCTATTTCTAGTCTACTGATTACTATTCCTCCTCTATTGCTATACAGACGCTGTATCAACTACTGTTTGTATAGAGATTTGCATATGAATACAACTACTATTAAGACCTATCTTGACTAGTTTGGTGGTGACAGATATTTGTAAGTTTATATCTATTTAAATATCTAGGGAATCAAGAATTGACATTTTCAGCCCGTGCTTTGAAAGTCTATGAGAATGCCTACATTCTTGAAAGTCAAATATTATCCACTAATACAATTACAAATACAAACTCAAGCAATAGTAATTTTTCTGGTGTATATAAATGACAAAGCTAAGCAGCTAATAAATTAAGTGTAGTGGGTGGCACAATATTTTACCATACTCACAGGTTCTGTAATTATTTATATTATAATGAAAAGAGTTCAATTTAATTTTCTTTCTCCATATTTTCACATGGTTGCAGTATTTATGCCTACTACTGGTAAATAGGGATTTAAACAAGAATTAGAAAACTGCATAGTCATTTAGAAATGATAGTGCTTATATACATCTGAAAAATATTGTAATATTTTTACCCATTCTAGTCTTCTTCCTCTGGTATAGCAATGAGTTTTCTAGAGTAGCTGACAGGATATTTCAGTAATATAATAGTGTGCATTGACACTGATAGTATATTGGAACAAGTGTCATTTTGAAATCTTACTTAAAGGTAAAAACAGTTGAAAAATTGTAAGCTATTCCAGTCCCTAATTATTGGTTATTTTTCTTTATAATGTTACAAATTTTTTTTTTTTTTTTTTTTTTTAGCTCAATTTCATTCAAATAATTTTTTTTTCTTAAGTTTTGCCTAAGATAATTTTAAATTTTTCCTTTATCTCATTACAGGTATGGTAAAGTATATTACAGGAGGTTATAAGATCACATACCATCCAGATGGCCCTGAGGGAAAGGAAGTTGAAGTAGATTTCACTCCACCTTTCCGAAAAATTAAAATGGTGGAAGAGCTTGAAAAGATACTTGAAGTGAAGTTTCCTGATGCGACACAATTTGGAACAGAAGGTATAACACTTCATTTAGTAATTTGTCTGTTTCGTTTTTTCTTTTTTTTTCTTACATTTTTTTCCTTCTCTTTCTTGGGCATTTTTCATTCTATATTTGTTTATCAAAATTTTCTGCTTGCTGCTCTATGGTTTTTTTCAGATTACAATATTTAATCTTGTATCCACTCTTAACACTCCTACAGGTGGGGGGTGGTTAGAAACAAATAGTAGAAACAAAAACAGGTTAGTTGCTAAAACTATTAACCACTTTAATTCTTAGAAATAAGTTTTCAAACATGTAATCTCATTAATCCTATGGTTTTTCTACATAGGAAAATGTATAGAATAAAGTTTCGTCTTTATGCTTTATCAGAAGCTATCATATAAACTTGTAATAATTATCTACTAAACTTAATATGGCCAATACAAATGACAATGGCTAAATTGTTTTTGATTGTGTATATCATTTTGGAGATAATAATCTATTTTTGTTCAGGCTTGTTGACAAAAATAAATATACTGTTTAATAAATAAACGGAGTGTCTGCTCAAATACAAGTATCCATTAAAAATAACATTTAAAATTTTGTGTGTGTGTATGTATGTATGTATATCTATGTATTGTTGAAAACACAATTATACTTAAACAATAAACAGAAACTAAAAATTCTTGAAGCTATTTACATAAAACAGTTGAAACCTAACCTAAACAAAATAAACTATGAAATCTCCACAAATATCCTTATATGTCTATAATTGGTAACAGAAGCCATTGGTTTATACCAACAGCTTCCCATACTTAATACTTATTGAATTTACTCTCATGTGGTCATGTGTGACGTCATCAGCTGCAGTGCGATTTTCACTTCCAGCGTCTTATATGCACGTGTTTATCATTGCTTGGAAATCATCCATGTAAACAGAAACAGACTATCATCACATTCTTGTCCATGTATTTCTTAATATATTGAACAGTAATTGTCATCTTTGATAATGGCTTAGGTAAGCCAAAAGCTTAGATTGGATTAAAAAATATGTATCAATATTGTGATTTTTTTTTTTTTCTTCGTTTAATGATAATGTTATTAAACTTATCAGACATTATGAAAAAGTGTGTGTGTGTGTGTGTGTGTGTATATATATATATATATATATATATATATAATCAAAAAAACACCTAATGTAACTGCACACAACCTTGGTTTCAACTATCAGGTCTCTTCAGGTGGCAGGCAATAAGTGTTTGTAATACCATACTACAATTATTTTATTCATAAAAAAAATAAAAACATTCTTATTCATTTTATATCAGAGACCAACTGCTTGCTAGATGAAAGTTGATGAGATGGTTGCAAAAGGTTAAATACTAAACTTAGTTTAATAGCTATTTTTTTTCTTTTCTTTTTGGAAGAGGGCAAAGTTTCACCTGTGGATTCATTAATGTTAAAATTTCTCAATGTAGCAGTTGAGCAAATCTTTGTTAAATTAATATTATAAATATAGTAGAAAACAACATAATTCCTTAGATGAAAAACATGTTTAATTGCTCTCTAAATATAGGCACTCTTACGGGTCTCATATTGCTAAATTTACATTCTTGGTTTTAAGTGGTTTTGTAAATTTAAAAACCTTTTTGGTATAGAATTTGACATATTTATAATATGTATAATTTCTAACATTGCTGTTTAATAAATTACAAGATATATTTTTTTTTTCCCCCTTTCTTATTCTTTAATGATACAAGATGTTTTCTGTGTTAACATTTTATATTTGATTGTCTTGACATTTTAAGTGCATTATTAATATTTTTCAAGTATCATACTCCTTATTTTAAAAGATTGTCATGGTTTATAAACTCACAATTTTTCAATCAATTTTTTTGTGTAGAAAGCCTCAAATTTTTTGATGATCTCTGTATAAAGAAGGATATTGAATGTACTCCACCAAGGACCACAGCCAGGTTACTGGACAAGGTGAGTTTACAATGATTTGTAATATTCCAAAAAAAAAAAAAAAATAAAAATACTTGACGGCACATTGGTAGAGTATTTTTTAATCTTTTTACTCCAAGCAAGCCAATAAGACGCAAGGGGTTACTGAGTGTCAGAGAATATGAAAAAGGCAAAAAAAAAACTATTAAGGAGAAAGAACAATAAAAGAACAGGAATTAAGAAGACAAGATAATGATTGACATTGCATTTAAATTTTTTGAAGATCAAAGTTGACTGGGAAGCAAAAAGTTGGAAGAGAGTTCCGCAAGCTAGAAGTGAGTTGGAAGAAACTGTTAGCATAAAACTTACGGTTACATGTAGCCATTTCAACTGTAAAATGATGAAACCTTGCCCCCAATCCAGTACTGCACTTAGTCATAAAGTACCTTAGAGGAAAGTTCATCAGAACAATTACCATGAAAGTAGTGATAGAAAAGGCACATTGAAACTACATGACAGTGGTGGGAAAGTGACTGAAGCTGAGATGTCAAGTCAGAACCAATAATGTTACAGATTCTTTGAATTTAATTAAGAATCTCTAAATATATAACAGGTGCACCTGAGTATTATTTAAAAAAAAAAGAAAAATATAAGATATCAGAGTTTTTATTTTTCAAGTACAGTTTTATGTTGTCATTAACAAACTACATTAAGAACATTTTCTGATTTAATTTTTGGTTTGATCATGCTATACTTTAAGTAGTATTTTGTGGTAATACATGCAAAAAATATATATATATATATATATATATATATATATGAGAGAGAGAGAGAGAACTCTGAATTATAAGACATAAAATCTTACAGAACATTTGTGAGTTGCTTAGAGTGGCCATGCAAGTGAACCAGTGGTAGAGCACCAGCGAATGCGCATCATGGGTCAACAAAATTGAGGATAAGGCAAGATGGTGTTTATCAAATATGATATTAAAGATTTCTACCCTTCCATCACTGAGAAAAGCTTGATTGATGCCATATGTTTTGCAAAAAAATTTTGTCACCATAACTCACCAACAGATTGAGGTGGTGTTACATTGCTGTAAGTCTGCGTTGTTCCACAAAGGTGAAGCATGGGTTAAAAAAAAAAAAGTTCAAATCTGGTAATTTTGACATCTCCCAAGGATCCTATGATGGGGCCAAAGTGTCAGAGCTGATGGGCATATTTATTCATCTTAAACAAAATTAACCATATTGACAGCCATGGTATCTATCGAGACAATGGTATGATGGTAATCCTCAACAACAAAAGAATCAATGACTCCATCAGGAAAAAAACTGTACAAACTGTTTATTAAGTGAAATTTCGACATCATTGTCGAAACAAACAGTAAAGTGGTCCAATACTTAGATGTTGAATTAAATCTATTGGCTGGTATAGTCTCACCATTCACAAAGCTGAACACCACTTTAAAATATATAAATACCAAGTCTAATCCCCCAACAAATATAATCAAGCACATCCCGAAAAAAGTTGAATACAGGTTGTCCAGAAATTCATCAACTTGGGAAATCTTTGAAGAAAAGAATATATCTGGCAGCATTAAAGGAGGAAATGCACAATGCCAACCTGAATTTTAAACCTCAAGTTTATCCGAAAAATATGAATAACAGGTGGATAACCATAAACGTTATTTGGTTCAACACCCAACTCACGCCCTTCAATATGCCATTTAAAACTACATTGGAAAAATATTTTCTTGGCGTATTGGAAAAGCATTTCCTTAAATCATATGAACTATCAAAGGTTTTCAATAGGAACACCGTTAAATTAAGCTATAGCTGTATGGGTAATTTAAGTAATTTGATAAAGAAGCATAATGCTAAGAACATAAATATAAATGATTCAAAGAATAGGGGGGGAAAAAGAAGTTTATGTAACTGTAGAATTTTAAAAAATTGTCCCCTAAACAAGATGTGCTGTACAGATGATGTGGTCTAACAGGTTGAAGTTAGCAGCGACAGTAGCCAAAAGATCTACATAGTTTGGCATAATCACACTTCCGCATTCAAGGTGGAGTAGGTACAATACAAAATTGTCAGATGTGGTTTTGGAAATTAAAGGATGAACATGGCAGAAGGCCAAGCATAAAGTGGAGTTTTTTTCTTTTTTTTTTTAAGTTAAACTGAGCAGAGCAATTGGTAGAAGTTGTAGGCTGTGGCAGAAAGAAAAGCTGGCTATAGCAACTTATAAAAATAGAAGTATGTTGCTCAATAGCAGAAAATTGAGATAATGTCCAGGTTTATGCATATATGTAAAAATATTCTCTGTCTCTGACCCCAGAGGAAGCATTTTTTTTTCTACACCTGCTCCCCTTCTCTGCTTCTGGTGCCATAGCTGTATAATTGTAATATAGTATTACAAACACCTATTGCTTGCCACCTGACAGAGACCTGACAGTTGAAACCAAAGTTGTGTGCAGTTACATTTAGTGTTTTTTGCGCCTTGTTTTTATATAAGCCTTTTTATTATATCCTTACTCTCTCCTGGACATTGAGTTCTACCTGGATTCTATCCTCTTGGAATTTTTTATTCAAAAATATACATGTATGCACATATATATATATATATATATATATATATATATATATATATATATATATATATATTCCTCACTTTATTCACTTTTCAAGAATTGTCACCCATACTGAATTCTTGTTGGAATTTGTTCCACAACTAAAAAAAAAATACAACACTAAATGATTGTTTATAAAAATCAGAGAAGAATAATTATTATTATTAAATGTAAAGCATTGGGTTTCTCTGGTCATTCAGTGTGAACAATTCCTCATCAGATTAAATGGAGTTAATTACATTATTTTTCTAATATAAACCTCTGTTAACTGCCAGCATAGAGGACAAGTAATGATTGGTACCTGTCAAATTCCATGGACAGCTTGTAATATCAACATTGAGTGTTATGCACAATGGTGCTGTTATACATAATATATATTATTTAATATATATGTATTTCTTGAACTAATATTTAAGTAACATTTATCAAGGAGGAGGCTGTAGTCTTGAAAAATAAATAGAAATGAAATTGAATATTGTGTACTTTTCCTTCACTTGCCTCAAGTTACCTGTATATGTAAAACATTAAGAGACACTAATTAAAATTAGACTAATGTTTAACTTTGCTACACTAAGATAAAACAGTTTCAGAGGAGAAATATACTTCAGTATAATTATTGATACTTGACTAGCTTTTTCAATTAGTTTTCATTACTCAAGTAATTTTACATTTTGTGACTGTTAAGCAGTATAGAATGAAAATAGAATCAGCTTTAAACAAGAATTGAACTCCATCCTCTATCTTTGGGACACTGTCTTATATTAACAGCATTTTATTCATTGGGCTACATAAGCCAACCAGCAGATGACATTCTAATTAGTTATAAAGTTATTTTCTTAATGAACTATTTTTATTCCATGCCATGTTGTTTATCTATAGTAGTAATAAGTGTGATTGTCTTAGGTCATCTGAATGACTTAAATAAAACCTGATTATTTATTTTGACTTGAAAAACTAATAATTCTTCTTAGAAATTCATTGTAACTAGTGCAATATATGAAGATGTTTGTTGTCTTGGTAATGCATTACTCAATGCAAATGTCACTGTATTACACTTTTTCAACTTTACTCCTAAAGACTGACTCTGTGAGCAAACTAAAAACATTCCGGGCCAGACCCAGACCCACAATCCTGAAATTTTGGATTCCCAAGTTTTGGTTACTGCAATTGTTTTCGCCATTTTGTTTTTTTTTTGTTTTTTGTTTTTTAATATTAAGGCAATACTTAAAGGCAGAGGTCAATTTTGAGTTCTTCTGTAGTTTATTATTGCCTATCACACATCTACTCCTCCATATCTATTGTGATGATAGCTTAATCAAGAGTCATCTGCAGGTGATTTTTAAAATAATGTTACTATAATTGATATATTTTGTATTGTCTTGAAAAGAAATGCTATATTGTGATGCATTATTCAATCTATTGAATATCTTAGTAATTGGTTGGTGTGAGTAATACAATTCCCACACTAACCTATTATTAGCTGTTATTTTATTTTTATGTAATAATATATATAAAAAATATAGATTTTATATGCATATAATTAAGTGAAAGTAGCAAAACCTACAAAAAAGCAGCACTACAAAGTCATCTAGAGATAAAAAGCTACATTATCGTTTGGTCTCTCTTTTGAAATTATTAAATAACATTTTTGGAAAAAATCTAATTTGTAAAATTTGGCTTTCTGAAATGACAGACTGCCCCACCTCCATCTCCATGTGCGATAGGGAAAATGAAAGGCTAAAGCAAAAAGATAAGTTTTTTTTGTTTTGCCTCACTATCACCATCAAAACACCTTCTTTTTTTTTTTTTTTTTTTTTTTTTTTTTTTTTTTTTTTTTTTTTTTTTTTTTTTTCTTTGTTTTTTTTTTTTTTTTTTTTTTTTTTTTTTTTTTTTTTTTTTTTTTTTTTTTTTTTTTTTTTCTTTGTTTTTTTTTTTTTTTTTTTTTTTTTTTTGTTTTTTTCTTTTTTTTTTTTTTTTTTTTTTTTTTTTTTTTTTTTTTTTTTTTTTTTTTTTTTTTTTTTTTTTTTTTTTTTTTTTTTTTTTTTTTTTTTTTTTTTCCTCTTTGTTTTTTGCCCCAAGCCAACTTCATAAGTCTTCATTCCTAAATACTATAAACTGTAGAGGAGGACTGTAGGTAAGGAGGATACATTAAAACATTACTGACTTTGCCCTTTGATGTCTGTTAAATGAAAGAGTTAGGAAAGGCAAACATAGTAACAAATTAAAATGGCAGTTGACAAATCTAATTGTTAGGGGGAAAAATTTCCCTTTCAAAATTGCGATTTCCATTTCAAGTAAACCATTCTGTTTTCACAGAATATAAGCTCCTCTGTAAATATAAGCTAAATATTAAATTGTAGCTTGTGTAAAGTTGATGACCAGGTTCCATTGTTGAGTAATTATTTTATTTAAACTTTTTTTGTGTAGCTGGTTGGAGAATATTTGGAAGAACAATGTGTGAATCCGGCTTTCATCATTGACCATCCACAAATAATGAGTCCCTTAGCTAAATGGTAAGTTTTTATCTACTAAGCAGACCAAATTGTTTTTCTGTTTGTCTGCTTGCAATACTAAATCTCTCCAGTGTATTTATTGCAATATTTTACTAGAAATAACCACTTTGATAAAAATGGTTTTAAATCAGATTTGTATTGTATGTTATTTAAACTACAAGTATCTAATACCAGACTTTTTTCTTAGCTAATTAGGGATTTAGGAATTGTACTGATTCAAAAATAAAATGTGCTATTTTTATTCCAATTTGGTTTTGTAAGTTTAATGTGTACAAGAGAAGTGAAGTAACTCTAAAATGTATGAGCAAAATTGTGAATATGAATTTTGTTTTGCTCTGTGCTTAAAACGTTTTGGACACTGAATTTTCAAAATAGGTAGTCTTTTTTTATGTGAAATATTTGTAATAATTTGGCTTGTTACATTTAGCCTTGGCTGTAGGAAAGACTTTATTGGTTGGAAAAGAAATAAAATAGTTCAGCTAAACCCTTGTATTAACATCATTATCAACATAGATGAGTTCACTGTAGATGTTGGTCAGTAAACAGCGACCATAGCACACGAGATTAAAGGTGACTTCTTAACTCTAGTTAAGAAATCACCTTTAATCTTATACACAGTGATACATGCACAAAAATATGTGGATGTATATATAGATACTAGCAGCATGGCCCAGCGTTGCCCGTGCTTGATTCAAAAATCGTACGACTCATACAATAGCTATCACTTAAAATATTTTTGCCCATCCTTGCCTTTAAAGGAGTGCCCTTTGCTGTGCTGATGTTGCTACATGCCTTACTTCTTGCCTATCTCTCACTGCAAATTTTTTCTAAGCTCTATACTAAACATTAAATCTGTTACGAAAAAAGAACTAAACAAAATGAACACAAAACAATCAGCTTTAAAAAAGGACTCATAACTGGAAAAACCGAATGAAAAAAGAATGCTAACAACAAATACATTTTCACACCCAACCCAGTTCTGCGGAATCGGAATCAACGTTGAGTTTAAGCAAGTGAATGAGCCAATTGGAGTAAAGTTCCATACAGATTTACATTTTTCCCACTTGTGATGAATGCAGCTATCGATTTTTTTTTTTTTTTTTTTTTTTTTTTGCATGCTAGTTAACATTCGTGGCAGCCAGCTGTTGGCTCTCACACTGGCCAATAGAATCTCGCTGCCTATTCGTGGCAGCCAGCTATTGACTCTCACTCTGGCCAGTACAAAATGGCCACAAACTACATGAAAACTGCCATAGAAGCATGAAAAAATCGATTATTTCTACTATCGATGGGAGTTGGGAAATGCAACATCAGTCTTGGCCTTCCCACTAACTTTGTGCATGTAAATTTTGGTGCAAATCCATCGAAAATTGCAGCCGTGCATTTGTTACACACACGCACACATCCTGCCTTTTATATGTAGATATTTGAAATTCCATCTTACATCAAATGTTTCACTCTAAAATTGGGATTAATTTTTCGTGTGTGCCAAGATTTAACCATTTGAATATATTTGCAAATAACCTGATGATGGTATAGTAGGATTTGAACTTTTCTTTCATATGGAAGCATAAGTTGAATGGAACTTTATACAAAATCTAATTTTTTTATTTCTCTTGGAAATTGTTAGAGATTTTTAAATAAAAACTATTATTGGTTGTAGTTAGCTGCTTCTTTGTCAATTACTGTGTCTATTCATCAACTGAGAATTAAGTTTTTACTTTGTAAGAGTGTTGTGCATCGGGGTATACCCTTTTTATTACTAGTGGGTTTTCTTGGCCATGTGTATTGAGTATGGCAATGAAGACCTTTAAGTTTTGTTAAGCCTTATGATTATAAGTATGTCTTGTTAAAAAATGAATGACAAAGTATTTGTGTTGCTTTTTTTTTCTTTTTCTTTTTCTTTTTTATGTTAACGAGATTTGTTTTGGGAATTTTGTGCTTAGAAATAATTTGGACAATTTCTAATCACACTAACTCCAAAAAAGAAATCTCTTGTTCAAATAAAAGTACAATGAATAACTTAACAGATTTACTTTGTCAGTCATTTTAATGGGACACAAACATAATCATAACTTGATACAGCTAAACTTTTAACTGAAAATTTCACTGTATAATGTTTGACCTATTGAAAAGTATTAACAAAGAGATTATGTGGGAAAATAAATGTGTGAAACTTTATTTTTCCCCTACTAGCCTCTGTGTGTGTGTGTAAAAACATATGTACTTATGACAAATATCAGTTTATAAATATGACTAATGCCCTCTTGTAAATCAGTAACTTAAAATTTTCATAGTACTAATCTTGAGAAATGTTGCATGTAATTCTGTTATTCTTTTATTAATTTTTGTTGAGATTTTCTTTTCATCTTATTTTCATTGCTTTTGATCATGGTGCTTGTGTTTTTTACATTCTTCAAAAATTGAAAAATAAAGAATAATCGACAATAATCAATACATTCACCACTGTTGGATATCTGACTGACCAATTCAACTATGAAAACTAACAGACATCAGATTTACTCTTCATTCGTCAAAATGAAATATACTTATCCAAATACTCAGAGTAATTTCAGTAGTTTCAGAATATATATGGTTATTGAGGGGGGGGTCTATCTCTAAAACCCTAGGAGAATAACAGACAGGCTACAACTTTATGGAAAATAAAGTATAATATATTTTTAAAAAAATCCACATTATAACCAAAAAACATTTGCAGTTTCTGTCTTCTTTTATATATATATATATATATATATATATATATATATATATATATATATATATATATATATATTTTTTTTCTTCTTCCATACCATACTATTTATTCACACCTCATAGTAGTAAAGATAAGTCTTAAGTTATCAGTTTATTCTAGCTGTTTTGCCATATTGCTCCCCCTGTTTGTCGGATGTGTCTTATTAACAAAATAATGTTTTCATTTTTCTCCCAGTGTTTTGAAATGTTTTATTTCCTACGCAGGCATAGATCAACACCAGGATTGACAGAAAGATTTGAATTGTTTGTAATGAAAAAAGAAATCTGTAATGCTTACACAGAGTTGAATGACCCTGTTGTTCAACGTGAGCGATTTTTACAACAAGCCCAGGTGAGGGATGCAAAATATTTTAATTTTTCTATCATATAAACTATTATTGTTTCTAGCTTGACTAAGTTAGATGTAATAAATGAAAATTACTGTAAAGATTCTAATTAATATTATCTAATATATATATATATATATATATATATATATATATATATATATATATATATTCAGCTTTGACAAGGATTACCTATTAAAATATATTAAAGAATGATAGATCAGTAACAATGAGATATATTATAGGTGATATTGGTATGTAAGAGTTGGCCAACATAATTGTCCAAAAGACTTTAAAAAGACAGACTTACCTATTACTTTTTTTTGCATGTATGGAGGTATGCATTAACTATAATAGTCCAATAACTGACACTATTGGTTTGTATAATAATAGCTTTTTAACTTAAGAATCACTGAACCAAATTTACTTAATCTTGTCAGTGTTAGATAATTGGTTAACTAGAAAATATGGTTGATGGAGCTTTCTTTATCTAATTTTAATTAAATTGCTATTTAATATTGATTTGGTTATTGCTAGTTAGAATTAGATTTTGAATCTTTAGTTAAATACAGAGAAGCAGATATATATTGGAAATTACTTTATAAAATAAAAACAACTGTTGTCAGTCATAAAAGGACTTACAACACTTGTTTTTATTTTATAAAGTAATTTATTGCAGCCAGCTTATTGATCAATTGTTGATAAATAAAATAATCAAAGTTCCCAATAAAAACTTTTGAATTTGAAACATTTTTCATTTTTTATTATTTTTCATCTCATTAAAAGGGGGAGGGAGTAAACGAGAAGCTTTTAATTGTAAAACAAAAATGACTTGCTTTATTTTCATTTTAATTTCCTGAGGATTTCTACAGGGTGCCACAGAAATACCACATACCATATATACTTGAGTATAATGCAAGGTTTTTGTGACCTGTTGGACTACACACAGGTAAAAAGATTTTCTGGAGGAGTTAAAATTTGTGCAAAAATTCCAGGGGTTGCATTATATGAAGTCGGCTTATACACAAGTACATATGGTATACCTTCCACATAATGCTAACACATTAATCACAATAGTATCTTCATCTAGCTAATGTCTTACCATTATATGGGAGGTATTTCTGCCACACCCTGTATTATTTTATTGTATTCAAGTGTTTTTTTTTTGTTTTTTTCTTGTTTTTAATCCATTTTGCTACTCATTCTATAAAATGCCATTGTAATCATCAGCCAATGGAGGTAGTAACCAAAAGTATGAAAACATAACAAATGTTAAATTCATTAATGGCTGTTATAATATCAAATTGATTACAAAATAAAGTAACTAACAAATTAAAGTGCATTAAATAAATACTTCCTTATAATTAGGTACCTCCATAAAATCACTAAAAAATCAGCATATCATGATAAAAATACGCTCCAAACATAATGAAAACCTAGTTTTATCATCAAAATCTTTATTAAGAGGAAAGATCAAAGTATTTTTTGATTACTTAGTTAAATTTTTTACTCCTTTTTAGATATTAAAAATTTTGATTAAATATCTTGTTTTTCTTGCATCAGTAGTTGTACCAACTTTAGCATAGCAAATTTTGGCCTATTTTTTTGCAAAGATAGGCACATTAATTTGGAAATTCTTGCAAAAATCAAATAATTCTGAGATTTTAATGAAATTTTCAGGATTTATTCACAAATAAAAATGGTAAAAAAAAAATTTTTTTCTTTTTTTTTTTTTAATTTTTTTTTTTACATGAGTTTCAGCCCCTTAATTTTTGGAAAACTTGATAAATTCAACATGATGATATTTAGTGGCTATATTAGTTAAAAGTAGAATCCTTTGAAAAATTTAAATTACCAAATTTTTTTTTATTTTTATTTTTTTTCAAAATCAGACCCAGTCTTACAATAACCTGTTCTGAATTGAAAAATAAAAAACAATAAAACTAAGACATTAATTTTAAGCTTTTAATTGCTTTAATGAAAAATATGTATTAAAGAATACTGTCTGAAGGAAAAAAAAATTTTTCAATGAAAAAGTAATTTTTACAAGATTTTTCATTTGTTTACAATTTTAAATTGAATAATTTATAAAGGTTTTAAATCTTTTAAAATTCATTTTCAATGTGATAATTCTTAGGAAATATTGTTATTAAGTAAAACAATATTTACTAATCATATATTGTAAAGCTTATTACAATCTGACAACCCCAAATATTTTTAAAAGAATTTCGATTTGTTTTTGTATGCGTGATTACATGCAGAATTTCTGAACTACTGATGTACAAACCAATAAATCTAGCATTAAAAGGTCAAGTATTTTAAGGGTTGTCCTTCCCCGCTTTACAGTGAAATAAAAACCCTTAAACTTTGTCTGCTCCACCATACTTAACTATGAACATATTCGGCTGTCAATAAATCGATTAACACATCAGACAAACAAAACCCCATAGTTAAAAAAAATGTTTGTATACAGCATTTTATGCTATAAGTAAGTAATATTTGTTTCAAATCAGATTAATTTAACTTGAAATTTGCTAATTTTCCTAAAATAATATTTCAGAAATACATATTTTTGCAAGATCTTTCAAACCAAGAATTAACTTTTGTTTACAAATGTATAAGAAATGGCAGTTTTGATCAATTTTACTGGGGAAAAAATCGATTCTGATCAATATAATTTCTTTTTGAAATACCATTGTATTTTGCTTACTGGAAATAGTAAATTTTAAATCCTTTAGCTTTCAATTAAAGCTAAAATGAAGGCTTCAATAAAGCTTTTTCATTTTTAAAAATTCATTTTAAAACTTATGTATACCAAATTAGTGGAGGTACCTACTTATAATAGTAAAAACAGTTCACTTTTTTTTTTCTTTAACTTTATAAATACTTTTACTTTGAATGATTTCTTTTTCTTTCACTCGCTTGCCTTTCTGCTATTTGTAGGACAAAGCAGCTGGAGATGATGAAGCAATGTTTGTGGATGACAACTTCTGTACAGCACTAGAGTATGGGTTGCCACCGACTGCTGGTTGGGGTATGGGAATTGATAGAGTGGCAATGTTCCTTACTGATAGTAATAACATCAAGGTAGGCAATCACACACTTACAATGATGCAATAGCAGAAACACCATTTTCTATTGAGTACCAGGTTAATCATGAAAAGTTATTACTCTATATATAATCATTGCTTACTAAAAGTATATAATATACTCTCATCAGTTTTGTCTTTCTAAAAGATGGATAAAGGAAAGTTTAACAGGCTTGACAAACTTTAAAAATTTCATAGATTTTATGTCAAAATATGAAATGTTTTTTCTGTAATTATGCTAGTCAAATCAGTACTTATGTTAATGATTTTTATCAAATTGGAATACACTTGTCTTATAAATGATGGGAAACCAGCTTTGCCTGGGAATGGAGATGTACAAGTATACACTAGGCTTGCAATATATTTGCTTCTGGAGCCTTGCTAAATTAATCGTTTTGTTAGATTGAGATCAGATCATATATTGGAGCTTGGTTTGATCAGCTCAGTGGCCAGGCGTTTTTTATTGATTTGACTCTTTTGAGTTGATGCTTCAACTTCTGTTAGAAACTGTTGCTTGCGGGGGGATGGGAGTGAAACTAAATTTATTATATAATGTACATAATCCAAAAGTGAATATTTTCTGAAGTTCGGAACTAGCATCTAAAACTTTCTTCATGTAGTGGAAGATATGAGTGAGCCAAAAGTCGAATGTTAATTTTTAATTAGAGAAGAAAAAAGGCATTATTGATATTTGGCATTTACTTTGTAAGTTTTGTTAAAAATAGGTTCCTATAACTTAAAAAAGCACACACCCACACATTGTTTAAAAACAATACTAATTGCATTACTAATTGCTTGAGATAAGACAAGTCTAGGCAGTATACTGAATTAATGTCATGACGAACAACTTTTCTTGCTTTGTCCTAAATACAAAAACCTAATAAACAGTCTAGTTTTTGTTTTTATTTTTATACCTCCTCAATGACCTTGTTTAAGTAATATATTCTAAAATCTGTTTTTCATTCCAGGAGGTACTGTTATTCCCTGCTATGAAACCTGAAGATGGTCAAGCTCCAGCAGATGCAGTTGAAAAGACACCAGCAGCCTAAAAACCAAATCCACTGGAATCTTATCTGAATTTCTCCATATTCATTGTAATGATAACAGCACAGTCGTCTTACTTCCCACACTTCCTAAAGAACTTCTCTCTCAGCCTAAATTCATCTTAAAATCTTTTGTAGTGGATCTTATCAACTTACATTTTTATGTTTCAATTTACAGTGATATTTTTGACAGATTACTTTATAGCTATTTTACATGGGGAATTTTTATTTCTAACACGCTACTAATTTTTTTAACACAAGCAATAGTTAGCCTGGTTATCAATTGAATGATTGGCTATCTTGGCATGAGGAAATAAAGTTCATTTTATTAAAAAAACAAAAGCTCAAAACATTTTCTTGGTCAAATCAAATACTTTTTATCTTACAATTTATATGTTAAAATATTTATGAAGTATTGAAAATTAAAACAATGAATATAATAGCTAATTACAAATGATTGCATTTATTGTAAATTAATTCAATTTTTTATTCATTCTTAAATCATTTTTTCAATTATTTTATAGGAAAGGTCAATTTTTGAAAAATAGCATCCTATAAAACATTTATTACAGTAAATCCCTTTCAGTGTCCTGAAAAATACCACCTATTAAAAAAAAAAATCAAACTATTTGTTAAAAGGTAATATTTTGGAGAATTTTATGTCATCATAAAATTATTTTATTTCAAACTAGAAAAATACTTACTAAATGTTACTCACAGAATAGAAAATAAATACAAGATGCTAATTTAAAAAAAATTTTTTAAGAATTATTTTAAAATGGTTGCTATATATGCATATTAGATTATAATTTTTTGTGCAAGTAAGATATATTGCTTTTTTAAAAAAATCAGTTTGTTTAACTGAATTTATTGATATTTTTCATGTTTAATTGAAATAAGAGGACTTTTGACATATTGTTAAATCTTTCAATAATATTCCCATCTTTATTTATTCATATAAATAAAAGTATGGGGACAGGACTTATTAATACAAAAACAATTTTATAGATAACATTTATGATAATTAACTTGGTGATAAACTGTATGCTTTAGTTATTTACATATATATATTCCCTTTAAGCATTACTGCATATTGTCACTCTTATACTATGGATTATCTCAATATGATGATTTGGTTAAGAAAATTTACAACTATCAAAACATACCAATCTTTTATACATTGATTTCTTTCATTACATTTTACTTGCTGCACTATGTTGCATTTGGTAACCTTCCAGGGAATGTTGACAAGAACTCATTATTTGATCCATGGCATTATCTTGTTATCAATCATATCCAACATACTTATGAACTTGTAACTATCACTTCTTGCCATGCCATTGTTAAGTATATGTGCTGATAAAGAATAAGAATTGAAAAAATAAATGCTATCTTCAAATAATTAATTCAGTGGGCCTTGCCTAAATATCGAATATTCTGTGAAAAGTTCTAATTAGAAAATATGGTTGACAGCCAAAGAAAAATATATAAAATTAAAAAATAACATAGTATCTGAATTTTTTCATGGAGCATGACCTAGCAGATAGAAGAGAAAGTTGTGGGTTCAATTCCTGGGTCAGAAATCAAAGTGAGATCATAATAAATTTTGAAATTCTCTAGGAATGCCACTGATAAGGGAATGAGGACTGCATCCTCTCCCAATATAGTGTTCAGTTAGACATTATTAAATGTGATAGCAAGCAAGAAAATATTGAAAAAAAAAAAATAAAATAAATGAAATATGGTAACAAATTTAGCCAAAATATTAATTTCATCTATAAATGTTCAATCCTTCAGAAATGCCTGTCTAAAGTTTTACATTTTGATATGAAGTCTCCTTAAGGTAGGATAATTTTACAATCCCTGAAATAATTGAGAGATGTTTTTAGACTGTGGTGCTACCATTAACTCCTGGTATTATGTCTGCCTTAAACAGTTATCCAATATTTTTTTTTCTTTCATTCTGGAAATAAAATGAGTTTCAGTAAAGCTTATACTTGTCATAAATTACTGGTTTATTTTACTTTATATATATTATATTATATATATATCATTAGGCTATGGACCTATTGATATATCCATGTATATTGGAGTAACACTTTCTCTCTTCTTCTTTTTTTTTTTTTTTTTTTTCATTTTGCCATGTGTAGAAATAAATAGCTTCACCAAAGGAATTTCCCAGAACTTAAATGTCTACCCTGACCTATGCATAAATAATAAATTCTAATTTTGTATTTTAACAATGATTTATGGTCAACAACGATCATACACTGCACTAGTCAGGCTCATTGATGGAAATAGCAGCACACTGGGGTATGTCCTTTCGATCTGGTTAATCCCAAGAAGATCAAACTTAAGTCCACAATTAGCGCATCAATGTGCTCGGGTTGAGCATGACCAATGTTCAGTGTAATACTGCCATGTCCACAGCACATTAGGACCTTACTCTCAGCTGTTAGGACTTTCATCTCCATTGGTCACCAATGGCAGCATGCACATTTGCTCACCAATGTCTGTCAGCAGCCAGAGTCAACTATGGCTGTACACTTCTTTTCATCTACAGACACTTTGATAATAGGGAGTACCTTGTTTTTATTTGCTTGGGGAGAAGAATGGTCCTGACATCTGTTCCCCAGAGCTGATTCCCTGGCACTCTGATGAGATGTGCCCAACCCTATTACACTGAAAACACTGTATCTCGCGGAAGGATCTTCATGCCCAGGTGGCCATCCTCTCTAAGTACCCCCTGGACAGGTAGTTTGTACCAGAGCACTTAAAACAAATGATGCTGCCCTTCAGCACATTAGTGTCATTATGCATTTGTTGAACAGATGCAGTGACCGACTCATTGGGCTCCTTATTATCGATCATAACAGACTGAGCCTGAGTCAAAAGCTGGTTCAAAGTCATGGTGTCCATTCTGGATAATGCCCAGAGAAGTTGCCCAACTTGTTTTGACAGTCCAGAAACAAATGCGTACACTATCCATCACCCGGGCAGTTGAATGCTAATAACTCATCCCAAAAATTCAGACTGAAAAAAAAGTATTTTTCCAGCTGTAAACTTTCCCTATCCAACATTATTGCGCTCCCTGCAATTGTAGTTTCTGTGGAAATATGAGGCATTACTTTTGGAGTATTCCCCACACACAGACCTCTTTCAGTCTCTCTCACAAACACACATGTTTCTTGCTTAGAAACTGGATGCAAATAGAGGCTGTTATTCAGTTTATATTATTTGAAATAAGGTTGTAACATTATTTCTCCTGTTTGGCAATATTTAACCTCCTGGGAAGGTAGATATAATCAGATAAACATCAGTATATTTCTTAAGACGATAAATATATTTCGTGGATACACATTTGAGTAGACATACCTGTTTTTTTAAGAACAGTGAAATTTACATCTACCGGCCTAGAGATCAAAGGGTTTATTAAAAGAAAATGTGCCTGTCAATTTTAATAAGACTTTCTATATCTAGATGAGGAGCTGTTTAATTTCACTTTTTAAAAAACCGGTATGTCTATTCAAATATGCATCTACAAAATATAACATTTATAGTAATAAATAATGTTCGATTTGAAATTGCTTAAAAATTACATAAACACAAAATCCAATGTGTGAGATATATATATAAGTGAACATTGAAGTCAACACTCAGAGACGACAGGCTAAACACAATCATCAGGTGGCCTGACAATTGTGTCTAGCATGAAACAGCCTGTCGCCTCTGAGTGTTGACTTCAATGTTCACTTTTATATTTACATATGCTCTATCCCTGATATTGAGCACTTTATCCCATAAATATAGCAGACTTTAAAACTATGTATATATGATTTCTCACACATCTTTAGAAAATAAGGAGATAAAAGGAATTTAAGTTGACTCAGCTATTGGAGTATCGTAGAAATTTTATCTCCAGTCCATCTTGAGTGAACTTAGGATTCATGTTTCCATTTCACCTTTGAATAGGGAAACAAAAATTTTATAAATGATTTTAGATAGTCATAAAAGTAGCCCTTTGACGATTTGACCACCCATATGGCTTTGGGGTGGTCCCAAATCTTCTGGAAAGGTGAGGGGGTGGAGCCCCAGGATTATTCATATAAGCAGAGAGAGGCAGGAAGGTGGGTCCAGCCATGAGAGAAATAGGTAGGTGATCAGAGGAGTTGGAGCTGGTCAGTGACAGAAGAATCAGTAGTGAGGAATCAGGAGTGACTGAGGCCAGTGAAGTTAGGAACATAGCAGCCCACCTCTTGAAGCTGAAGGAAGGATCCCACATTTAAGTGAGAAATCGTAATGTGACTTCTCGGCCAGAGAGTTGAAAAACAATTGTCTTCATTTTTTTTTTTTTTTTTTTTTGGTGAAAGCAATCATGGCCAAGAAGACAAACCTGAACACATAGCGAGTTGGGTGTAACTACAAATGTAACAGAGAGAGGTATATACACACAAACACACACATGCAAATATAACTTTTATTGGCTGGAAGTGGAAATGGTGTTTATATATCAAAGTACAATTTGGGTTAAGATGTGTGTTTACCGATGAGAAACACGATCTCAGGCAAGGAGGCGATGTTTTAAATCTGGGTCACTAGTAAACAATGGAGATGGGCAAGATACTTGGTTTTGTTTAACAATATTTGTTTTGATCAAAAGGTTGAATCAGTGTTTAAATATCCCAAAGTATAATTTTGGTGAAGCGAGAAGAACTCGTGATTGAGATAAGGTAAATAATTGGAGAATAGGTTTACATGTCAAGGGATAGTTTTTGGCACTCATAATAATCACGTGCTGGGTCAAGGGTTGATTTATGATCAAAGAGATTTATCTATATAAACCAGTGTAGTTATGCTGAAGAAGCAGCAGACGGGAGAGACCACGATATGTCGGCACATTGTCGTCACGTGTGTGAGCACCCACAGGTGACCATTACGGGTCGCAGTGCTACAAACCAGACGGAAGAGGCAGAGAGTGGTTGGCTGGTCTGCTGTTAAGTGCAGATGGAAGGGAGAGACTGTGATCGGTCAGCACATCATTGACCATTACAGGTCGCAGTGCTACAGGAGAGACGGAAGAGCCGGATGAAAGAGCCAGGGAATGAGACTATCGTCACAGTGCATTGAGATTTTCGTGGAAGAATTTTGGAGGAGAGAAAGAAGACTGCCCCCCTGTTCTGAGAAGTCTGTATAAGACTAGACTCTTAGTCATAAACCTACCCCAGGCAATTCAATACGCGTTTATCACACACAAACCCTCTCTCTGTTGAGAATTCGCTGGATGCATTTTGTCTTTTTCATTTTATGTTAAATGTTTTTATTCTCCCTGTAACCTTTGTTCTGATGTTATTTTCTTATATAAAGGACGTCAATATTTCCCCCATTGTTGTCTGGCTTCGGCAGATATTATTTCTTGTTTTATTTTGCCACATTCTAAAACTTCCTACCGCCAACTCTCACAGCCGTGTCCACATCCCCAGTCGACCGTGAACATATGGACAACACCCCACTTACTGGATCTAAAAACTAACACAGCGTGGGCAGCGAGCAGCACTTGACCAGTTGAAATAGTCTATGGGTACTCAGGGAGCGTACGGCCAGTTACCCCTAAGTTCGGTTCAAACTGAGTGGACACCTCAACCCAAAGAGAAAGATGCCGAAGGTAGAGGGGCAGGGGACGAAGTGGTAGACAAATACACTTAATCTTGGGTGCAGTGAGCAACAAACAATTAGAGAACGTTTTCACAAAACTTGTCATAATTTTGCCACAAATGGTGTTTAATATATATATATATATATATATATATTAGTGTATGTAACACTCTTCTATATCACCAGAAAAGTACATTACATAAAGATGAACAATTTGTCTATTTCTATGTGCTGGACTTTTCTGATAACGTAATGAAAAATAGAATTTTGTTATTTTAAATTTGACAAATAAAACACCATAACTTGTTTTAGTTCAGAAATAAATGGTTAGTTATTTTATTATGGCCTTATATCTAAAAATTAAAATATTAACTGTCACAGGTAAACTAGATAAAATGTGTGTGTGTGTGTGTGTGTGTATATGTGTGATTATCATTAAACATACTCAAAGAGAATGATGTTGACAATATATAAATTTCCACAGCTTACATTATTAAAACTCATCTACAAAATTCCAAAAATGATTTAAATCGTTTGTAAAATTTTATTAAAAATATCCATTTTTTTAAATAGTCATTTAATTCAAATATACCATTTTCAAATGACAAAATTTTACTTTAAAAAATATTTAACAAAATAACAGGCCAAAAAAAAAAAAAAAAAAAAAACACATTGTCTTATTTAAAAATAAAAAACACACAATCAGTATGAAAAGAAATTCATTGAGAAAAAAAAAACATGATTTTAAACAATGAAATCCTGTTTGTATAGAATGAGAAAATGAGAAACAGTATTCAAGGATACTGCAGATTTTAGTATAAAATCATACCCAATGCATTAAAATTTCTTTGATAAAAATGTTTATTGAAATTTTACTTTATATATCCTTTACATTTGTTTGTTGCAGTCCATATATATCCTCTACATTCAAGTTTATTTTTGTTTTTTACGGCTTAACAACACTTTGCAGGATATTTAGAGTCAGAAAATATTTTTAGACTGTAAGAAGAGATTTTAAAAATAATAATATACTGATACAAGTCCCACTAATTAACCTATAGCTGGAGGAGAAAAGAACTCATATCTTTCCAAAAGCTATTTGCACATAAGTGAATAGAACAAATCCAACTGGAATTTGGAACTCAGCTCTCTCTTATTCCAAGCCATTATCTATTAACCCACCTGCACATCCAAGCTTACAGCACCTGGTGTTCGCAAGCGGTCACCAATCTAGGTACTAACTAGGCTTGATGTTGCTTAACTCCAGTGATTGTATGAGAATCGGTGTTTCAATGTAATATGGCTATAATTACCTTCAAGTGTGCAGCCATGTCTTCAATTATAAGATGCATAAAGGTGTCTATTTCTTCATTCACAAATTTAACTCTGATTTCCTGGAATATATTCAATGTGTGCAAGTTTTTAATGTATATGAAAAAAAAATTTAAAAAAAGCTATGAAAAGCTTTCCTCTAATAAGTATATTAGCATTTTAAGTGTTCCAAAACATATCTGAATCACTATATTAGACTTTCTAAACAAATACACTTTATTATAGATTTTATTTGAACTAGTATCCTCATCTTGGTTGTTATAGTTACATTTTAGCCATTGTACTCACTAGACCTCTTTTGAAAGTAAAACATTTTAACCGTAACAAGAAAACGACGACACCAGTTTAAAATTCATATATAATATAGATAATCCCTCATTTTAGAAATTCAGACAGAAAATACATTTTTCTTAGTCCAACTTAAATCTGTATTTTTTGACCTAATTACTATTGGAAGTTTTAGTATAAAAGAGATCAAGCAAACACAATTTCTGATTCATTCATTTTTTTTACAGCTTATCAACCTTTTGCAGGTTATTTAAAGCCAGAAAATATTTTTAGATTGTAAGAATTTTTTTTCTGAGATAATAATGGTTTAGTGATACAAATCTTACTAATTAACCCATAGCTGGAGGGAGAAGAGGTGAATTCATACCTTTCCCAAGAGTATTTGTATGTAAGTGAATATAATGAACCCAACAGGAATTGGAACTTGGCTCTCCAATTAAAAATTCCAAACCATTATTCATTACACCACCCACACATCCAAGTTTATAGCACCTGGTATTTCCAAGCAGTCACCCATCTAGGTACTGACCAGGCTCGACATTGCTTAACTTCGGTGATCATACAAGAACTAGTGTTTCAACATGATGTGGCCATAAGCCTCCAGACAATTTCTGAATGTGGAGTTATCAATATTTACACTATTTACATTTGGATTGTTGTCATCACATCATTTCAGACGTTATGCTCTATGGCCTTCAAGTGTTCAGAATTCCTTATAGGTTACCCAGATCAATATACACTGGATGAAGGCCAGAGGATACAACAGCCAAAATGTTGTGATAACCACAAAGACGGGAACAGTAGTCTGAATGTAAATTGTGTAAATAATAATAAAGACAATACAATTTTTAATTTTATTTTTTAGTAAATCTCATATTGCAAATGTTGTATATTTGTTTTAAATATGAATTGACTCAAATGGTTTGTAAAATATCACTTATGCAGCCAAATTCAAGTAAATTAAAAATTCCCTAAACCTCAGTACCTAAATATAATTTTTTATTATGGAAATATACTTATATATAACATTTTTTATCTTCACTAGAAAAAAAAATATATATAATAAAAATATACAAAAATGAATCAATAAGTTAATAGCTTGTAGTCATTAGCAGAATTGTGATCTGAAATTTTCATTAAGTGCATTAATATTATATTGTAAAGTGTTTGTGTAAAATAAATGAATTCTTTTTCATCATTAAGCAACAGGCATATTGATCCACCTACATATAAGAGAAAAACACATGTAATAAATTCAACCTATGCTTAAGTATAGTCATAGTAATGATTATAAATGCCTCAAGATCCATTTTATACTTTTTGAAATACTTCATAAATTAGTTTATGAATGTAGATTATATCTGAACAAAATTCGTTAGTTTTGCACTTGATGACTGGTTAGAGAAGCATCAAGTTTTTCTTTAATCAGATTTGGAATAATTCAAATACATCAAGCTTAGCAAAAATATATAGAACACATTGACATAAATTATTCCTAAAAAAACTCTTTCACAATAATAAAGAAAATAATAAAAAAAATAAGTAAAAAACATTATAAGTATGTTCTATATTATGATTATTCTCTACCAACTCATTTATTACAATTATTCTTTATTGATTCATTAAAAATAAGTCAACTATATTTTAAGTAAAAAATTCAGATTACTTAAAAAAAAGAACAATTATTTTTAATTGTCCTATGTATTCAACTTAGAATGGCTTAATAAGTATTTCTGATATTTAAATATTACACAACCAATTATTTAAAAATTACTGTATATACTTGAGCATAGTGCAAGTTTTTATGATCCATTTCTTACACAAAAACTAATGGGTTGCACTATACACGACACTGGTAAACAGAAAGAAAGGGTTAAATTAAAAACATAACTCAAGACGAGAAGGGTTAAAAGAATAGAACAATGGATAGACTGAGAGAGAGAAGTAAGATTTCTTTCTCTTCAAAAAGTCTAATTTTCTTAAGGCAGAAAACAACCCAGAAAAAAGTGATTCTGTTAAAAGATACTACCACAAGGAGCCATATGGCAATATTTAGCTGATAGCTGATTAATGATGCAGCTTAAATATCACCAATTATAAAGACCCAAAATGATAAATAAAATCAAGGAAATAGAGTTTCTTTGTGTAAGGACCCAAAGCCTAGGGTACTTGGAATGCAATGACCCTGGCAGGATTGTGGGGAAGTAACTGACCAGAGAAAGCAGCTGGTAAATTTCTAATTTTATGAGCAAGGCCAGGCTGAGAAATTTTGATGATGAGAAATTAAAGTGATAATTTTAATTAATGACCACAAAATGATTAAGCCACACCACGTGGTTGAGAGCAGGAGTTGTCGAAAGACAAGCAAGGTGACAGGTGCAGGTGAAATACCAAGGAAGACAGAGAAATTGCCTTCATCCATTGGGAAGTGTGACTTACTGCCAAAGAGAATCTCCAGCTGAAGCCTTGTTCCATACCTAGTTAAGCAAAGAGTCACGATAGACTTCAAAGTGGGAAGAGTTAATATTTCTGTACCAAGAACTTATAATATTGTACAAAGAATTGATATAAAATTACATAGAAATGGACCCTGAAGAAATTACTGTCTTTTCTTTACTTGTCGATGAGAACATTTTATTTAATTTTCTTTGTGACACAGCTTTGCTGGGATCAAACCAATACTGCAATTGCTGATGACAATCTAATCTTTGCCAGTTCTGTGATCAATCAACACAACGTGGGCAGAGCAACAGTTTAGACCAGAGTGATCAACTAAATGGCCAGCAGCAGCATTTTACCAAACACCAACCAGCAGAAAGGTGTTATATACATAAACCTTTTTTTTTTTTTTTGAAGAGGTTAAAAATCATGCATTTTTAGTGACCAATTGCACTATACACAGGTAGATTTTTTTCTGGAATGGATAAATTCATGCAAAAAAAATTCAGGGTTGTACTATACAGAGTCAGTGTATACATGAAGAAATATGGTAATTAACCCCCCTCCCCCAAAAAGATGACATGAAAATAGTTTATTAAAAGATGCTTCAAAATCAGACAAGATTTTATGTTGTCTTGCAATTTACAGGAGGGACGATTTGTCAAGTAACAAAAACTACAGATAAAAATAGACAGACTATAAAGAGACTTTAACTAATGAATAACAAAACACCAGAATAAAGTAATGGTAGGTTAAAATGATTTTGGCAATTCATGATGAAAGATTAAAAGTTAACCATCAATTCAAAGTAAAATATTGTGTGTTGAAATTAACACATTGAGATTAAACAAATACTAACTTACATGTAACTTTTTTTGTTACCTGGTTGAAAAAGATAATTGCAAAAAAAAAAAAATAATAAGGAAAAATAATCCATTTTCTGAAACAAAAGCACCTGTTAAAAGGAATGTGCTCAATAGTAAAATGCAAAACTGATTGACAATAAAACAGTATAACATCTGCATCCACAAAAAGATGCAGTTGGACAAATTTGTAGTCAGCATTTGTTTAAACATACCTAGCATATATCTAAATAGAAAGAAAGTTGAGCAAAAGAACTAAAAATTGCCTATGATTCACATTCCTCCTCCATCTTTTGAACAGGAGTAGAGGTTTATCCCTTGTTTCCAGTTCCTTCTAAAGTTTTCTCATTCTCTTTCACTCCTAGTAAACCCTTACTTCATAGTGGCATTATTGTCTTGCATGGGATGTGTTTCTGTGTGTGTGCACGATGTTTCCATTTTATATTTTTAATTTTGCACATGCATGCTGTTTGTTTTTGCCAATTTCACAGTATAGTAGGGTCAGTTGGGCACTGTCTGTGAGAAAAAGAGCACCATGATACAATTCACTCTGCCAGAAATTTGGAAACGGCATGCTGTACTGCTTGGTATTTATGACAGAAGCTCTAATACAAACATTTCAGAATGGTTGCATGTCAATCTAAGCACAGTACAGAGGATTCAGAAAGAGTTATATGAGTCTAATGGCGATTATAAAGATGTTTGGAATGATCACTAGTGATGGCAACGTTATATGCCACTATTCATCTTCCCACAGGGCCTCAGACTCAACATGGAAGCCTACATCAAGTGCCTTGAGGAGGTAGTGCTTCCCTGAGTTAAGAGGGTAGCTGCTGGAATACCCAATGTCTGTCAACAAGACTGTACCATGTCACACAAGCAAGAGAATCCAGTCATGGCTGTCAGACAATTTCTGCAACTACATCATCACTTTAATCTGGCCACCAAACCCTCCACACTGTAATTCTCTTTATTATGTGTGGGGTGCAGTTGAGCGAGATACCAACAAAACTCTTTGTAAGACCAAAGATGAATTGAAGGCAAAGATTATAGCTGCATTCACCAACTTAAACAAGGAGACCGTCCAGAATAGTTGCAGGAGAGTCATCCAAAGTCAGCCAAGGCCATGGTTGAAGTCAATGGTGATTTTATTGAATAAATTTACTAGTATTTCAAGATATTTTTGTGTAATTTTGGTAAATACATCTGTTAAAATGAAATGTCAGCGTTCTTTTCATTTTTTTTTATTTTAGACAGTAATTTATTCATTGCACCCTGTATGCATGTGTGTATATATATATATATATAAACTATCAGTTTGAAATTTATATCAGTTCAATCAGTATCATGTGGTGCAGGTATGATTATATACTACTGGAGATCTGATTTCCATTTTTAACTAAACAACTTTAGTATAATATTGTTTTGAATAAATTCCTTTATCAAGAATTTCTATAAATTCAAACTATCAATTATGAATAACTAGAGAAGAAATTTGTTAATTTTAACACCTCCAAAATGAAACTGCTCTTTTAATTATCTTACAGAGATTTTTTTTTATCTTCCGTTAGCTTAAAGGATCCTACCCTCCAGGAGAGTGAGTTATTACATCTTCTTGGGCAAACATTTTCCACTGACACAAAGTGGAACAATTATAATAAATCAATTGCTAGTTCTGCTTCTTGAAAATTTGGCTCACTGTGTCACTCTAAACAATTTCATTTGCTAGACTATATCTTACACCTTTATAAGTCTACTATTTGTCCATGCAATGAATATTGCTGCCACATCTGATCTGGTGATTTTGCTATGTATCTAGAGATTCTTGACAAAACCCCAAGAAGAATCTGCAATGTTATTGGTCCTGACCTGGCATCTAAGCTTCAGTCACTTTCCCACCATCTTAACGTAGCTTCACTGTGCCTTTTCTATAAATATTTCTGATGAAATTTCCTCTATTGTACTTTGACTTTATGAAGCATTTATCTAGCACAGTACGAGATTGGCAGCTCAATCACATCATTTTACAGTTGAAAGTCCTATGCTATAGTTTCTTCTCTCATACTTTTCACTTTCTGACCATTGAAGAAAGGGGGGTTCTTGCGAAACTGGAATTGCTGCTATACTGGACAAAGCTAAAATGAGACGTTACTTAAGACAAGGAGTCTTTATTGCATCGTCTATATTCTGAAACTTTCTCCAGGTAATTTTGTGTAATGCAGACCTTATTTCAAGCAAAGCAAAGACATTTTCTATCTACTGAATGTTTTTCAGAATCCATCCTCTTCATTGTCTACTACAGCTTCTTTTAGTGAATCTTCAGAAATTTAAATGCAATATCAAGTGTCATTTGTCTCTTTAAATTCTGTTTTTGTATTGTCCTCTCTCCTTAATAATGATTTTTTTTCCTCAGACTTTCTTTTTGACTAACTCATTGCATCTTAGTGGCTTTATCTCATCTTGCTTGAAATGAAATGATTAAAAAAAAAAAAATGAAAGAAAAATGATAGTGAAAAGAAAGTGAGCAATAGTAGGATTGATTATTTTAACACTGCCAGTATTTATTTTGATTACAAATAACCTGGACATTCAGATATATTAAGCTGTCAACGGAATTTCACTTTAAATTTAGAGATATGTGAAATAAGCCATCTTTATAAAAAATAATAAATCATGTAAAAAAAAAAAAAAAAAAAAAAAAAGTTGTGAATACACTTTGAGCAAATATCAAATTTTCAAAATATGTTATGTATTCCTTCAAAAAGAATTTAATTTTTTTTTTTTTTTACTGTTACTTATTTCCTGAATTTCTCTTTAAGCATGAAAAATATATCCTATCTTGTCCCCAGGTTTGTAAGGAAACAAAAACAGTACTGTTTGCTATATTTAAAGTAAATTATACTCATGTTAAATGAACCAATATGATTTATGTTATTAACATATTATTATTAATATGTTTATTAACAGTCAGACATCTTCATGTGGCATACAAGAAGTTCAATTAGTATTTAAGCTGCAGTTTCCCCCACAAACTGTTATGACAAATCAAATATTATTCTGATGACACTTCATAGGTGGCCACTCTGCACAAATTAGCAAAATTCATAGTAGAAATTGATATTAATAAACACATTTTGGTACCAATTTTATAATGCAATGTTTTTAAAAATGTTAAAAAAAAAAAAAAAAAAAAAAATAGAGAAGGTTTAATTAAGCAAATGTGATAGCCTAATAGTGAACATTTTAGTTTTATAAACTATTCTTATAGATTATTTATGCTATATACATGCAGACTATAATGATAACTCTTTATCCCAGAAATTCAGAGAGAAATTATTCTTATACAGTTTGATCCTCATTGGGCACTCCATAAACATGGTCATATTTTAAAATTGGATTTGTTATACAAATTCATAAATGTTCCATATAAAAATAACTCTAAAATCATTATTAGCCATATTATGAACAATAATTTTAACATTATTAATGGAAGCTAAACAATAATTCAAGCTGATTGGTGTTTTGTTAAAAGCACTATTCAACTAGTAAAAGACTTTTTTGTTTCTTTTTTTCTTTAAAACAGTATTACCCTATGCCAGGCAGTAAAGCCATGAAGACACAAGGAGTTACAGGGTGTAGAAGAATTAAGAAGCAGAAGCATTAATAATGTGTGGGAAGAGAAAAGAGTAATCAGGAGGACAGTAGATGGTGATTAACATTGCATTTAAATTTTCGCAGATGAAAGTTGGCAGAAAAGTATGGAGCCAAAAGGGAGTTCCACAAATGAGAAGTGTGAGAATAGAACTTATGGCTAAATCTAACCAACACAACTGCGAACTGATGAGATCTCAACACCAGTCTAGTACAGCACTTAAATTAAAAAAGTCTAGGTACAATAACAAAGATCTCATCTGAACACTTATCATGAAAGTATATATAGGAAAGGCAGAGAGAAGCAACCGTACGTTAGTGTGAAAATCAATGAAGCCAAGCTGCCAATCAGGACCAATAATACTGCTGATTCTTTCGATTTTATCAAGGAGCTTAAGATAAATAGCAGGGGTACTGGACCATATATGACAGAAATATTCTAAGCATGGACGAATGGTAGATTATAGATATGTAAGATAGATTCTGGAGAGAAAAATTGTCTCACACAACATAGTGGAACAACTTTCTTAGCAGGTGACCTAGCAATGGATTCAATATAGTCTTTCCACTTCATGTTAGCTGAGAACGTGAGCCTGAGAAGAACTATATTGAATCCATTAGCTGACATGACTAAGAATGTTATCCTGAGAAGGTGCAACAAATCACTTTCCTGGAGGTTAGCATTAGTTATTCTGATGGAAGGCAGTGAGGAGTCTTTTAGATGATTAATGGAGAGAAATTTAGCTTTGGAGTCATTAAAATTAACAAATTTGTTTGAAAAAGAATCTGCCATCCAGTGATGGTTAATGTTAAATTCACAAGCCATTGGTAGTGAGTTCAGTATTCATCGAGTGTTTTATAAATCAATGCATAAGTTTACTTAGTCCAACAAATAACTAATTCACTTGAGTTTAAAACAGCAAATAATTACATTAATATTCTGTGCCAGTATAAGTCTGACCTCTTAACAAAAACTAGGTCAATATTTTAATTTTCAGTCTTTATGCTGGAACATGGCAACTAAGAGAAATTGAATTAAATACATTAAGTATACAAAAATACATGGCAAGCCCAAAATTCAAGATGAACAAGTGATTAAGATGAGGACTGCAACATAACAAAAAAAAAAAAAAAAAAAACTCAAATTTTTGCAAGTTAAATAAACAATAAATGCAACAGCCTGAATATAAAAAAAAAAAACTTCTCAGGATGATATGAAATTTCTTCAAACCCTACAATTTAATGACTTTATATAATGTAACATTAGAATTTTAGTTTGAAATTTTAGAGAGGAGATGAAATACAAAATGACTGACTAAATGTATTCAAATGCGTATTGTAAAAACCACGATAAATGCTTAATGCATATGATCAAGGTTGAAATGTAACTATACTGTAAAGAGAATTTTTTTTTTTTATAATATTCTTTAGATTTTTATGTGCTGGAGATGATTCCTTTGAGAAATGGAACACTGTTGAAATGCTAATATATATCAGAAAGGTTTTGACAATTTTTTTCATAACAATCATTAAAGTGATCAAAATTTAGCATTAAACACTAAAATACAAGTCATAAAAATACAGTAATGTTCAAGATCTGCAAATTTCCATCATTCATCATCTACGGGCAATTTTATACGGAAACAAAATCATTTAAAAAAACTGTTTAATTATTGTTCATCATTTTGGGACCCATTGAAGAAAGGGAGGGATTTTTCTTGGGAAACTGGAATTTCTGCTATTCTGGACAAAGCTAAAATGAGACGCTACTTAAGACAAGGAGTCTTTATTGCATCGTCTACATTCTGAAACTTTCTCCAGGTAATTCTGTGTAATGCAGACCTTATTTCAAGCAAAGCAAAGACATTTTCTATCTACTGAATGTTTTTCAGAATCCATCCTCTTCATTTTCTGCCACAGCTTCTTTTACTGAATTATAGTGTTCTCCAAGGCCATATTCATGACGATGATATCTACAACATAAAAAGGAAACAAAGAAATTGATTACAGAATAATCAGCAAACAATGTAAACAGATTTTGTTTTGAGATGTTTAAGAAATTCACTTACAACACTACATTAAATAAACCAGAACACCTCCAGCTGAATTAATATTAACAGCACATGATTTCATGGTGCATCAGCAAATGTATGTCATATTTTAGCATTTTATCTTATTAAATATACAATGATTAAGTCTGTCACTATATGACCTATCACAAAATTTATGATTATAAAAGACATTTTTTGGCAAACGCCAAATTCTTATGACTTGAATAACATATCATATGTAGTGATGGTGTTGTATACAAACAAAAGTGACTTTAAAAGTTAAAAAGAAAGAAAGTAGTGATATTGGATAATACAAGTCATCTAGTCATAAAAACATAAAATATTTCAAGCCACCTACTTCATCTATCCTGTTAATACGATATCGAGTGTTAATGTATTTTTTTCAGAAGAGCCTATCAACAATTAGCAAGTACATGATGTATTTTGTGTTGCTAGAATGAACTGGATATATTAGCAAACATTCTTTAGCACTATATTGTGTTTAAAATGAGATTTCTTTCCTTTTATATATATATATATACATACATACATACATACATACAGTGTGCGATGGGTAAATTATCACCATTTTATATTTTTAATTTCGCACATGGATGTTGTTTGTTTTTATCAACTGCACAGTACTTGGTCACATGATTCTGCACATGTATGAATGTATTTTTAGTTTCCATTTCCTCTCTGTCCTAGTTGTTTTTGTAGTCAGCAACTACTATTACATATTGAAAGAGAGGGGGAGTTAATGTATTATATTATTAGAGAGGTTGAATGAGAGATGTTTCGCTAAGGGTAAAATGTGTGTGCTTTATGGGTTTTGGTTGCATAAGAACATAACACCATGCAAACTGGTTTCATAAAATACTTTTATAGTTAGTAATAATTTTGCAAAAGAAACTTTAACACTCAATAATTTTTTTGGGAGCAGTCGAAAGTTGAGAAGTCAGTATTATTCATATCCCAGTCAAAGTATACTGAAGACTAGTTTATTTAAGTTACACTATTTATAGGAAAAAAATAAGAAGTAAAAAAATAAATTCAGAAGTTTTATTGGTTAATAAATATATTTCCCAGTTTTTAATAATGATTTTTAGGAGGAAATATATTGTTAGTCATTTTCCTGAATGTGAGCTTCCATTTTTTTGAGTATATGACAGAAATGGTCATCTGCTTTTTCAAAGTTCTTGACCTGTGTACCAAGCAATCTCACTGATTGGTCAATAAATGCTAATGTGGAAATTTGAATTTGAGAGTCATGTAATTCTATTTTTTCACAGAATTTAGTTGATGTATAGGTGATCCTACTTTTGCAGAAATTTGAGATCTTAGTTATACTACTTAAATCTATTGACTGCTTCTACATACATATATATATATATATATATATATATATATATATATACATACATACATATATATATATACATAGATATACACACACACACACACACACACACGTGTAAGTATTTACAAATTATATAATATATATTATACCTGGATGGAGAAAACTGCAAAATGGACAGACCAAAATGTATCAACAATACAAAGTTCAATTGTCCCAGTATGGCTTGAAAAGTGAATGACTTTTCTCTAAGTTATAGATAACATTTCACTGCTATGTTTGTTTTGTTTTTTTTCACAACCAGGTTATTGTATAACATAAGATTTAAAAACTATATTTACTATTAATAAATGGAAATGCTTAGTACAAATTATCAAACATCAATATTTTTAAAAGAATTTTGAACATTTTTTGTATGTGTATAAACATACCAATTTCTGTAGATATGGGTATTCATACGCAACATTATCAGAAAATAAGAGAGATAACTATAATAAATTTAAAGCCAAAATATCTAAAATTCAATAAAACACTAGATTATAGGGAATATTTTCCTAAATTTTAATGATTATTGAGTACTTAAAAGTCATATATAAAAGACTCATGTTACATTCAATTATTTATGTGGGGGAAAATTAGATAAACATCAATCTGTCATCAAACTGTCAATACAACAGATTAAATATGACATGTTAGAAAATACATTTCTGCAATATTTTAAACTTAAGGGAAGTAATATTTGTTTCAAATTAGATTAATTATACTTTAAATCAGCTAATATTCCTCAAATAAAGTTTCAGAAAAGTATATTTTATTTTTGGAAAAATTTTTTATAAAGAGAATTACATTATGACAGGTGGCTAAAAATGGTACTAAAATAAAAAATTTCAGCAATTTCAAAATGAAAACTACTTCCAATCAATTTAAATTAGTTTTGAAATACAACAAAGTATTTTGCTTATTGGAAACATTAAATTTAATCTATTAGCTTGAAATTAAAAGCAAAATAAAAGCTTCAAGAAAGATTTTTCAATTTTAAAAATTAATTTTAAACCTTAGGTATCACAGATCTGTAGAGATACCTATTAAGTTTTCACAAATAAATTTAACAATCAGTAATAAACAATTAGTTTAATTTTCTTTTCAATATGACACACACCAAATTTTAAAAATCACTATAATATCAATAAGCATCAGTCACTTTCCCACCACCATAACAAACCTTCCCTGTGCTTTTTCTCATAACTCTTCTGAGCAGGTTGTATTCATAGTGTGCAAAGTAGATCAAAAAAAAAAAAAAAAAAAAAAAAAGGAAGAAAAATATTTTTTCAAAAACAATCTGTTTTGTAAAATTGTTAAAGATAATGAAGTTTGTTCATCAAGCTGACATAAGTTCATATTTCGATAAACTATCTTTAAATAATTACCTCTCTTTTTGTGTATAATTAAAATTACTGTGTAATATACGTAATTGAAAAATATACACCATAGAATTTCCATAAAACATGGTAGCTTATATAATTCAATAGACATCCTGACAATCTCTTAAATGTTTTTTTTTCTTTTGATTTGGAAACAAACATAAATGTAAACTTACATTAAGACAATAGGAGATTGGTTATAGTCTTCTCCAACTTGTAAGATAGCTCCTTCAGCTTGAATTACCTTGACCGGAAGCTTCAAAACATGAGATAAAGCTGTAATCTGAAAGAGATACAGTGGAACTGACTTTATTATTATTAGCTATGCACAACAAATCTTTTATCGATTGAAAAATACTAAATCAAAACATTTGAAATTACATACAAGTTAAAAACAAAAATGAAATCAATATAAATAATAAAACAAATACAAAATCATTTCATTTTAAGAAAGAATTATACAAATATCTTTGGAATGACCATCACCATTTTCATAAGAAAAGAAAATAACTAAATAAAATACATTGACAAAAAAGAAATAACTAGACAAAACTGTAAAAGATTAGTTGTGATTCAAGGGAGATAATTAACTTACTTCCATCTGACCTCCCCAAGTAGTTGTGGAAGCAACATCCTGACAATATTTCTTGTACTCGTCTGTAAGTAATAAAAATAAATGATAAGCTTTAGAATCCAAAGTCAGTAGAAAAAATAAAAATAAAAATGATTGCTGACTAGAAATAAATGTTCTTTATCAGTTAATTATTTCATATTTACATTTGGTTCTTGTTTAAATTTAATACACACATGCACAAAAATAAGTGCTGATTGGTGAATAATTTCTGTTTTGTTTGGAATACAAATACTTATGAATGTATCAATGAAATAGTTAAAATAAACAATGGTTAGGATTACAGACATAATGTATGAGAGTTGTATTATTAATACAACAAAGGTTAAGACAAAATACTGTTAGAAAATAAAGGTTCCATAAATTCATTTCACTAAATAAAAAGTTCAAACATGTATTACAGAATAAATGTTTACAAATACTTATTCTTTCTTTCAAAAGAAAAAGAAAAAAAAAACCACTAAAATGGATTTCTAAGCTAAATCTTTAATCTTGAAGATTTGAAAATACATTTCAAACATGAAAATATTTTTTTTTACATAAATACAATATTTTTCCCAAAAAACGTACATGCATCTGTTAAGGTGAAAAATGTAAGAAATGGATAAACAAATCATCTAAGGCTTACAGCCATATCATGTTGAAACACCCGTTCCTCTATGATCACTGAAATTAAGCAATGTTGAGCCTGGTCAGTACCTAGAAGAGTGACTGCTTGGAAATACCAGGTGCTGCAAACTTGGATGTGCAGGTGGATAATGGCTCAAAATTGGAGAGCAGAGTTCAAATTCTAGCTGGGTTCATTATATTCACTTACACACAAATACCCTTGGAAAAGGTATGAATCCACCTCTTCTCCTCCCAGATATGGGTTAATTAGTAAGACTTGTGTCATTAAATCATCATCATCTCAAAAAAACTTTTACAATCTAAAAGTATTTTCTGGCTTTAAATAAGGGTTGATAAGCCATAAAAAATCAATCAGTCAAACATCTAATTTTTAATGAGACTCTTATTCTTAAAAATAAAATTTATTTACATTTAATTATTGTTGTAACCTAGGGAAGGTTACTGAATAGAATAATCACATAAAGGCTGGTAATGAACGATAATAATAATGACAAGAACAACACATATAAGATTCGTCAGTGGCGTGGAAAAGTAGTCAGCTGCTAAAAGTGAGTCAAGTGAATTCCACAATGAACCTCCAACTGCAGACCAACATACAGTATTTACTACTGTATTTATATGAATGGGGACATACCTGTTATTGTCTGTAGGCATGCTACAACAATTATTAACATAGAGCTTAAACTTTCACTTTTAAATTATAAAAATAACAAAAGAATACTCAAGCAATATTGAAATAAAACCAAATACTTGCATGATCCTATGGAAATTTTTTTATCAACGTTACTAATATTGTTTATTATCTGATTTATTATTTTGAATGTTTAATTCAAATACAAAACTTAAATAATTTATTCCAAAAGATTTTAGAATTCACACAGAGAAGTTAAATTGATTATGGTTACTCATCATATTGTTTTATTTATATAAAAAAAATCTGGCAGAAAAATATATTCTTTAAATGAACAAGTTGATAACATTTATTTTTACTGATTCTAATTCCATTTCTAAAAAAATGGAATTTGGACTTGTAAATTGATTTTCTAAAAATAATGATCAGTTTCATTTATTAACTTTTTCAAATTGACCAATTTTTAATTAAGATGAATTTCATAGCAACAGTGAAAAAGCTTTCTGATGAATTAAAAAAATATATATAAAATAAAAATTAAATGAAGGAAATATATTTATTTTGTCCATTAAAACAAATCATTCCCCTGTTATGATCTTTTTTATAATTTTTTTAAAAATGATTTATCTTAAGCACTGAAAATTTAGCTTTGAAAATGTCAAACAATCAAGACAAAATATATTTGCAAATGCTTGCCTGATAAATGTCAATTTCACTGATTGATTTGTTTTGTTTTCTTTTACAGTATATCAACCTCAATGGGTTATTTAATGCCGACAATTTTTTATTGCTGGTAATTTTTTTTTTTAAATGTATTGCTGGTAATGTTTTTTTTACTTCAAAATTCTATTGCAGGTAATATTTTTTCAAAAAAATGTATAGCTGATAATATTTTTTCAAAAAATGTATAGCTGATATTTTTTCAAAAAAAATGTATAGCTGATAATATTTTTTCAAAAAAATGTATAGCTAGTAATATTTTGTTTGTAATAATTTTCCTTTAAAAATGTATTGCCTACAAAGGAACTATCACAAATGAATTCAGAATAGTCACAAATTGTAAATTATCTGAGCAGACACTAAAAATAGATGAGACTATTACTGATAAAATGCAAAGAGAAACAAATTCTTCCTACACAGATGTACAAAACGTTATAAAACTGGCTGAGTATCAGCTAGATGCATTTAGATATACACAAGGTACAAGCAATTTGATTTGCTGAACCATATTTCCTAATATTATTTCACTGACTCTTCATGGGTCACTAAAAAGTTAATGGAGGGTCAGTTCATGACCTGCATGTCAGTGATTCACCATAAGTACAATACTGAGTCTTTGATAACATGATTCCTTAACATTATCCATTTCTTTTCCAAGATGTAACAGATTGTTACATGGTACTAACATATTTAATATTTAAGAAGTGGACTAATGCAATTTCCAAGGGCATTAGTGTATAGTGAATGCAAACTACCTCAGCTAGAAGCTTGGTTTGCTGACTCCATTTTATATACCTGCTGTTCAACCTCCTCTTTGCAAACCTCAATGATGATACTAGAATTGCTTTTGGAACCATTCCATTGGCCATTTCAATATTAGATCCTACATGAAACCCAAAATACTCATACCATCTTACAATGATTTGCACTCTTATGCTAAAGAAAAATAAAAGTTTTCAGCTACCTTCAGTGTAGAGAGAATCTCCATCAGGCTTTGTCAGGAAGGGCATAAAGTCATCTGGGTGAGCCAGCATATAATTGGCAGCTTCAGAACGAAGGCTTTCATTTGTAGCCTTGGATTTGTAAATAAAATGAATATTCATTAAAGCATACATCAATTTTTATATCATTATGGAAACAATTTTAACATTATTGATGCTTTTGAGAAAAAATAAAGAATCATGTAATGTTACAACTTTTGTAGGTGTCTTTATATCTTTTTTATATTCATCAACCATTGTAAACATTAATCATTATTTAATTTTTTTTTGTCCATCAACTGAAATTAACCATAAATTAAAAAAAAAAAAAATTAAAATAACCTTAATCATCATTTGATTCATGGTTAATTTTGTCAGCTAACCTATTTTATATATTTTTTTTAAAACCATACCCCTTCAGTATGTGAGCAACCATAGCTCTCCCCAACTTCCTTTTTCTTTAATGTATGTAAATTGGATATTACTATGACTATTTTTTGAAAAAACAGTGGAGTCATTTCCAAATGTTTTCTACAGATTCTCTTGGACTGGTTGAATTACTAAAAATAAAGAAACCAGCTTGTCTTCTGGGAGAAGAGATGTTTTCATGCCTTTGTCAATGGCATTAGTGTAAAGTGACTGCAACAGCTTCAGCCAGAATTTGAACTTGGCCTGCAGATTCCATTTTCTGTGTCATTAACCTTGACATCATCCCCACATGTAAGCATAGTGAATTAAAAACAGATATTTCTTTAAACTCTCAAGATAGAAGTTCACTTTCACTGTGAAATATAACATTAATCAAGGTTTTAATTTGTCTTTTCTAGTTTATATAATCTTAAACAGAACCCTGTCAAGCTTTAAAAATGCATTTATACAATGCATCCCATCTAGATTTTTATAAAAACAGTGAATTTTTTCAAATTTTTAATTTGCTTAAAAGTGAGTTCAGGTTTTTTTATATAATATTAGGTTGTCCCAAAAGTTCATAAACACTTGCAAAAATTGAATTTTTATGCAATTTTTAATTGTTTTTTTACTTGCATTTAATTGCATTTATATTGTTATAGTGATCTTCATCTTTGTATTCCAGATGGCAATTGATAAAATTGAGCTGCGAGTTTTGATTCGTTACTGCTGAAAGCAAGATCTTTCAACCAGAAAAGCTGCAGAAGAGATTTGTGCTGCCGAAGGTGAAGGAACAATTGCATATGCGGCGATCTCAAAGTGGCATAAGTGTTTCGATTCTGGCGACATGAGTCTTGAAGATAAGCCTCGTTCGGGACGGCCGTTAAAGTTGGATGATGGAGACTTGCAAACCGGGTTGGACATTGCGCCTTCATCAAGCACTCGAGAATTGGTTGATGAGCTTGGAGTTGGCAAATCGACAATTCACCAACACTTGAAGCAACTTGATTTTGTTCACAAAAAGCCGCGTCAAGATCCGCACGAACTCACCGAAGCACAAGCCAACAGACGAGTTGAAATTTGCCGTCAATTGCTCAGCAATCCATTGGACGAGCATTTTTGGAAGCGCATTGTGACATCAGACAAAAAATAGGTCTATCTGGTCCAGCACAATCGAGACAAGTGATGGGTTCAAAAAGGGCAAGAGACACCATCGGTTCCAAAACAAGATCAATTTGGCAAGAAAATCCTTTTGTGCGTTTGGTGGAACTTTGAAGGAATCGTGCATTTTGAGTTGGTTCTGAATGGTCGTGCCATCAGTGCCGAACTTTACTGTCAGCAACTGGAGCGGGTCTACGAAAAGTTGAAGCAAAAGTACCCGGCTCTGATCAACCGAAAGCGCACTTTGATGCAGCAGGACAATGCCAAGCCACACACCGCCAGGAAGACCAAAGACAAGTTTGAAGAGCTGGACAACGTTGAGGTTCTGCCACATCCAGCCTACAGTCCTGACTGTGCTCCATCAGATTATGGCCTTTTCCACTCAATGCAACACTTTCTAAAGGGCAGTTTGATGAAGTTGAGGAGGCGTGTCAAGAATTCTTTGATTCGAAGCCGGCTGAATGGTACTTTCACCAGATCCAAAAGCTTGAAGATCGATGGCAGAAAGTCTTGGAAAATGATGGTCTTTATTTTGAGGAATAATTTTTGTTGTTTTTGTTATTACTTGGTGAGTAAAATTTCAATTTTTTGCAAGTGTTTACAAACTTTTGGGACAACCTAATATTTATAAGCTATTTTCAGTATAGTTGTAAATTTTGTTATTCTTCATTTTAGGAATTTTTTTTTTCATGAAATATATGAAAAATCTTATAACCAGTAATTATAAAAACAGTATGAAATTCAATATTATTTTTTATAAATAAACTATTACTTAGCAAATGTTAATCATTTATGACACCACCTTTTGCTTTCGCACATGAATGGCATGATCTGTCAAAGAACTTGACAATTTAAAGATAATAAATTGAAGAATTTTCTCCCATGCATCCATGTAGCCTGTTTCCACTCACCAAGAGTGAAATATTGAGTGATAACAGTGTTTGCTATCATTACCCAAACATTTTCTATGGGATTGAAGTCTGGACACAAGGCTGGCTATTTCACTATAAATAAAAAGTGATCACTGAGGTATGAAACATTTGTTTTGCAGAATGGCAACTTGCATTGTCTTGCTGAAAGATCAACTTTTTTCTTTATTGATAACTTTTGAATCAAACGTGTTCTAGAATCTCTTTGTACCTAAATGTTGTTGAAGTTTCATTAACAATTATTCAAGTGTTGCTCACCACTAAAAGCTACCAGATCATAATTTCTACACCATCAACAACCCTACAAGCAAACCCTTTTTGTTGTTTCCTAACATAGATCATATAAAAACGCTGTAATAATCAGGCCTGTCAAGACTGAAGCACTTTTAATCTGTCCAGATCCTATTCTTCAGATCAGGTTAATCTTTGAAGATTAAGATTATCCCTGCATGCTAGCATTTGGCTTCATTTTAGGATTTACACGGTTTCAGCTTAGCTCACACTAGTACTATATGTGAGTTATTTGCCAAAATGTTGTGAATGGAAGATTTCCATATTTGCTGTACCTGGCTTATTTTTTGTGCAATTTTCCAAACATCGTCTGGTGGATTTTCTATAGCATCTCTTACAAGTCATGGTCTAGTTCTCTCATAAATCTTAATTTTCTTTTCAGCTCATTTCCAGCTTCAACATAAGTGTTGGGATGTCTCTCAAAAAGTTGCAGCTCACAATGATAGAACCAAGATTCTCCTAAATTTTGTAGAAGGAGGGAACTTTGCAACATCCAGAGTGATCTTGGATTACCACCACCACCACTCAGTTTTGCTCCAAATATTAATGCTTTTTCTTCTTATACAGCTAAGGAATCATTTGGCATTTAGAGAATATTTTAGAAAGTATCATTATAATTACAGAAAAACATCAAAATTACAAATGTTTATATATTTGCTGGAGATTGAAACGCAAGCTTCAATTACAAAACTAAATTCATTTGACCATGGAATTAGATCTTTAGAAATATACCTGCAGTTCACTTGCAAATACTATATATACTTCTATATAAGCTGACTTTTTAACCCCTCTAGAAAAAAATTTACCTGTATATAGTGCAACTGGTCACTGAAAATGCATGATTTTAAATTACCTGTGTATAGTGTGAAGCTCTATTTTTTTGTGTAAAAGACTGATCATAAACTACATACAAGTATACATGGTAATTTACAAAAAAAAAATCAGTTTTTTCATATTGTTTTTATAATTTCTGATTAGAATGTAGTATAAACCTAATACCAACATAAAACTTAAACTTCAATCAGTGTGAAAGGTTTTTGATTCATTTAACCTAACACAAGTGTGACACAGGATCAAATTTATGAAGCACTCTTCAGCCAGTTTAACAGTTTATAATGTTAAAATAACTCATAATAAGCACTGTGAAACCAAAGAAAATATGTACTTACCTTGATATTACGCTGAGATAGTTGATGGCAAACTGCATTGTATAAACTGAAAAGTGAAAAAAAATGAGATTCAGGCAAATATTTAACCCTGCGTTAGTCACATGCGGTTTTTTTGTTACCCACAAATTTCTAAAGTATTTGTAATTCATAGTTGGCAACTTGTTTCTTTTGCTCCCTCTCACTACTCTCCTGATTCAGTAAGAGTGTGTAGCATGGGGGTGTGGCACTGTTGTAGCTTAGTTGTCAAGGGAGGCAGATGCCAAGGGATTATCCATTTTTGGAAATCTGAGGTGGCTAACATTGGGTTAATAATATATCACCATTAAACCAAGGTCACCAAAGTTTGATTTTGGAATTTTATAAAAATTAATAAGTTTAAAAATAAATGAATCTAATTTTCAATTTTTATGCAATATATTTGTAACAAAACTATCACTTATTCTCATTAAATATGATAGGTATTGTTTGTTTGATGGTCAAAAGTATTTTGCATTACTAGGAGTTTGATTAATCTATAACAATTAAATTCTATTTGTTAACCAATAAAATCCCATCAGAAAGTTGGTTTGATAAACAATATTTACTATGGCAAATACTGCCAAAATACATGCAGACATAGTTGTAGACCTACCACGTTATTTTTAGAACATTTAAAAAATAACAATAATAACTCCCTTCACCACACTCGCAAATGCAGGAAAAAGATTTCTGCGAGCCAGTGTGAAATTATTTTCTAATGAAAACCTTGTATTCAAAAAGGTCACACCTCTATGTGAAATTGGATTTTGAATCTCCCTTATGGATATAAAAATAGAAGTGTACTGCTTCTCAAGCTTCAAAACAAATTTGGAGGCACATTTAATCTACACATGCATCCACATACACAATGGAAGAGATGAGCCAACTGACTTTCTACACACTCATGAACACATTAGGCTGACTGTCATTACGTAAGTCTATCTATACTTTTCATACAGCACTAAGAATGCTTAATTACTTTATAAAACAAAATTCATTGCAAGAAAAATTGAACATTTTATTGTTATTGTATATTTTTGAAAAGATTATATAAATGTTATTTCAACTGACGTTCTGCTTCTACTTTTCCTTCAGCAAATAACCTTTTCATGTTTCATTTAAAAGGTGTGTTGTTAAATTTTGGAATCCTGACACTCAGATAAAAACAAAAACCTGTGTAGACGTATCCCAACAAATTCACTCCAGTAATTGGGGACCATCACAAAATGGTGTTGAGTGAATTACCATGTATTTGTGGTGCAAATTTAATCAAAAGAGGTTTGAATTTAAAATTATGAATTTAGGAAAAGGATGTGAAAAAGAAAAATAATAAAACTTACCAATTTCCATCTGAAGCAATCTGAAAATAATAACAGTTTAAAAATGATTCATTTTAAACAAAATTAAATTTCAGTCTAAATGTTAAAATGAAAGCAGAGAAAGATTAAATATTTCTAGTGCAATTTTCTTTTAAAGCCCAACAACTACAATGAAACATTTTTGTTCTTACCTGGTGAAATGTTAACCCAAGTTTCTTCAAGATACTCTTTAGTTTTTCAGTTTCAATATGACGCACTCCATCTAAATTCTTAATTTCTTGTTCTTTAATACGATGTTGCCGCTCTCGTTCCTGTGCCACCTTTTTCTCCTGTGTCAGAAATAATAAAAAAAAACAAAAAAAAAAAAACAGAATTATACTTTGTCTATAACTTAAAAGTTATTAACATACCAAATTTTCTTTGCCAATTTTTTTCTTTTCTCTTTTCTTACTGATTGTACACCTGATGAGAGTTGAAAATGGATCAGCCAAAATGTTGTATTAATGACGTCAAGTGCATAAAGAAGGGAGTTAATTGGAGAATTATGTGTGTACAGGCACACAATTTGTTGGTTGTTATGTGGTCTACAGTATTTATATATTTCCAAGTATGAACAGGAGTTCTTTGTCTTTTTACCTCAACTTCTATACCATATTCCTTGCAGTTCCTGAATATTTTTTTCTCACTACTAATTGTTGTGCTCTCAGTATAAAATTAATCAGAGTAAATTCATTTTGCTAAAGAAATTTTATGAGGACTTGAAAGATCTAATTTATAAAAGTATATAAAAGAAAACATTGCTAAAAACCATAGATTTATTGATATTTATTAAGATTAGCTTGATACAAGGTCACAAAGAGATTAAAGTCACTACAGTAGCAACATTCCGAGACTAACTTGCTAACCATTTTGCCACAGTAAGTAACCTAAAAACTTTTGTATTAGTTATATTTCAAATACAGACGTTAATGAATAAAAATAAAGTATTTTCCCTATGATGTTAAATATAAAAATGTAAAATGTTATTTATTTGGGAAGATTAAGTTCATACATTAAAAGAAAAGCACAACTATTCAATCAAAATAAAACATTTAAGAAAAGAAAAGAAATGGTTATGGCAAAAAGATCTGGACTTCAATTACCTGAGATGATTAACTTTGGATGTTTTGGCAAAATGAATTTACACATATATATTCCAAATTTATCCTTGTTGCTATTACAGCATCTACAATAACAAAAAAATTCAACAGCTGTTTATAGTGGAGTAGAAAGCATATTGATCCTTCAAGACAAGGATAGTGGCAGTATTTAAATATCAAAATATCCACAACCTGAAAATGTCAGCGGTGGTCAAATAGATTTGTCTATAATATAAATTGAATCTTTGATACAGTTTTGTTCTGAACATCATTTTTTTTTTAGCATTGACATTCTACTTTTCATAAGCAAACAAGTGTACACTTTTGCCAGAATCCCATCCCAGAAAAACCACAACAGAAAAAATAAAAATTTTACATACCCTTCTTCTTTGAGCTTTCGAGGATTTCTTCACTTCTGTTGTCTCTGCATCATTTGTGCTTAAGTTTTCCATTTTTGTTTCTAACTCATTGTTTGGTTTTTCTTGTGAAGTGGACTCATTAAGCTCTGCTAATTCCTTGTTATGTTTCTCACCGAGTTCTTTTTCCAGTTTAGCCACTTGTTCTGTTGCCTCTTTCTTTCGCTTTTTGTCACCCTTAGGAACACCATGTTTAATTTTCTGGATCTCAGCTGCAATAGATAAGGTTGAATCTTAACAAGAAATTCATACAGGGGAGAAAAATATGCAAATTTGTGTATATATGTCTAGAAAAATTAAAGGAAAGTGTAAAAAAAAAAATGATTTTTTTGTGCAACACATTTCATCCTTTAAGACATCAAGCATAAGTAAAATGTTTTTGATAATCTGCATAGGAAGGGGAGGGGGAATATAAAAAACCTACGTTGTATTTATAATTATGTATCGGTATGAAACACTTAAAATTTTGGAATGCTGGAATATTTGTTTATAAATGTGCCTATCCAATTTCATTTACTTTCTTTATGCTTTTGTTTTTATCACTTTATTATTAAGTATATTGATAATAAGATCTGTCAAGAAATGTGTCAGGTTGCATGAACCTGGATGTAAATTTACCATGGATGATCAAGCAATTAAACACTTTCTATACACTCAGTAAATTGCTTTGCTCTTTTCATTAAAGTAACATTTTTTTTAAATCAAAATAAGGCTACAATAAAGCCAGACACATTATACAATAATCAACTAATACATTGAGGATGTTGTTTTGTAAAAATTTCCTTTGTGTTCATATAACCTTTTATTTAAAGCCTTTGATATTCCTATATATATATATATATATATATATATATTTGAAAAATTAATATTTCCTAAAAAAAAAAAAAAAAAACATACTGTAACAGAATCTTATTTGATAAAGGGAAAAAATTTGTTATCTTAAGCATTAATATACTGTTATATACCATACCTATGAACACTAATGGGTATGTCACAATCCTCATAAATACATTGGACACTATTGTAAGTGGAGGGTAATTTGCTGTCTATGTAGTTCACCACTAGCAGTGATTTACCTACTTCACACTACTGGCAAGTATCATATTTTGTCGATGTTATAAAGATTACCATTTAATTTCCAACCTCCATTTTGGTTATTTCTCATTCAGTAACCTTTTCTAGGTTACAACATACTAACTGCAATATAATTTTATCAACACAAATCTAGTGCTAATCGAAAACTATTTAAATCAATATTGAGTTTTTTGTAATCATACTAAAAGGTATTTTTAAAAGATTATACAGTATTTAAACTTGCTTTCTTCATCTATATAAACAACACTATTCTATAAACTGTAGCCATCACAACATAAAAGGACCTGCCGGAACAGGGCAGTTGTCTCTCGTTGGCTCCCTCAGCCTCAACTACCAAAGCCTTCAGACACACTCATTTTATAGACCATGACAAAGCAGCCAATTGGTTGAGTGGGAGAGTTTCTTACCTATGCGGAGGCATACTCCACCAATTGTCCCTTCCTTCAACTGCTCTGCGACACCATACACATGCAATGTGTGGCCGTTTTCGGGCATGATGTTGCGTATCTTGCTCATAACAATCACATAAACTCCAAAAATTAACTGGCAAACATGGGCCTTTGGGTCAGCAAAAAACAGTATCAAAAGGATGTTTTTTCCATTGACATTACTATTATTTTATCTACCTTCCATCCCTAGTAATGTTTCTTGTTTTAAAAAGTGATGATTAGAATTATAATAAAACCTAAACATATGATGAAAATGAATTTATCCTTTTTTTTCTTGAGAATTTAGATCAAAAATATTAAACACTATTTATCAGGGTGTTTATTTACAATTCATATTTACAACATTCTAAAAAGTAATACAATTAAAATTAATGCAATATTTATCAATTTATAAAGAAATAAATATGAAAACAATATTTTATTAATTAAATTTATAAACATTTACAAAATTATTAAAATAGTTGATCGTTATTATTTACCATTTTATAAAATTTGAATCAATTGGCAATTAGCCTATGTGTTGCAAACCATTTCAATAAACAATATAATAGTATAAATAAACAATCTAATAGTTTATTATTTTTGTTGTCAATTCTCAAGAATAAAAATATGTATAAATTTACTTTCATATAGGGACCTCCACAGAAATGCGATACCTAAGGTTTAAAATGATTTTCTTAAAAATGAAAAATCTTGAAGCTTTTATTTTCATTTTAATTTCTAGTTAATAGATTAAATTTAATATTTTCAATAAGCAAAATACTTTTTCTGTATTTCAAAACTAATTTAAATTGAGTGGGAAAAGTTTTTGTTTTGAAATTGCTAAAAATTTAGCACCATTTTTAATTCATCCATCATCTTGATGTAATTCTTTTTATTAAAAAATCTTTCAAAAAATACTTTTCTGAAATTTTATTTGAGGAATATCAGTTGATTTACAGTTTAATTAATTTCTGATTTGAAACAGATATTACTTTAAATTTAAAACATTGCAGAAATGCATTTCTTAACATGGTGATAGCTATTTAAGGTGTTGACAGCTTGACTGAAAAATGGAATTTTATCTAGTTTTTTTCTACAGTGGATATATCTAAAAATTACTTAGGGAATGTAATGTGTGCATCTTTGTTATATAATTTTTAACTACCCAATTATCTGAAAAATTTAGGAAAATATTCTTCATAATCTAATATTTTATTGAATTCTAGGTACTTTGGCTTTAAATTTACTATAGTTATCACTCTTATCTTCTGATAATGTCATGTATCGACTTCTGCATTTAGAAAAATTGGCACATTTATACACATACAATAAAAATTAAAAATTCTTTTTAAAATATTGTATCACTAAATTGTAATATGTTTTTCCATTTATGATTAGTCAATATAGTTTTTTCATCTTAATAACAATATTACCTGACCTCTGCAAAGTAAGACAGCATTTTAAAAGATTTAAAACTTTATAAATTATTATAATTAAAATTTTAAAAAATGAAATTTCTTGTAAAAATTAATTATTCATTAATAGTATCCTTAATATATCTTATTCATATAAGCAGTTAAAAGCTTTTCTAATTAAAGAAAATCTTAGTTTTATTGCATTGTTTTATTTTTTGATTCAGATTTTCGGCAACTTGGGGTCTGGTTTTACAAAAAGAAATGGATGATTTAAATTCTTCAAAGAATTCTACTTTTAACCAATATAAACATTAAACTCTACAAATTTTTAATTTCTTGAAATTTTCATCAAATTAAATAAGTAGGGGATAACAGATGTAAAAAAAAAAATTTTTTTACCAAGATTTTCTATTAAAAAAAAAACCATCCCTAATTTCATTCATTTGTGAATAAGTCCTGAAAGTTTTGTAATGGGTGTGAAATAATAACTCCCTTCACATTCATAGGACTGAGGAAGAAGGAAAGGAATTCACAAGCGTAAGTTAATTTTTTTTTTTTTTTTGACCAATGAAAACCTTGCCTTCACAGAAATTGACCAGTGATCTGAGAAGAAGGAGGAAAGGAATTTGAGAGCCTATGTGGAATCATTTAACATTGCCTTCAAAGAAATTAGCCAGTCAACTGACAAGAAAAGAAAGTAGCAAGCTTACATGAAATTCTTTTTGATATAAAATGAGGAGAAAAATTAAATTAATAAGAAGAGTGTCTGAAGTCATGGGGAAGGTTTCATTCCAGTTCCTTGCAACCAGCATCAAAGTTCTTGGCAGTGTAAAATTACTTACCAATTATCGGTCACTAATCAACACATGGCACTTCAAAGAATTTTTTTCTCAACAATCCAAGAAAGCAAAGTATTTCAATCTATCTCTCGTCTAATTTTGAACGTATGCAAACTGTCTCTTAGATGAGCAACAAACTCTCTTACATTTGTCTTAAACATTTTTTAATATTGTGTCAGATCATTTAATCTGGTGAATGAACATTTCCTGTTCATGACTATAAAACTATGGACTTTTAAAATTCTTATTTATTTTTTTCTGAAACGACTTACCGGCACTACTTCAAACGTGTAAATGCGTGAACAAATTCCTAACCATTTTTTATCCTCGTTTCCTATTGTCATTTCATTCTTCATTAATCATCTTGACGTAGGTAAATCACCTGTTCATTTTTAAACCCCTAAGCCCCGCACTAGTATAGTTCCATTAAAATCCGACAATTATTTGATTTTTGCAGGAATTTCCAAATCAATGTTTTCGCCGCAAAAAAAAAAAAAAAAAAAAAAAAAAAATGCTAAAATTTCCTATACTAATTTTTTTTCTCCAACCTGAAAGAAAATAACGTGTTTTTTTTTAAATTAAGCAAGAAGAAGCAGCTGCAACAAATGTTAGAAAATAGTATTTTTTGAGTTTTATTGAATTATTTCGTAATTTTCCGTACACCTGATATTGCATTTTTTTTTTTTTTTTACTGAAATAACGTCTTCAGGGAACATTCACCAAATTAATAAGTACACACGAGATATCGAAAGAGGTGCGTGAAACACAAAACAGATAGTGCTGAAAATTCCGTTTGAATAAGATAATTCCCTGATTTTTTTGATCGGCAAATATTTTTACAACAGTGGGTAGCGATGTTTTGCTTTAATTTCGGGGGAAAAAAAAAGACAACGTCCATTTTGGTGGTACCTGAATTCAATATTTCTGAGAACTTTTTTTGATTTTTTTTTCGGCAAATATTTTTTAAACAGTGGGTAGCGATGTTTTCCTTTAATTTGGGAAAAAAAAGAAAAAAAAAACAACGTCCATTTTGATGGTACCTAGAAATTCAATATTTCCGAGAACTTTTTTTAAAGGGTAATAAAAAAAATAGGAGCGGAACTACCACCTTTCCCTTTGGATTTGACATGCATTAGAAATAAAACGCAAAAATAGTACAGTTAGAAACCCAACATAATTTGTTTTGTTTTTAACAAATTTTTCCATAATAACTAAAATTTAATTTTTAATTTAATTATCGTGAAGTAAAATGCATGGATATATTTCAATTTTTATGGAATGATATTTTCGGTCAGAAAGAGAAAGATAGCCTTGTTTTGACTTCTGGGGACTTTCTTTCTCCCTCCACACAAGTTCCTTCAGTAATTAGGAATAATTCTTGATTTGTATCAGTTTGGTTTTTATAACTTTTTTTTGCAGCGTTTTTCTACACTTTGGGTGTGTAATTTAATTTCGGATGCATAACTTTTCAAGCCTAAAGAAGTCAGAATCTGAGGCTAGTTCAAAAAAATTAGAATGTGAAATGCAAGGGAGGTAAACCAATGATTGTTATGCAAAATAGTTTGAAAAACTAAACTTAATAATACCTGAATTTTTCTTTACAACTACACCAAAACTAAAAGCCTAAGAAGAGTATCACAAGGAGTAATTTTATTCATATATATATATATATATATATATATATATAAAAATCAACGATGTCAAAGTCATCAATGTTTTAAAAATGACTACACACGTGGGTTTCTTAAGTCTTATATTGTTAAAATAAAAATGTTATTGGATTGTTTGATGAGCAGTTGTTACGAGAAAATCAAATATTGAGAAAATAAATCAACAAAAATGACATATTTAAAATTAAAAATAAAATCAATTTAAGATGACATTTGTCATTTAAAGTCATGTCACTAAAGAAAGACGTACTAAAAACGTAACATTAAACAAGAATGTAAGCAGTTAATCGAATGATGAAGTCTCCAAACAAAAGATATATAAATTGTAGACATCCTACTTAATAGCTGATAAATAGCGATCTGTAACAATAAAATAATCACCAATTGCAACACGTGTGCGTAAAAAAGTAAAACTGATTATGTGTGACAGAGAGGAAATCGGTAAATTAATTTTAGTGATCGCGATAAAAGAAATGAAAATCTGCCACGGCGGACAAAATGTGTAATCACTATTAATATGAAATATAGAAAAAATGTAATAATAAAACCTTGGAGCTCTTTTTTCTCTTTTCGATGTTTGCATAGTAATTCTTCGAGGGTTTTCTGATGATCGTCCATGCCCGCTTTGCCAAAAATGGAACTCTTCTCTGAAAGGTGAGCAAAAAAATCAAGCAAGCGACGAAGCTTGATTTTTAATACTAACGAATCACGCAAAATGGTAAGTCTGTCTTGATTTCTTCCTTTTAAAACCAACAGCAAATTAACTTATCCTTTTTATGTACTTTTCTTTTTAATTACGTGTCTAATTTCTCTCCATTTTGTTACACACACAAAAAAATTAGATAATCTATTTTTTCTATGTAGATTTGTTCTTTTAGTTTTCAACTGAAAAGAAATATGTACACTACAAAATAACTAGTGCCCGACTGAATGGTATTATTTAAAAATCTTATTTAATGTGTTCTCGCAAAAACCTTGCATTTCATGTTTGTTAAAATAAAAATCATTTAGAAATTAGAATTTACAATCTAAGTCCCATTTATTTGCTGTGAAACCTCAGACATATACAAAAAATATTTAAGAAAAAAAAATAGCTTTGGAAGCATGTTCATCATCAATTTAGTTTAAAAAAAATCTCAATATAAAACTTTTTACTTTATTCTCTTCTGTTGTATACACACTTATTGAATCGAATGTAATAATGAAATAAAGTATTTTAGCCGAAGGGCAATAACTCTTTTAATTCGGATTTTATCCGAGAAAAAAAAACAAAAAACTCTTACACTTGTTTTATTACGAGGACGAGTAACGATGGCCTAATCACAATAAAAATGTTTTACTTTTGTAAGTTCAGTTTTAAAACATCGGTCAGTTGGTCAAGTGATTGATGTTGCCCATTCTTGCAACCCAGATTTATATGGACTGTAAGGAATCCGAGCAAAGAAGCGAACGTCTTACATTGGATTACAAATCTTTAAAGATTCGATTCATTAAACTTTCTTACCTGGCACAGGGCTCGTCCCTGTACTGGTGGTATCACAGCTATGACTAGCTTAGACTAGTGGCCCGAGTGAAAACACTCGGGTCCCCACGTTAAAAAGTGACCTTGTGTCACATACTGACTCAGTGGGGCGTCAAGTAAATATCTCATTAAACTTTCTTTATCGTTAAAGTTTAAATGAAATCGAATCTGAAAATAACAGCAGTATAATTGAATTAATTAAAGATGCTATGAATAAAATAAGCATAATTTGAATTATAGCCTCACTTGTTTTAGCGACCAGTTTTTAATTTTTTTAAAATATATATTTTTATTTTCTCTCATAACGAACTGTACTTGCAATACACAGCACTAGCCTTTTTCTTTGGGTAGTTTAGTAACCGAAACAATTTTCGCATACCTATGTAAATTACGTCCGTTAGATTACTTTCCTCATGTTCTGAGCACTAATTTTCTATAAATAAAATCGAGACATCAATTTTTGTGACCAACAAGACTTAAAATTTCAGAAATAAAAACGATAGTACTAAATGGGGGAAAAAATGCAATGATTTTTGTCATCTAACAAAACAACATTTATCCACTTGAAAAAAAATTGGTTTTCCACTAAAAAAAAAAGCATGTTTATTCAGAATTTAGATTTTAAAATAAAAAATTATTTCGTACATTTATGAGTAAACTTTTAAAAATTGTTTAGGATCGATTCTACGATAGTTTTTGTTTTCCAATCGCTTTTCACCACATTAAAAAATAATAGCAAGTGTTACTAAAAAACCCTTGATAATGTTATATTTCACAGTGAAAATTTAAAATGAACTTCTATCTCAAAAAAGTGAAATTGGTCGTATTTTCTTAAAATTTTGAAAACATGCGCTTGTTTTATAAACCTATCAGAAAGTTGTTTTTTATTTTTAATTTATTGAACTAAATTCGTGATTTGAATGAAGCATAAAAGTTCACTTATCAGATATTTTATTTATTTTATTATGCAGTTTGTTGTAAAATTTAATTTGAGACCCACTACTACAATGTTTTCATAAGTTCACGTTCTCTCTCTCTCTCTTTCCTAACCTATGCCCTGACTTTCACTCCTGCCTTTCAAATCCGGCTCCCAAAGCCTTATCAGAGATAAGAATTGTTGCGGGAACCTGGGTGTCTATATCAGACGATACCCGCAAACATTAAAAAAAAAAAACGATGATCTGACACAGGTCAAGGCAAGGATAACAAGAACAAGAAATTCAGCTAAAAATATGTGAAAGTTTATTATTGGCAAATAAAATTAATACAATTCAAAGAAATGAAGATGTTAAAAAGAAAAGATGTCTCCGTGTTTTAAAGCCGTAGCTGATAATCCAAAAATGAATAGTTTTGTAACTTGTTTTTGTTTTTGGTAGCGCTAAAAATAAATTCAGGAAAACAGTTTCTTTCTGTAGCTCTGATGATGAGACCATAGCAGTTGGTTACACTGAATCAGTTGGAGTGCACAGATGATAAACCAGAACAGTTGATATGTGCAAAAGATAACTGGAATAATTGGTATTATGCAAAAGATGACCGGAACAGTTGGTATTGCACAGAAGATAAGCCTGAACTGTAGGTATAGCACAGAACCATTGATATGCACAGAAGAGATAGGCAATTTACCATAACCTATCAAGACAGTCCAAGTTGCTGGTCCTGAAAAGGAAAGTGGTTAATGCATACCTGTGCAGTTGGGGAAAAGACTTAGTTTTGGTCCTAAAAAGGAAGTTTTGATAAGAACAGGATCTCTAAAATCTCTCCAAGCAGTCCTGTAGGTTAGGAGGATTGACTGCAGTAGCAGGATCACACATTAACACTGGCAGGGCACCTTCCTACTGGCTGATCATTGCTGCTTTTATGGCATAAGGGTGTTACAACATTTGCAGGATTTATAACACTATTTCCAGTTATATTAAAAAAAAATATTAAACTACTCTAGGTTATGAATTATACTACAAAAAGGAAGTAGTGTTTATTTTATATAATCATAATCTTCCAAAACGATGCAGAGAATTATTAAACTTGAACAAATGGTCACATAGGGTAGCGAGCCACTACAATATAATATATTTTTTGACGAACGAGAGAGCTGGAAAATATAAAAAGCAATTTGACTACCCCTGCCCTGACCATGGTGCCTAAAAGTCATTGTAACACTCACAACTTGTCAGAACCATGCTTCCAAAAACCAGCTCCAAAACCATTGATTCTCATAAGAGATAAGAATACATTGTCTGATGAATGAGAGGACCAGGAAAGTGTATAGCAATTTTGGAGGGAAAAGTTCTCGATGTTTCTGAGCCTTTTAATCCCAATAAATATGGAGTATATGCATGTGCCAAAGGGTAACACAGACAAGAATTTGTCTATAATAAGTGATAACAACCAAAATGATGACAATAGTTTGTGTGTGTGTATGCAGTGTTTTACTAAGTGTAGCTTAGATATGGAACAAGGCCTCAAGTATGAAGCATCCAACGAGGATTGAACTGCCTACTCGGTTGTAATGAATCTAATGATACAAGCTTTCTAACCATTGCACCCCATCAAAGTGCCTTTCTCCAAATACACACACAATTTTTCTCCTGAAAGTTATGGCAATTAGAAATGGAATCAGAAGTAAGAGATTACCTGCTCATTGGCAATCACATGTTCTAACAAGTCATTTCTTCAATTCCTATTACTAATTTTATTGTAAATATATCTCAAAGTGTAAAAGGTGGCTGTAACAAAAATTTTGAATACCATTTAAATGAGATGATCCAATCGAGATCTTTTCTCATACCTTGATCCTTAGCACCAAAGATTTCATAACTGATAACTGACTCCTGTGAATTTTGACCTTTACTCCCTCTGTTTAATAATCAGCTTTTCATGGGAAATATTCATAATGTTCTGGGTGGAATTAAAGGATGTATGTAAAGAAGAAGAAAAAATTACTTGCAGATGTCTCCAAAAAGTGTTTCTGTGATGTCACAGTGAAAGTCCCTTAATTCTTCTCAAGAACTTTAGCAGAATTTATGATAGCATTAACTTGTCTGATTTTTGCAATTTTGCATATACCCTATCTTGATTTCTTCATTTAAAATATACCAGTCATAAACAATATTGTATTTTTTCTAGAATATTTAACACTGACATAGCAAGATTGAAATTAAAAACTAAAGCAGTTCTAAAATGATTAAACACTAAATAATTTTCTTTCTTTTTTTCTCACAAAATATTTATTTGTTCATGTTTATTAGGAAAAAAAAATTCTTTTTTCATGGAGTTCAATTTTACTTTTAGTCTTCATAAAATTGACTCTCCCAAAAGGTTTCTGCATGAGGCATTGTTTGAAATGAATAAGAGAAACACAACCTTGATTTAAAGTTTCAGCAATTCCAACTAGACGTTTATTAAATATTTTTTGTAACTTCTGAAAGAAACGGTATCAAGTGTATTTTTATTTTGTATCATGAACATACTTTATTCTATAATCCTCTTTGTTTTATAGCATGGTCGAGTTAAAGTTCGAACAGTGGCTGAACAAGCTGAGGCCAAGAAGAAGGAGAAAGAGAAAAAACTTCAAGCATATAATGCTGCCTTGGAAAAGATATTTGAAAAGGTAAGTGATAAAGAACATTGATTTGTCATTATCTGGTTAGATAAAACCATAAGCAAGAAAATGAGAAAAAATGATTTTATACCTTAGATTGCTGAAAGAATTTGGATAAAAACAATAGTGATCTTAAAATCATACCTGGCTAATAAATGTTGAACTGAATCAACTTGTAAAATTTTCAAAAGCAGTTATATTATGAATGTAGAATTTTTAAGTTTGAAAAAGTCTCTGCTTTTAAAAGTCATTTGTTTTCAGATTGTTGTTGTTTTTTTTTTGTTTTGTTTTTTTTTTCATCTAAAAACTGATTTCATTTTACTACAGCATTGATCTGAGATATTTGTAGTACAAATAAAGAAGTAACTATTGCTATCAAAAGAAATTGGGTTTTTGTTTTGTCTTTAGGCAAAGCAATATTTCACAACTTTTTTGGCTTATTGGTCTAAGCTTTGCCTTGTAAATTTTAATTTCACTAGAATATAAAAGCATATTCCTAGCTTTTTTTAGAAAATTGAACTTTTCTTGTGGGTTATTGATGCTATTACTATAATGTTTCAGACAGTTCATTCAACAGTCTATCTATATAAACTATAAGGAAATAGGAAAGTCTCATTTTGGTTAGGAGGGAATAAAAAAAAAATTTAAATTTGAAAAAAGTATCATTTCTCTTATAGAATGCAGATCTTGAGTGGACTATAGATCAGCCAAAATATGTTGCCAACACAAAGTTGGAGTTCAATTGTGTGAACAAAACTTGAGCTGTTAATGAGTCTCTTGTGTTTTAGACAGTATAGTAGCATATTCTGTCTCCTTGGATCATGTGTTCTTATTGTCCTCTTTGTTCTTTCACTCTCAGTAACTCCTTGTATTTTAGTGGCTTTTTTCACTTGGCTCGAAATGTTTTTTTAAAAATGAATTTAACTAAATAACCAAAAATCACACACATACAAACACTGTTTTAAATTTATAGTTATTGATGCAATGATTAATTTAGTTCAGTAGAATAAGTTTAATGTTTGAATTTTTATTGCTGTCATTTCCTTACCATAATTAATTCAGTGCCAGAAACTTTCCTTTATTGTTTTCTAGTACTGTTTCTACAGCTGGAGGCATAGTATTCAGATTTAATCATCTTTTGTACAATTTATTATTTTCTTTATTATTCAATGCATTTATGAATTTAGTGAAAAGTCTCGCTAGTTGAATGCAATTGGTTAATTAGTTCAATTTTTCTCTGTAATGATCATTGATATTGTTGTATTGATTGTTTAGATTTAAAACATGGCTGACAGTTAAGAATAAATTTTGAAATATGTTAAAATGAAATTATGTACCTGTTTCTTTGTAAAGTTTCCTGAAAAGGAACAAAAACACTTTTTAACTTCAACTATACAGGTAATTATGCATATTTATTTTCAAACTTACAATTAAATTTTTAGTGAGATAATGTTTAATTTTTAAATTCAATTATTGCTGTGGTTGGAATTTCGAACTGAACCCTTTATTTCGCTCACTGGGGTAGACTGTTCTAGTTCCGCGTGCCATGTTTGATGGATGTCAGTTATTAGTTATCTTCTGCTAATTTCCCTCTGAAAGTTCTCCACTGCCTTAACCGGGTATTGAACTCACACTCTTTTGGGTCCTGTCACTGGATCTAACCAACGCCTTTATCCACTGTGCCATGAATTTCTGGGTATTATAAACCTAATGTCTTCAGCAACCATTTTTACCAGTGCTCATATTGCAATTTTTGCTGTTATCATTGCATGTTTTTACCAGAGCTCATATTGCAACTTTTGTTGTTATCATTGCTTTTCTCTGGCACTCCTTATTACTGGTTCCCATATTGTATTTATTTCTATGCTTGGTCGGCTCAGGAGATTTTTGTGGCCTAGCATATGTGCTGATTCCTTAAGTTTATGAATTTTCCAATGGTGTTCCTTGTCTATAATCTCAACATGATCCCACAGATGGCGGTGATCTCCCTTCTCTCTCCATATGTGGTCAGCCACGCCTGATTTTTCCACTTCCCCTCATGTTACAGCTTTCTGGTGTTCTTGAAGCCTTACCTTGAGGGGGCAGCCTGTTTCTCCTTTATATAACTAGAACAGTCTACCCCAGTGATCGAAATAAAGGGTTCAGTTCAAAATTCCAACCACCTGAAGAAGGCCAGAGTGTACAATGGCCGAAACGTTGTGATAAATATGGCGACAAAGATGAGGACAATAGTCCGAATAATGTAAATAATGTACATAATACCTCATCTCAGAAATATAGACAGACTCTGTAGTGCTATGAGTTTTGCATTCCAATTTTGTGGATTCCAGGACCAGCATTGTAAACAAAACACTTAACTACATTTAGTATTTGAAAAAATAAGCCTGTATTTTGTTTTGGCAGATTTTGTTGTTCATGAAAGTTAATTCAGAATCTCTGTTTATAATCTTCTGTAGGAATAATGTGGGTGAGTGACTTATTTTTTATAAAACAGAATCAATACATGTACATATATTACACAGCATATGAACTTTGTATACATATCTGCATATATATATATATATATATATATAAAATGCAATGTGTATCCATATATATTTCCGAAACATTTGATTAAGATAATATCACATACACTTTAATAAATTGTTTTATGAGTTTCTTGAACGTTATAACCTTTATTAGTCTTTTAATCATGGATAACTTTTCTACTGTTTAAATTTTAGCATTACTTGCAGCAGTTTTTTTTTTTTTTTTTTTTTTTTTTTTAACTTTCTAGAGATTTTCTTTGCCTGAATATTGCTTTCTATTCTCACACATTTCTTTTTAATGATGGATTATGAGTTTTCTATTGAAGTAATAACTGGGAATGCTTTGAAACCATTTTTTTCCTTTTGGGGACTGGGAGTTTTGCAGAATGTGAAGGAACATTGCCTTGTATTAATATACCCTTTATGTTAAAACCTTTTTGCTGTAGGTACTAATTAAAAAAAAAATCAAAATCAATGTCATATCAAAAATCTTAGAAATATTTTCTGCATTTATCTTGATGACATCATCAATTTTGCAGGTACCTATAATTTTACTGCTCAAAATATTATTCCACTTCATACACTGGTCTGCTAGGCCATTTTGAGTGAATATTTCCTTGAAGAACTCAATCTCTAGTTTAGCCATCAGGCCCATCAAATGTAGCACTACATTCATTGCTAAAAAACTACAGTTAAGAAATCAATTTTCATCAATTTCTTCATTTAAATTTCTTGTTTCTCTTTGTGATATTTATTTACATGTGACAGTTTAGTTTCTTTTATGACTTTAGTCAATGTGCTTGTTATTCTGCATCTTTTCTCTCTGTTTACATTTACAACAGCTTCCAATTTTTTTTTACTGATTACTTTTCTTGCTTATTACCTTTTTTAATTGTTCTTCATTTGTTTTTTGTGACAGTCTTAAAGCCATTTTTTTTTCTTGTTTTTATTTTGGTGATGTTTCCAATTTCTTTTTTCCAAGTGTTCTATGATCTCTCTTCAATTTTTATTGCAATTTCCAACAATATATTCTCATCAATCAATAACTTTACAATCTCATTTCTCTTTTGAGTGTAGATCTTTAAATAGCAATCTTTATTTATATACACACACACACATTATGAAATGGACAAAGTCCAACAATTATTTTAAGACATTTTTATATTTATACATTTTTTTTATAACAAGTATATATAAACATAAAAATGTCTTAAAATATATGAACAAATCAATAGCTATACTATTATATATATTTAATTATGATAAATTATTAACAACTCTGGAATTTCAGAAAAATCTTACACTACCAAATAAATTATTTCTAATAACACAGATATTATATGCTGAAATTCATACATTATACTTATATGATAAATATATCCTGAAAGTTTTACCAATATTGGTTAATAAAAATATTCTTGTGTAATTTGTCATACATATAATGATAAAATGTTCCCATAATTATCAATTTTTTTCCTCTTCATTCCTTCTTACTGTGTCAAAAACACAGAATAATCTACAGTAGCAGAATTGTTGCTAGAAGATATTTTGCTACATTTTCTAATGTTCAAAACTAAGTGCAAATAGATTTTGAAGATGTGTTTTTAAAATGTTTTGACTTCATTCTGATACATTCATGTATTTTATCTTTTTCATTTTTATTTTTAGCGTAACAATCAAATTTTGGATGAAGAAGGACTCAAGTTAAGTCTAGAAGTCCTTTTGGCCAACCCAGATTTCTACACACTCTGGAATTTCAGAAAAGATATTTTCTTCTCTTTAAAAGAATCAAGGTAGTATATTATCTGATTTCTTGTATAATGTTTATGAGTTAATAATTTGATTATATTGTAGTTTTCATATTTCCTGCTCTCTCTTTCTCTCTCTCTATAATGATTAAGCAATCAAATTAAATAAATGATACTAGCAGAGTTTAAACTATAATCTCATGAAAATAGATCATGATGTAATAACTGATGTACATAAATCATCTAATACACACACACACACACACACACACGTGTGTATATGTCTGTGTGAAGGACAATTCAGAACCACATGTTATGGTGAGATGATGTTTCTGGAAAAACATTCAGCCACTTGAAGCTGTACATGGTGAACATGATAGATTTCTACAATTAAAATAACTAGCCAAATGTACGTCTTATGAACATTTATCTTAATAATAATAATTTAAAAATACTTCAGCAGACGATGTTATTTTATTTACTTTTTTTTTTTTTTTGGTAATTGCTTTACTCGGGTTTCTGTTTTTCAATACTGTGTATCTGAAAAACGGGGCTTTTATTGTGGTTGCCATTACTAAAACAATATGTACATATATATATATATATATATATATATATATATATATCCCAGTAATTTTAAAAGTTACTCCAAAATTCGCTTAAGGATGAAATGGAACTAATGTCTTTAATTTAATTACAAAATTAAATTCAGAGCTTTCAGCTTCCATTTTGGAAACATGGTTAGAACTGTGTAGCAGAAAAAAAACATATTTTAAATCAATTAACTTATAATATTAATGCTCTGTAAATTTACATTGAGCACTATTTTGTAAAAATAAAAATATCTATAAGAACACCGGATTATATATCTTACTGTTCTTTCTTTTTTTTTTTATATATATATATATATATATCTGTACTGTTTTATGGGTATTTTATTAGGACCCCAGAGAATATGAATATGTAGTATTAAAGCATATGTTAGATTGAGTGGTGAAGGATGTGTTCTTGTGATGATTGAGGAAATTGTTAGAGTGACTGGGTTGCGAGTTGGATTAGCTAGGTGTAGGATAGATATTGTTGACCAGCTTCTCCTCACTTTCCCTTTGGCCTCATGCCACAAAATAATGTATTTTATATATTATTTAAATAAACATCACTTCTTGGCCTCTTGGCTGGGATCAAAGTGTTATATCTGCCCTTGGGCAGATAAACTACATTTCATGTGTCTGTCTGTGAACAGAGCACAACTGAAAATATTATTGAGAGGTGTCCGGTCAAACAGCTACCTGCAGCAGTACCTTCTACATTGCACTAAAGAGGGCAGAATCGATAGTAATACCAATATCAGCACACCTGATGGTTTCAAGGGCTTGACTGTTTTTGGAATTAGCCCAGATGCATGCACTTAGGCTTCCTACATTAAATTGACTTTATGTCACATCCTGTCAACATGGGATGGCATGAAAATACAATCACTTTTGGCTTAGATCAAAATGTAGTATCTGTTCTTATCAGCTTAATCTGATTCTCCCCAATTCTATCGTCCCTTCTTTCATTTTCTCACTGAAACCAAGTAGCATTTTTCCCTTATTTCCACATGATTAAAACAGAATAGTCCATTATTTATGATGTATTGGCAGGACATAAAAGTTGTGTGAATAAAGGGGAGGACAAGAACAATTATAATAGGGTTTTTAGATAATATCCACATGTCTGATTTCATTGCCTATGCTGACTCTGAAAATTAATGAATTATTTTGTGCTGCAAAGGTTCTATCTGGAATGATAGATTAAACTGTGTAACTTTTATGAAGAATCTTTACGCTTTTGTAAATCAAATTTGAAATAAGAAAGCTTTTGGTGTTATGTTTCTAATTGGACGTAAGTTAAGTTTGAAAAGATGTGACAAATAATTTACTGTTAGTTTATTGTTATCATCTTTAGTTTTGTTAAAACTTAACTGCTTTTTTAAATTTGTTATTACAAATACATTGTGATACCTGCAAATGACTGAATAGTATTTAGTTTAATTGTTGTGAGAACACTAGATGTTTTTCATTTATTTAATTTTTATTTTTTTCAGACCCACAGAAGAACTTCAAAAACTATATGAAGAAGAGTTGCACTTTATTGAGTCATGTCTTCGGGTAAATCCAAAATCCTATGGCACCTGGGACCACCGTACTTTTGTCATGAATAACATTCCACAAGCAGATTGGAAACGAGAGTTGTTCTTATGCAACAAATTCTTAGAATATGATGAGAGGAATTGTAAGTATTATTTCTTAAATTTCAAACTATGTTCAGAATGTCAAACTGGCTTTAATAGAACATGAAGCCAGGATAAGATCATTGTTAAATAGTTATCTTATATGGATATTAAGATTTTACCAGATTATCAAGAAAAATAAACACGTTTGTATTGCTCCATTTTTATCTCTGGTTTTTATTTAGATGTAAATGTAGATTTGATTTTCATCAATTTACAGCAGCGCAAATAATTGTGGTCCATCACAGTAATTGTAATTCTTCACATCTCCAATTTATTTGATATAATTTTGATGCTAATTTAATATTTTACCTATATTTGAGAGGATATGGATCTTGTTTAAAAAAAAAAAAAAAAAGTAAGGAAGTTGATTGTATTGGAATAAGAGGTCAGGTTTTCAGAACCGTTTTTTTTTTTTTTTCCCTCACTCATCCCCACCACCACCACCCTTCTAAAACTCATTATATTGTGTATGTCTGTTTTACTTCCAGTTCATTGTTGGGATTATCGTAGGTTTGTTGTGAAGAATTCCACAAATATCACCATTCAAGATGAATTTGACTTTACTACTGACAAAATTAGCTCTAATTTTTCCAACTATTCATCATGGCATTATCGAAGTAAACTTCTTCCATTGCTGCAGCCTGATCCTGAGCAACCGGCAGGGGTTAAAGAAGAAGCATTGCTTAAAGGTATAGTTAACATTTTTGTTTATTTTATTTTTATTATTATTTTTTGTTTCTTTTATTTCATATTTTTGTACATTTCTTCTCAGTTATTAGAACACTGGTTCATGCATAGTTATCTTAAAAGTTTAGTTGAGATTAAAATCCTGAAATTAAGTCTCTTCATTTTGGATTTTGTTTTGGTTTGTTCATTTATGAGTGATCATCTTAACTAGTAAATTGAACCATAAATTGTAGAATTACACAAGGGGTTGTTGAAAAGTTCTCAGTTTAAAAAAAATGTGATTCTAAAATAAATTTTGATGTATGTTCAGATTTTGGAAGGTTGAGAAATTTTAATTCCTCCCACCTCTTTCCTTATAATTCTGATGATTTTTTTTTTTTAACTATTCTGGGTAATGTTGTAATAGACACAGAAATTTGAAAGTGAACAAGAATATCAAAAGTTGTCTTCCAGAAACTAAGCAAAGTATTAAGACATAGGCAAATATTGTTAGAAACAAAGAAAAGAGTGCTGAACTGCTATGTAATATAATAATAATAATAATGTATTATTATCTCCTATATGGCTTTAAAAACTGAATAATGTCCTCAGATGAAGAAGCGACAGCCAAGAAATGCTGAAAATACCAGACAGAACATGGGAGCAACAAGGACATATTAAGGGAAGTAGGGCCAACAAAGAAACTTATATCTACAATCAGAAAGAAACAAATGACATAAGCAGGATGAAAACAGTAAAATAGTTGAGTTTGTATGAATGGGTGACAGAACAGGGACAAAGGGATGATAAGGGGTTAAAAATTACTTAAAGCAACAAAAGACAGAAAGTTGTGAAGTGACCACATCCTGAAAAAAATTGGTACATAAAAGAAGAATCTTGACTATTGTTTTTATTACTCAAAATTTTGACTTGTCAGTTCTACAGATATACTGTACTAAATTTATCTAAAGTCCTAAAATAACTTTTTATCAGAATTTTAGACAAAAATTAGTGGAATTATATTCTTATATGGTACAATTAGGATATATATTTATTGATACACTTTTGGGTGCCTATTGTATTTAGTAATTTTCTGGGAATTTCAGATTGAACCCTTTATTCAATCCACAGCAATAGATTGTTCTCATTCTATTATCCATGTTATGTAATATCTTGTATTAATTCTTGTTACAGGACAAATGTATAGTGCATAAACCTTATCTAAGTACATACACTTTACCTGGTAGTTGTGAGTTCAATACTTAGATCAGGCAGTGAAAATCATATACTCTGGTTCAATAGAAAAACAAAATAGCAACATCAAAAGGATGAATAACTAATGTTAATATACCAGTTCAAATAAATCAGTGTGATCTTTTCAAACAGAAGTTATTGGGATATATGTTTCTATTCTGGAAGAAGTACAATGTTTTCCTACTGAAAAAATGTTTAAAAATAAGCAGAAATTTTGTCAGTGTGAAATATATATTTTTTTTTTTTTTTTTTTTGATAAAAGTTTGAGGTTCTAAAAAGTAAAAATTGAAAAATACGTCAGTTTTTCAAAATACATCTTGTAAAAAATTTAGAAGTTAATATTTAAATATTTGTATATGCTATTAAAATAATCTCAAAAAATATTCTTATAGATATAATTATCAAATTCAAGAATATCTGTTTAAATTATGACATTATATAATTAGTACTTGTAATATTTATTCTTAGATGTACCAGATTTGGTTTAATCCAACAAATATCTACAGAACTTAAGGCCACAGTCTCAATCAGTCATATATAATCTCTTAACTGCCTATACAGGTTGGAGATCAACTTCATTCTGCTGACTGAAAGCATTTTTACTATTTTTTATCTACTCAAGTCTCATTTAATCTGACACATAGTATTTGAATCTGAAAATTTCACTGTATAATGTTCAAGTTATGTGATTAATGTTCACTACTGAATCAAGTCCTTTCACAAGAAAGATTATGTTGAAAAATAAATACATTTTTGTTATTTGGCTATGGATTTATTGATTTATCAGATGTAAGTATAAATTTATTAAATCATTTTGCTGTGCCTTAATTTTTTTTATTCTGTACTCAGGGCTCCCATACATCCTGGAAAACCTGGAAAATGTAAATTTTCCAGGACTGGAAACTCAGGAAAAATAGGTGTTTATTTTTTTTTTTTTTTTTTTTTTTGCCCTAAAACCTTGGAAAATATTTGTATTTTGTCCTGGAAAATTTAAGTTATCTGAGAATCTCTCTCTCAAAACACAAAATTAATGTTATTGTTACAGTTAACAAATATAGTCTGGATTATTTTAAACATGGGTTTGATATTTTACAATCAAAACTGGATATTTTTTAAATGTATTTAAATATAAACATGTTTCAAATTTCTGGGTGAATATAAAAGATTATTTCCCTTGGATTTCAGATTGCAGTTTTTATAGTAACTAAAACCCATGTCAGAAGAATTTGAATACAAATTGCTTTCATACCTTCTTCAATCTCTTCTACTTATATGAATGAGCCATTGTGAGCTTTGCATTCATGTACAAAAGCATTCTGATGCTCATCTTGTCGAATAAACTTTTCTTTCCTTTCGACAAGCTTGGCTTTGGTGATTTCCTCCTGACTACTGAACCATTTTCTTCTTCATCCAACAGTTTTGCTATTTTCTTAGTTTCCTTGTCAATGGTAATTACTGAGGCCTGGTATAGTGTCATGTCATCCCTCATACCTTTTGCAGTAAAGTTACAATTCAAACAAGATGCTGCCCAAATTGCTACCTTGTCCATATGTGAAAGATCTCTCTCACAGATGAGGTTGTGTTAAGTGAGTTTTGACAAAAGTTCAGGATCAACTTTAGTCTGATCAGAACATTGTGACCTTTCACCTTCAATGCTGAAACTGAACTCCTGGTCACACTGTCTCTGCAAATCAATTGCTGCTTGTTTGCAAAAAAGGTCCAAGATATATATCTCTAATTTTGATGTAGGTTGCTTCACATCAAATGAGTGATCAACTGTATACTTTTGTAAAGTGTCCAGATTTGAACATCTCAGGCCATCATAAAGAGCAGGAAGAATGGTCAAGAGGGATTTTTGGTGACTCCAGCTTGCATATGTTTAAAAATCTGTCTCTTTTTGCTTAAAACATCAAAAATATTTTCATAATTTCTGTGTAAGCTTTGTAGAAACAACATATAACCATATGTTCAATCATTTGAATCAAAATCAGCAAAGGTTTGTGGCTCAAGTTGTCATTTTTAGTGGGGTTTTTTTGAGCCCTGGGCAAGTCTGGGCACATTTCAGTCCAGCTCCACCCCAATTTTCAAAAATTGGCCCATTTCCTTCTATTTAGACATAAATGAGTGAAATAAAACACTTTCCCCACTTTTTTTTTTTAAATTTGATTTCTATAGCCCACCCCTAATTTAATAACAATAACATTGTGAGTACTCCTTGTTGGGTTTAATTTATTCATTAAATAAAATTTGGTAAATTTCTACATAAGGACCTGTTCAAGTTCACTAGAGAAAAAAAAATCTAGTAATTTTTTTTCTGTAATTTGAACTAATTAGACCCACAAACTGACCGCAATTTTAATGTTTTGAAAAAAAAACAATTATTTTACATTTTAAAAAGTGTGGTGGGGGTCACTTTCACATTTTAATTCAATTTAAAATGATCACCATTTAGCATTTTACTTCCGTGGGGTGGGGTGCATTTTTATTTATATATATATATATATATATATATATATATATATATACTTGTCAGTAATGAACCCAAGATATTTCATTAACCCTAAATCATAAAAAAAGGTAAGAATAAAACTGGTTAAATGTGTCAAGATTAGACATAATGGTAAATTATGAAACCTCCATGAACAAGTGCTGTCTTGGAAAATTTAGAAAATGTCCTGGAAATGATTTCCTAAAAAGTACCCTGGTACTGTATAACTATTATTTTAAGGTTAGTATTTTTTTTTTTTTTTTAATTCAGAATTTGAAATAGTTCAGAATGCCATATTTACTGATCCTGATGATCAGAGTGCCTGGTTTTATCATAAATGGCTTCTAGGAAGAGGTAAGTGTGTTTTTGTTTCCTTATTATTAATACAGTTTTGAAAAATTAAGATAATCTTGTTAGAATTACATTTGTATTATTAAGATATAATACTGAAGATGCTTTTCAGACTTTATAAGTTAGTTTTTAATTGAAATAGTTTTGATTATTTTAATGTACAAATATATGTAAATATATTGCAAATGCCAAATAATTTAATAGTGGCAATTAAGCCTCACATCACAGTTTAACGGGATTTTCTTTGTATCACTTTAAACTTCTTGAGTGTATCAGATTAAAAGGAAACTGTTGATAAATAATGATGATGATGATGATAACTGGCCTAGTTTTGTCCAGTTGATATTATATGGGCAAGTAGGGTAATTATGAGAAAATGAATTTTACAAACTCACTCCTTTCTCTACCATCATCGTGTGCAAGTGACAAAACTCTGGTTAAGGTAACTGACAAGTGCAGGGAGAATTGGTTTTATAAGAGCATTGTTATATTTTGGTTTTATAATAGTATTGGTACAAATTGATTTTATGAGGGCTATTGGTACAAAATGATTTTATATGGGCATTGGTATAAAATTTATATAAAAGCACTATCAACTAGAATTTGGTTTATTGCTTCCATTTTCCAAATTGATAACCATTACACAACCTTGAATCTCCTAATAAAGTATAAAAAATTTACTCTCACGTACAAATTAGAATTAATTATGAAAATAACTAGACATTTAGAATATTAATATATGATTTGTGCATGGATTGTGAATTTTAGATGTTTTTTTTGGTTTTTTTTTTTAAATGTGAAAATAAAGGAAACAAAAATACATTTTTGTCATTTGATGCTCTTATTCTCGAAAAGGAAAAATTGCTGTATAAGCAGTAAAAGATATGTGCCATTTATGGAGATGGTACTCTAGCTGAGCATATTGTCCATGAGTAGTTTACTAGGTTCAGAAGTGGAAATTTTGATCTGGAAGAATGAGAATATTCCAGCAAGCTTGGATATGTGAATTGTTATACTATTTAGGTACCTCACAATTTAACAGAAAAAAAATTGAATGAACCACATTTCCATCTATGATTCTGAGCTCAAATGCAACAAAATTTATCCATTTTTGAAAGTTTATAACAATGTAGAATGAAAAAGGACCTGAGGAAAACAAAATGGGCCACTGTTAACCATTCCAAAAGCCAAAGAAGGTGATACTGTGTATCTGGTGGGACCAGAAGAGCATTGTGTATTAAAAGGCTCCTCCTGTAAAATCAGATGATCAATTCAGACAAGTACTGTTTCCAAATGGACAGATTACAGACAGTAACAGATGAAAAGAACCTGGAATTGGGTAGGTGTTGTCTTCCATCTGGACAATGCCAGACTTCATGCTTTTTTGCAGACTCAACAACTTGGCTGGGATGTTCTACTTCACCTGCTGTACTCACCTTTAGTGACCACTTATTTCAATCCCTACAAATTTCTGTTAATAAGAAATTCAATTCTCTGGAAACCTGTAAAGAAAATCACTTAAACCAGTTCATTAACCAGACAAATCCCAAACTCTGGGAGGGTACAATCATCAAGCTGCATCTAAGATGGAGAAAGGTAGTGGAACAAAATGACAAAAATCTATATAGTTATACCTAAATATGGTCTTTGAAATTCACTTAAAATGCTACAAACTTTTGTTCCAACTTAGTACTACATTTAAAATTTTGCAATAATGTAGGAGCATCATTCATGTAGAAGAAAAGGTAAAAACATTCATTGTAATATCTCTGAAATACATTTTTTTTTGTTATTCTCTTTCTTAGGAGAAATCAAATTGGATCTGCTTCATGTTGTGATTATACGAAAAAGCAAACGGGTTGTAGTCAATGTAACCAAACCCATCCACTTGGTAAGACAAATGATAGTTTCAACACATTTTATGAATTAGCAGCTAAGAAATACTATTCATAGACAAAGCATTGTCAAATATTATTTATCTCATTTTATTATTTTCATCTTATTTCTGTTTTTTTTTTTTTTTATTATTACTACTCTCAAATTCTCATTCCACAAACCATGTAGATTGGAAATACTGAGCCTTTGGTGAAATAAATACAACTAATACTACCAGTATTAGATGAAGATAATGATATTAGATGAAGATAATGATAGCAGGTCAAATATTTGAGAAAAATAAAGAAAAAACTGTATGGTTAAAAATGAATGACTAGAATTGGTTAGTCTTTGTAACCAAGTAGTAGTTTTCCAAAAGAGACAGGCTCCACAGGATAAGAGACACAATTCTGAGTTTCTCTGGAGGCTGATTCTTTATTTTAGATCCACACTGTTTACATGGAATGATGATCTGGAAGTTGAAAGAAAAGCAACAGAAATAAAATAAGAAATATTAATAAATAAAAAAAAATAATAAGCAATCTAGGTATTCTGTATTGAACAAGATCAGATGAAAATCAATTAACAGGTTTTCTAAATTAGTATATGACCTGTTCTCTCAACATCCAAGATTAAATTAACTTCTGTTTTACACTTAAAAGTAGATAGGTTTGACTATCATCTGATTCATACTCCTTCCAACTCTTTTGAACAAGAGCAGAGGTTTATCCCTTGTCTCCTGTTTAAAATTGGGTTTCTGGTTCCTTCTAAAGGCTTTTCCTTCTCTTTCACTTCCAGTAGCCCTTTGTGTCTTTGTGGATTTTATCACCTTGCTTGAGATGAATTGACTAAACAAAAAAGATTATATTTGTAATACATTTTCTAAATTTTGTCTCTCAAATATTTCACAAAACAAAGATTGAGAATAACTCTAAAAATACATGCTTTTCATTCTAATAACTGTACATTGAAATATATATTATATACCATTGTAGACATATATCTACCCTACCTCATCAACCTGAGTTGAAATCATAGTTCGCAAACCTGAAAACAGTTAATTATGAACTCCATAATATTTTCCAGGGCTACATACACTTTTGAGTTGTCCTTCTCTTAGACTGGTTTCTGACCATGGCTAAATAGTCTGGTCTGTCCTGCTATTTAACCCAAGGTGGGGAGATGAGATAAATTCATATCTTTCCCTAGGGTATTTGTGCAAAAGTAAATGTAACAAACTTGACTGGAATTTGAACTCTGCTCGCCAGTTTCTTGTTCTGAGCCACTAACCATCATACTACCTGCACATCTCTGTAGAAATATACTACATGTTTTCTCCCATTTGAAACAATTTTTTTTTTATCTGAGTTATGATAAACTTTACTCTTTTAGCACCAAATATTGAACCTCCGGTGTTATAATGTTGAGTCTGGTTCCTTAAAATTGATCTATTTTTCATAATGTCAAAGATCTGCTTTTTCTTCCAGGTTGATACTCCATACAAAATACAACTTGAAGTTAATGGTAACACAATCACAGATAAATGGCAGAATCCATTTGATACCAATCTTCATTCACCTGTTTGGATATCCTTTTAAAATTAACATTCTGAAATCTTTTGTGAGAATTTATTTTCATTGCTCTACAGTTTTCTTATTAACAGAAGAAAACCTTGTTTTCAGTAATTCTTAATTTTTCAGGAGAATTTCTACTAAAAATGGTCACAATGAATTCACCAAAATTGACCACTCTGTCTCATTTGTAAATTCATAAAAAATAATAGATACAATTTATTTTAGAGCCATTTCTGATTGAATGTTTTTCAATATAGTTGATAACCGACCAAACTGTTCTTCTGACTATGGTTATATTATTTTGTGCAGTCACTAGTACCTTTGAGGAGTTTTGACCTCATCTTCAGTGGAGTCCAGTAACATGAATCATCAAGTAGCAATTCACAATTTAGTTATGAACTGAAAATGGCTGGAGAAGAAAGTAATGAATTTGCAGAAAGTGAAGACTCACTTTTTCTTCACTGCCAGGACTCTACTGACTTTTATGAGTGTTTGTGTTTGTTTTTTATAGAGATCTTGTAAACTATCTACACAACCATCTTTCCTACAATAGCTAACTAATTTCACTCTAGCAAACCAAAAGGGAGTTTTAGAGAGTTTAACTTTATTTGACAGTACCAAAATTTAATTAATCTTTCTCTCATTTCAATATTGAAATCTTAATACAACATTGTATTCTAAATGTCCCTCAAAAGTGACTAGCAACTTACAGTGAATTAAAGATAAGTGTGATAAAACACTATTGCCTCTACATAACTTGACTATCATCCTGACATGCTGCCTTTTCTACAAATATTTTTATAGCAACTGCTTTGATGAGTTTTTTTTTTCTGGTGCTCCAACTACATGAATTTAAGCATGCCAACTTGATTGGCAACTATTTTACCATTGAACTAGCTAGATGCAACTGCCACTTCTAACAGTTTCTTTTCTCGCACTTGTCACACTCCCCACCTGTGGAACTCCCTTCCAATTTCTTGCTTCCCTGATAACTACAATCTTCAAAAATTTAAATGCAATGTCAATCACCATCTTCTTGAACCCTGCCCATTTTTATCCTTTCTTCAATCTTCTCCATTCTCACTCTTCCAATTCTCTGTCTTCCCATTCTCTTTCACTATCATTCCCTGTAACCCCCTGCATTCTAGTGGCATTGTCATCTTGCTCGGGGTGAAACGATTAAAAGAAATACTGGTATCATATTTTTTTCTTTTGGAATGTTTTTTTGGCACCTGAATACACTCACCACATGTATCAAAAGACCTGAAGCCAAAACTTTGCTTATTGTACACATGCATGTGTTGAAAAAACTGCAGTCATTTGCTTTTCTATTGTTTTTGTGTGTATAACTATGATTTATTTCCTGAAATCTGAGCATTATTTTGTCACTGTAGCTGAAAATTGTGTATATTGTAAAGTGCTAATTTTTTAGGTTTCATTTAACCATGTCAATGAAAAGTGTGGAATTTTCAAGTGTTGGACTCTAGACCATTGTGAAGTTCTTGCAGAAGAAAACTCCAACTAAAGTCCATGAGTGTATGATGCAAACATTCATTGACAAATGCCCATCATACTCAACTGTGAAAACTGGCGTGCCAACTTTCAATATGGATATTTTAAGACCCAAGGTGCACCATAATTTAGGAGCCCTTCAACGGTGTGACCTCTTGAAAATGATATTCATGTTTATAATGTAATTTTGGCCAATCTATAACACCACACCTTGGTTGATCCTGGGTCAGCATGGTCAAACAATCTGACCTTTACCACACTCTGCCTATACCAGAAGATGACTTGATCCTCAATCATAGGATGACGAGTTGATTGTAGGGTCAATCCCTATGCTTGGTCAATACTTTTGCTGGTCAAAAGGTTGTTGGTCGCTTGCCACTCTGGTCCACACTTTGCTTTGCCCACATTGTGTTTTGTGATCACAGAGCCATGGAGATTGAGTATCGTCAGTAATCATAGCATTGGTTTGAACCATGACAAAGCTGTGTTGTGAAGTAAAAAAAAAAATAGAAATGTCTTTGCAGGTGAAATAAAAACAAAAGATACTTCAGGTTAATTTTCGATTTGATTTATATAACACTTTGTATAACAAAGTTAACCATTCCCACTAAAATCTCTATAGTGACACATTGCCTATCAGTGCTAATTCTTGGAACAGAGCTCAGTCAGGAGTTCTCTTGGCAGCAAGTTACATAGGTCTCAATAGCACCTTCATCTACTCTTTGCTGCTTTCTCTCATCTCTCTCTCTCTGCGCTGGGTTGCCTAAGCACACTGCTTATATTGACTTCAACTCAAGATTGGAGTGGGGCTGATGGTGTTTGGGAATTTGGGTTTTCTCCAGATTTCTGTATTGTTTTGAACAAGAGTTCTTTGTTGTCTGCTTCTCAGTATTAGTTATCTCTCCTGATAGTGGTTGCAGGTATCGTCCTATCCGTATAACTCATTCTTTCTCTTATTTATGCCTTGCACCATTGCTTCCAAATGAGCAAAGGTAATTTCTCCTTCTCTCTTAGCATCTCATCTAAACCAAATCTGATTTTTAAACTGAGTGAGTGAAAGAGCAGTCTTAACTTTTAGTCATTAATTGTAATTATCTTAATTTTCAACAACGAATTTTCTCAGACCCTGGTTTTGTTTATACAATCAGAGATTCACCAGCCTTTTCCTTCAACTCACTTTTAGCAAATATTTGTCTTCATCTCTTTTTTGATTAATCAAGTTTTTGAACCTTACAGATTCATTTCTTATCTCAATTTCTTCAAGCAAAAGATAAAAATCCTATTTCTCGATTTTGTTTATGTTTCCAAAATTGGTGAAGCTATTTCCATTCTTTGAAAAGCAGGCATAAATCAGTTTCACAATTCTGTCTTCATCTTTGAAATTACCAATCAGAAAAGGTTATCAAGTGGACACTTTCAAGTTGATTTTCAACAATCTCATGATAATTTTTGGAATAATTTATCACTTATTAATGGTGATACCACTATGACCCAGAGAGTCAATGAAATAGATGCACTTAGGTTCTGCACAGCCAAAGAAATTGAAAACCCAGAAGTCAGCAGAAAAAGCCAGGGTCACAGTATGTTGGAATAAAGAAGATATATTGATGACAATCTTCAGGTGAGCCAAAGAGTTAGAACTTATTGATAAAGGATCTGTAGAAAGCTTCTTTTTTGTATAACAATGTACCTGATTACAGAGCTGGCAAGACAATGGATTTTTAAAGAATTTTGGGTTTAAGTGCATAGACTATCCATACACACCTTACTCACTGTACTTTGTTCCATCTATCTCCTGTTTCCAAACCTTAAAAGGATTTTAAATGATTTGAAGGTGACACACAGACACCATGAGACCATGGATCCCAGTTGTCAACAAAGCACATGCTGGTAGTGGTTAGATAATGGTATAGGGTGTTTTCATGAGGCAAGAGGTTGGGTCTGCTGGTATCCATAAACACATTATTGACCAAAGATTGCTGTGTTACACTGCTCTGATTTATTTGCACCCATTCATAAATTCTCTGTAAACCAACTATAATGGCTTATTCCAGCAAGATAATAGATTGCATCATTGAACTCAAGTTGCCCAGAATTGGTCTAAAGTGTATTCTGGAGACTTCCAATAAATGATACAGCCATCACATTCATCCAGCATCAACCAAGCTTTTATGTGACTTGATGAAGAGGTCTAGGTAGTTCACAGAAGAGAGCCCACCCACCTACTGATACCACAGAGGATGAGCAAGCCACTTATAAAGGATTACAAAAACGCAGCAGGATTAAATCCAACTCTAGCAAGAAAGAGGAAGAACCTCATCATGCTCCTGGCAATCTGCCACATCCTTGCAGACAACAAAGAATGCCAGCTCAATTCAGAGACTTCTTCCCTCTATAAGAATAAGGCAGGGAAGAATGTGGTATGATCCGTCTCCCCCATTAATGGATCCATCCTGAACACACATATTCAGGAGAACTCTGCTGATATGCAGAGTATATTAAAACTTATTGATAAGTGATACATGTCTAGAACAAGTCTACTACAGGTACTGCCAATAATTTGCTGAAAAAAGGTCCCAAACTTGATAAAAGCAAACTTTCATCATCAAAATGTTTGTTATCATTAAAAGGAAAAGACAAAGTATTTTTTAAATTTTAAATTTTTTAATCCTTTCATCATGCTATGCTCATTTTTCAGCAATTTATTGAGATACCTAATATATCTTTATATTTTTCCGGAATATATAGTAATCATTCTTTACATGTTCAGTTCTTCACAAAAATAGACAATTTACATTTCAATGAAATCCTCTAGTATAATACTACAATTATTCCTATCTCTCTTACACTACATTTTTAAATTAAATTCTTTGCAAATTAACTTTATTTAAGTTTTATCTTTTATTATTTCATCCTATTCAGAGTAGATATTTATTTTTAATTTTAATGTCTTTGTTTTTGTTTGTCCTTGACTCTCTTGACATTATGCTGCTTCCTGATGGAATCATGTCCACTGATGATACAATGGAGATCAGTGTAAAATTACTGAATGATTCGGAAACAATCAGTAGTTGCCTTCTCACCATGAAGAGCTCCATGAAACAGGCTTCTTATCATTCCACAACAGTAAAACCAGCTGCCATTTTCAGGTTTTTTTATATTTCTTGATTTCTATTTCCTGAATTTTAATATCAACTTATCTATCTGCAGTCTTGAAACTAGTGAAGTCCAATGTATTATTATGTTCTATAGATTAAGTAAAATTAACTTTTTCATTCTTCCTTTTGTATATTTCAAAGCAGCTTACCTTTACTAGAAAGAAAGTGCCTCTAGCTATAAAAGAAAAAAAGTGGTCAGAACATTGATTTATTTATTTATTTTTTTTTTTTTTTTTGTGTACTTGTTACATTTACATTTCTAACAGTTTAGAATTCCTCTCTGGTAATAATAATAATAATAATAATAATAATAATAACCTGTTTTTTATATTTCAATTGTAATAATGATTTTACATTCTTTTTGGTCAATGTCTATGCTATAACTTTTCAAAACATCATCTGTTATCTAAAAATTTGTACATCTTACACAGTATAAAACTAATTATTATATGTAATAACTTCATTAATAATTGATGATCAATAATATCTAAAAATTATCATCAGAATATTTTCATATAACTGCTGGGATTGTTATTTTTTTCTGGTACACTTTTGATATATTTAAACCTGTTGGAAATTTAATAATAATGAATTACTCAATGCTATGCTTAAATGTTCAGAAATAACTAACCTTAAAGAATATATTTTTATAGTTCTTTAATTTTTTTCTTTTCTTTTTTTTTTTTTTTTTTTTTTTTTTTGTCATTTTTAAATTTAAGTTCAGAATTGACTGCTGCTAAATCTGCAATTCTGGAACAAGAACTACAATCAATCCAAGAACTCCTGGAGTTGGAAACAGAGAACAAATGTTAGTAATTTTCATTTTCATTTTTTTATCACATAGTTTTGAATTCCAATAGTTATTTTCATAACAAGAGTTTTAAAACATGAGATTGCTGAAATGCTACAAAATCATAATAAATGCTACAAAATCATAATAAATTTGTATATATCCTTTCTAAACATTTTATGCATAATTTATGTTATTTCACTTTATTTGACACTGCTGACATTTTTTTTAATAGAATTCTTTTAGTCAGCTTTATTGGCTAATAGATTACACAACATAAAAGTAGAATCAAAGTTTTCTACTTTATTCTAGTTACTTTTTCAAATAGCTTTTGAACAATGTACTTTAGAAAGTCAATATCATGCATATGCATTCAAATTCTACTTATGAGTAAAATAATGCACAGGTTTTAGCAAGAATCCTTTTTATTTATAAATTTGAAATTGGTTTTATTTTTTTATGAAATGAGATAAGATCTATAAAACTTGTTACACAGAATGAGAGCAATTAGGAATTAAAATTAAAAGCAGCTGTATTACAATCTCTTATCCAAAATTACGAAAACTGAAAATTTCTGAAAACAGTTTTTCATAGAGATTGTCTGCAGACCAAAGTTTGTATTTAGTACCAAAGTTTGAACTTATGTGACTATCACAGATTTCCTTAAGTTAAACGAGCTTGATGCTTTATATGCTTTGCATGCAGGTGGCCATTTGCAATGCAAAAAGTGTACAAGTCCAATCCGTATAATACTATCACTTGATGAATATTCATGTGTTCTGCATGTATTTAAGGATTCCCTTGAAGTGACAGTCAGTGTGCTATCTGCAGCTATGTTTGCTTCACAGAACCACATTGTTCACAAGAACAGTGATCCATGCTTCACCTACTATTTTATCTCGATACTTCTAGCAGTCAGATGTGCATTTTTTTTACTTAATGATATTTTTAGTCTATTGTGATTGATGCTGAAGACAATGCTCACTGTTTATTTTAGAAATAAAAATTATACTAGTAATTTTATAGACTGTCTTTAGCCACTTTATTTATCACACAAATAAACTGTACATTATTTACATTATTTGGACTATTGTCCTCATCTTTGTCGACATATTTATTACAACATTTTGGCTGTTGTACGCTCCGGCCTTCTTCAGGTGGTTGGTATGTTGAACTGAACCCTTTATTTCGCTCACTGGGGTAGACTGTTCTAGTTCCACGTGCCATGATTGATGGATGTCAGTTATCAGTTATCTCCTGTTAATTTTCCCTCTGAAGGTTCTCCACTGCCTTAGCCAGGTATTGAACTCACACCCTTTGGCTTCTGTCATTGGATCTAACCAACGCCTTTATCCACTATAAAGCACAATAGTTTGAATAATGTAAATAATGTACATAATACCTCATCTCAGAAATATAGACAAATAAACTGTAATATTATAGTTTTTATTTATCCTACTCAATTTGAATATTCATATGGTTCATTGCTGAAATATTAATGACATTAGTAAACTTCTGCGAGTCTCCTTTGTAGCATAATTAAATCATACAACCCAAATTCTCAAAGGGGACTTAGCACAGAGTTTGGGTTGTATGATTTAATTATGCTACAAAGGAGAGTTGTAGAAGTTTACTCTGTCTTCATCTTTGCTTTTACAATGGAGCTAGATAAAAGTTAATTTAAATTTTTTTGTCTTTCCTAGCATTAACGCAAAACAATAGCATCAGTGAGCAATAAAAATCTTAAAATATTTAATGATTCTATTCAGTGTGTGAAATTGTAGTGGATGGGTTAATTATGTGTTAATATTTGTTGAGAATAGGTTGCGTGTCAATTAACTATTTCCACTAACATCAAAATAAAATACAAAATTCAACTGAATTGTTTTATAACGTAACAATAGATTTATTTAGGTTGACGTACAATATGCACAAAAGGATAGGACAGAGTCGTGTCCCTTTAACTTGGAATATTTGTACTAGAGTTCATATTAAGAACAAGACATATATTAGAAACTGATAAAACATTTATATACAAGCAAAATGTTAGGTATATGTTATGTTGACAAATGTGTAGAATGTCTTTCTTGTAAGCATTCAGAAAGTTCTTAAGAAGTAATTTACCTTTCACTGTAATATTTTTAAGGTCGTTCGCACATTGGTGTTTACTTAATAGGTAGCGAATATAATTCACTTTAGATAAGCAATGTCTGAGAATTAGTGTCCACAGAATTGGTTGAGTTGAATTGTTATGAGTCATCGTTGAGGTGTTTCTTTGGCGGTAAAGTCTGGTTTCGAATGACGTGAAGTAAGTTAGCATTCTCTGTGGTGCTGTCACTGACTTGGTGGTAATTATCTTTAACGTCTGGTCAGCAATGACTAAGACGGGAGTCAGTGAAGGTCACATCTTGGCACTTGGTAACTACTCTCGTCTTCCAAAAAGTTCACACGTGTTCGGTTTATATAATGGCCAAGTGGCTCCGAGCATATGAGCGGGAAAACAGATTGGTCTCATGCAGGCGGTTTGATTGGTCAGAACTGACCAATCAGCAAGCCAGATTGGAGGTGATTGACCAATGAATACTTGTTATATTGTATGAAAGTAGAATTTGGCTTACCAGATAGGAAGACTGCATTTCCTACAAAGAGGTAAGGCTGGTTGTGTTATGGGAGATTCCACAAAATCATTTTGCTTTCACATTTATGGCAATAAAATCATAAATACTGAATTGTAATTTTCTTGTTTGATATGATTGAGTGTCTTTATTTGCAGGGGCTATTCTCACTGTTGTGCAGCTTATGAAATCTCTGGATTCTATACGATATGCTACAGAAATAAAAAATAACCTAGAGAAACTGCAGAGTATAGATCCAAAAAGGGAAAGATATTACAATGACTTTGGTAAGGATATTTTCTTTAACTAGTGCAAGAAAAATCTCATGAAAGTCAAATGTTTCTGAAAATTGTGGCATTAAAAATTCCAATGTATAATTACTTTGAACCATAGAAAGTATTTTAATCAATCATAAAGGATAAAAATAACTAAAAAAAAAAATGTACTTGTAAGTTAATATTTAATTAAAAACAACTATAGTTGATTTTGTTGATATATTAAATTCATTTGCATCATTCTTTATATTATATCAATAGTGCTTCTCAACACTTATAAAATTCATGTATGCAAATAAAAAAAAGTTTACAAAAATAAGTTAAACATATTTACTGTTTTGAAAATTTATAACATATGACTTGAAATCAACTTTGATTATATTGAAATGTTTTTATTAATTAAAGAAAAACTGAAGAAAAAGAAAAGCCCACATCAAAATCCTCTCTTATACAATATCTTATATGTCCAATTTCTGTCGTTAGGTGCACTGTATTGTTTAAAATAGAGGCACAGTGGATTAATGGGTAGCAGCTCAGATTGAGGAATCTGAGATCCAAGTTCAAATTCCAGTCGAATCCATTACATTCACTTATGTGCTAATACCCTTGGGAAAAATACGGATCCTCTTCTTTTTCCCCCAGCTATGGGTAAATAGCAGGACAGACTGGGTTCTATAGCCTTGGATGGCAACTGATCTACTACAGAAAGAAATGACAACCTACTGCACGAAAAAATCTGCCTCATCAGTCATGTATTGAAAGATACATGATCGCCTAAGCGTGTACCACGCATGGCCCATAACTGACTGTATTGTTTAAAAATATGTCATATTTCTTAATCAGCTCATAAATTAATTCAACCTCTCGTCATTTTGGGGGGATAAATTCTGTGACTTAAAAGCTATTAATGCTTATAATTCCTCCATATGATGTAACTATATTTTTTTGTAGAACATTTGTACAGATTTGTGCCTTCAGATTTTTTTCTTTGCACAATTGCTGATGTCTGAATTTCTGATATGAGTTCTTATTATTTACATTTGAACTATTTGCATTCATCTTTGTTGTTGTTATGTTACAATTATAACAACAAAGATGAGAACTATAATCTCATGGTAAATGATGTCAATAATTACAGATGTGCTTTAAATTATACTTGGAAACATTTTTGAATACTTAATTATTTTCATTGATCAATACAAAAGTGCTCTCTTGATAAGCTAATTGCTAAGTTAGTTTATTGCTGTTTATATGCCTCTGCTACAGGTAGAAGCATCAACTCTCAACTGAGGGTATGTATATAATTAACTTTGGCAAAAAAAAATAAATCACTATTTCATTACACTAAAAGGGAAAAGGCAGAGATTATTCTGTAACATTCCCAAATTGTTTTTTTTATGGGATCCTGCATTAAATATCAAAATTCAAACACTTAGTCAAGTGACAATTCAATTAAATATCTTCACTTTAAGTTAAGTTGTGATATTAATATATAGTGATTAAAATTGGGATTTTGTCACTTTTTTTAACATTGCTTTCTATGAGGATAAGTCAAAAATTATCCACACTTTTGCCATAACATATCTTTAGGTTTGTTACATTGCCTTCTGCCCATGCATGCTCATACTTGGTGTTACAGTGTAAACATGGCCACTTCACTGGCAGTGTGCACAAGGAGGAACAAAGAGCAGTAATCTTATTTTTCTGGTTGGAAGTTATGTTGGGACTAAAATTTATTGGAGGCTTTTAACACAATGCAGTGACAGTACACTACCATGTATGAGTGAATCAAAAAGTTAAAAAGCGACACACTAAGAAGGAGCAGGACACCAATCAACCTCCACCACTGACAAAAAGATTCAGCAAACTCGAGAGATAGTAATGGTGAACTGGCAAGTTATCATCAATAAGGTAAAATGTTCTCTGCAGATTCGGATCAGTGCTCTTTGTTTCACACTGCTTATGGAACGGTCTTGTTTTCACTGTAACAGCAAGAAGAAAACTGGCATGATCAAGCTCAAATTTCGATCACATGGCCAGAATAGTACCAACTATCAGCACACATGAGCAGAGGGCAGTGTGACAAACCTAAAGATCTGTTATGGCGAAAGTGTGGATAATTTTTGACTTACTCTCATAGTTTTATTGATTGAATATTTTTATCTAAAATACATGTATATGATTTATGCGATAGGCTGAAAAAATTTATGAAAATATATTCTAAACATACATATAAAATTAGCCACAATTTTAACTAATAAGTTAGAATTGCAGAAAATCAGCAACAGCAGCATCACTCATCCAGTGCCTCCATGATGTCTGAAACTGAGTCAGGAATGGAACAGTCTCAGGCATTGATCACATGGTAGGGTGGGTGATGGTCTTGGTTAGAGTTGCCGGACCTTGCATTGCCTTTTTACTTCCTCCTCTCCTCAAAAGTGGAACACATAATATGAATTGCTCTTCACCAGCTCCTTTTTCCCCAGTTGTTAGGGCTGATTCAAGTATGCCTGTCTACTAGGGTGCCTATTCAGGGGGGAAGACATCATTTGGTCTGCATGGAAAATCACACTTTTGTTAAATCAGCCAAATTTGTTCCACTCAATGTTCCTTGTATAAAGTTCTACATATTAATTAAGAATGGAAATGTTGCCATTCATCTGTTCTAAGCAGAAACTGTTTTTACATCTATTTGGTAAACACAATGTTAAATGCTGGGACTTAAAATCAAACTAATATGAAGTTAAGTAAATACAACCATGCATTCTGTTTTCTTAAGTTGATGTTTAAATCTTTCTTCTCGCTTTCTTTCACTACCTTACAAAATTTAAAAGAGGTATGTGGAGTATTTCTCCAATGTACTGTGCCTTCTCTCCTAGATGATTTTTGATCAACATTTCAATTTAGTCATCATCATATATATATATATATATATATATATATATATATATATATATATATATAGAGTTAGTAGTTACATTAACCAGAAAAAAGGCTTAGACACAAGCGTCTATCTTTTTAATTTTGAATTTTAATGTAACTATAACAGCAAAAACATTTCGATTTCATTTTTGACGAAACGTGTCGGCAAAATGTATGATTTTTTCCAATTGTCATTTGATACCAATCTGTCTTGTCCACAGAATTCATCTGGGAATTTAACTATATTGTCGACATGGAAAAAAAAAAAATAATAATAATCCCTTACTATAAAGGTAATTTACATTAACCAGAAAAAAGGCTTAGACACCAGCGTCTATCTTTTTAATTTTTAATTTTAATGAAACTATAACAGCAAAAACATTTTGATTTCATTTTTGCCTTGAAAAAGTCGGAAGACGAAACACGTCGGCAAAATGTATGATTTTTTCAATTGTCATTTGATACCATATATATATATATATATATATATATATATATATATATATACACCACCTGTATACATACATATGTCATATCCAAAACTGCCCACATATGTTTATATATGTATGAGTCCCGACGGACAACCAAGTATGTATATGTGTTTGCATACATCGATGTTTGCATTAGTACGATGACAAAATGACAAAGTTTCCCCCACCACTTCCACAATAACACCAATACACGCAATCTACATAAACACAAAATTTTAAAAAATTAATCAGTTTGTCTGACGATCGCTAAAGCATGAAACCCAGGGTCACAAACTCACATCTATCCAACCAAATATATATATATATATATATATATATATATGTGTGTGTGTTTTATTACTTCAAATGTTATTGGATACTTGTATTTGAAATAGACGCCCCATTTTTTATTTTTACTTATTTTAATATTTTTAGTTTATTGCACCAGAAAGAGTTGATTTTAAAGCAATCTTAAGTTATTTTAAATAACTTACATATATTAGGAAAATATTTTTGTTGGAAAAACTAAAGAGAATATATAGCTGGCTGCTCATTTTTCAAGTATGCCTGTCTGCTAGGGTGCCTATTCAGGCACATTTGATTTTATTCAACACCCACACAGCCAACCTGTGGTTTATGCTGCAACTGTTAAGCAGACCTTAAATACACTCTCTGAAAGTGTATAATTTGGCATGATCGACAGGCCAATACACTCAAGCTCTCATGACTTGACTTCATGATAGCACAACAATTAAAGGTTTTGTTTAGCCAATTTCACTCACAAAACTTGAGTCAACCTGTGGTATAGCTTTCAGGCACACGGGCATCATCTCCCGGAGCTGATATCAAGAATTTCAATTCCTTAACAAATTGACCATGGTAAGATTCAAGCCAAGGTTTCTATGTCAGAAAATTAATGTTCTAGCCACTTAACCATGCACCCACTCTATGATGCAATATAAAATAAAAAAATACATTTGTAAAAAATGTAAACATATTAGATTTTCATTATCAGTGTTTTTTAGCATCTCTCAAAACTACTTTTGTAGAATGTGGTATTCCACCAAAATTCCTAAAAAATAATTTGCAATATTATTTGAGTGTTTAATGAGAATGTCATTGAGTGATGCATATTGAGAACTGATCATTATTTTACTTTATGCTTTTATTTTCAGGAAGTAAAATTGTTATTGAGAATCAGATCAAAACTATGGACCCACTTGAATCAATGCTACAATTGAACAACTTATCCCTGACAGCTGCATATCATATGGAGTATTTGCTAATATTACAGGACCTGGATGTCTCGCACAATCATATCACAAACGTCAAAAACTTTGCTTATTTGCAGTGTCTGGAGGTGCTCAACCTTGACGATAACCAACTTGATAATGTGGATGGCTTGGAGTTCCTTCCAAGCATTGTTTCCATTTCTCTCAGACGAAACTGTATCCTTTTACTTCTAAATTGTTCATATTCTATTATTTAAAGTAAAAAAATGATTAAATACCATAATTTCCAATACACCTTTTTTTTCTAAAAGCATAATAAGCAAAATTAGAGGTGTGCATTATGCACATCTACAAAAAAAAAATCTTCAAAAAATTGCCATTTCATAGGTCGATTTCAGTTGTGAAATGACTACTAACCACAAACATACAATTTGACATTAACATTCAGTGATTGCAAACCCATAACGATGTCAAATACAATCATATGTACCTAACAATACTTACAATTGTAAAATAAAATAAGAATTATCATAAAACTAAATTAGAATAATATTATTCTATGTTTAAAAACATTTTTTGTGAAAAACTACATAAATATCCGGTAGATTTCACATTCTATCGAACAAAAACAGTTTAATGAGTCTGCGCAGTAGGCACAATATAGGTATTTCCGTTTCCTTTAGAATCGTGATGATCAGAAATGATAAATATCTTCAATTACAGCTTAAATAAGAGTAGGAAATGCTGACCATAATGAAATTGGAGAGGTACAATTTATAGGGTTTGATTACCAAACAAGGGGTGAGTATTATGTTTGAGTCGAAGCATTTTTCCACAATTTATGGGGTGCATATTATGCATGAAGGCGTATTATACATGGGGAATTACAGTATTCATAAGAAAGTATTTAGGCTGTGTGTGTTAAAATATACCTTACCAGTAAATTTGATCAAGGGCTGTTGGAAGAAAACCATAAAAAATGATTTTGGTAAAAGTAAAAATGTACAATCTACCAGATTAAAAATGTAATGGTCAGGGTACAATTTACCTGCAGAAAATTTGCATATTGTAGACGTTCGACGACTAAATCATTAAAAAACCCGGAATTTGTGTCCGAAAAATAGTGTCGCCTAAGTTGAAGTAAAAATAAAGAAAACATGAAACCAAAGACAAACCCATCAATCAATGTTCATACCATTAATGGACAGTTATTGCTGAACTACCTACTCATCAACACAAAAGCTCTTGGCAGCAAAAAACACCTTTAAGCACACTTTTCAAAGTGTCCCAAAAATAGTGTCAGCCCTCTGTATAGATGGGTCATCTCAACATGACTTTACAGCAAACATCTTTAATTTACTATCAATTCTGCATATTTACTGAGACTGATTGACATATTAACCATAAATAAGTGAGAATTTAATAGTTAACTTTTCTGTAAAAGAATGAGGTAGAATCAGTGTTAACATTGTCCTTTGACTTTTTACCTGGATTCAACCTGCCAACAAGGATAATACTTTGGGTTGCAGATTCTCTGTTATAACCAGTAACATCTGAAAAACAGGAATAGTAATAAAATTAAAATATTAATTTACCTTAATCCTAAATATCTGTTAATAATACCAATTGACTTTTCTTTTCTTTTTTTTTACATCTTTGTGTTTAAAGTCACACTGAATCTAAAACTAGTGTTTATTGAAGTTTTCATGGAATTATTAATAGAAAATTTTTGTTTTGTTTTTTAAATTGTATGTGCAAAAGTAAGATCAACATGGTTAAACTTGTCATAGGAATGATTTTAGCAAACTTGTATTGATTTTTCATTTTTTTTTTCCTTATCTCTAATTTTCAGTCCTAGCAAACTTGGAAGTTTTGAGGCCCCTACAACGGTGCAAAACTCTAGTGATGCTCTGCCTGGATGGCAACCCTCTGTCCTATGAACCTGACTATCGAAATGAGCTCAAGCAAATGCTACCTCAGCTAAAGATAATTGATGCTATCAGCATGACTTGAAGCTTGGGATTCACTCTTCTAAATTGTTGAGCAGTTCTGTGATTCAATGTCTCTGTTGTGGGGCACAGAAAATGTGTTGTCTGCAATCAAAGTCAATTCTGTTAAACACATCATTTCTGTCCCTAGGCTTTCTTGTGATCTATTATTTTGAATCTACTACTATTAATAATAATAATGATAATAACATTTAAATTATTGAGTTAAGGCTTACTGAGGGTCTTGACAGACAGGCTTCAATTATAACCATAAATTGATTATAATATGTATATTATATAGATTATTATATACATATTATAAATAGATGTGTGTGTGTGTGTGTGTGTGTGTGTGTGTGTGTGTGTGTGTATATATATATATATATAGGTAAATATCTGTGGTAAGTAATCCAAGTGAATCCTCGTAATATAAAATAATAAACTGATCCCCAGAAGATATATTTATTATAGAGCATATATGAATTACAAATAGATAAGATTAAATACCCCATATGAAATATGGCTATTTCACCTAGAATGGACTTGTCAACACCAGGAGTTATCTAACTCCTTGGTGTTGACAAGCTCATTCTGGGCCAAATGGCCATATATCATATGGGGTATTGAATTTTAACTACTTGTAATTTTATATATATATATATATATATATATATATATATATATATATATATATATATATATATATATATATATATATATTATTGTTATGGTGGATACTTCATATTTGAAATAGATGCCCTGTTTAATAAATAAAAATGAAGTGTCTATTTCAAATATGACAGTATCCACTATAATAATGTTTGAAGTAATAAAAATGTCCAATTAGAAAGTTTTTTAAAAATACATTAATTCTTATATATATGTGGATGGAGAACTTTTCAACACCTTGTGAGTGAATGCATTAGAGAAAGACACACATATGTTAAATATATTAAAAACATCCCTACTATGCACATCACATATATAAAATGTATATGTATTGTATATTATTTTGCATATATAATATGTTTTATTATATGAAAAGAAAACTTGTCCATGAGAACATTTGAAAACACATTGGATGAAAGTAAATCTGAAATATATACATTTGTATATATTCTGTATTTGATTAACAACCAAGAAAATGATATTGATATATTAACAAAATTAACTGCCTCTTCTTTTTTTGTTGATAAAATATTAACTACAAGCATGTTTTACTGAATTACATTTTATCTGTTATATATTATTGTAAATAATATATACTGCATATATAATGACTTATGTAAATAAGTGTTATGCTCTGTGTTTTTATATGTGATGGTATGTGTGTAATTTTAAGCACTTTTTGAAAATTTATTGAAAGTTTTAAAACATCACAAAGAGCTTCTTTTTTTTTTTTTTTTTTTTTTTTTTTTATTCTTTCAGCTTTGCTTCTTCTGGAATGCCACATATGTTTGTCTGCCTATCGAGTATACAAATGTCTATCATTCCCAAGAATTTCCCCTAATTAGATCAAAGTCTGATTATGTAAGAAAAACAACTCGCATCTTAACATTGTCTCTTTTTGTTTTATTAAAAACAAAATAAATTAAAAAAAAAACCAAAAAACTATGTTGTTCATTGAGTGTTTCACTTGGATGTAAAATTTGATTTGCAATATTCCAATTAGGTGATTGAAGTATGAAAAAATTTTATTACAACATTTTGTGATAATATTTTTTAAATTGTTGATAAAAATATGAATTTCAAATGAAGATGAATATGTCTTAATTTTAAATAAAAATTTAAAGAAAGAAAGGAGAAAAAAAAAACCTCTTTACAATGTTTCTTACAGAGTTAGTAAACCTATACTTGTCTTCTTGCCTAAACAAAAATAATTTTTACTCATAATATAATTCTAGAATTTGTCAATCAGATTTGCTTTCTCTATATTTATGTCTTCAGGGGAAAGAAAAATTGTAATGCTGAAAACTAAAAATAACCGCATGTATATGTCGGACTCGATATCAATATGATTAATGTGACTAAAATGTTTATTTTAGCATTTCTGTATTGTCCTCTTATCACTGTGGACAAGATTAAATGTATTCTTGCCCACATTTTTACTGATAAATTACTTGTTGAAAAAGCATAGTGGTAAAATTAATGAAATTCATTAATTGGTCTTTGGACAGTCTGCATCAAGGGATCACTTCTTATGTATATTTGATTGTCAATTCATTTTCACATTTCATCCATTTCAGGTTCTGGACTATGTAATTTTGTTTGCATCAAAATAACTGGAAAAAAAAAAATAAACAAGAAGCCTAATTATAAATATTTGAAATATTATTTTACTTGTCATTGTAATCTGAATGAGTCTTCAGTATGTCTATTCTTAAAAGTATACTAAACATCAATAAAAAGATATTTTTTTTTTTTTTTTTTTTTTTACTCCATTTCACTAGTCTGCTGTTACTTCCATATTTTTGACAAACTTTGATCTTTGTACCTGCAAAAATATGAAGTGTCAAAAGGTCAGTTTTTTTTTCTCATTGACACCACTATCATGTTAACTTTCTCCCATTCTCAGTAATGTTTATTGTTTTAAACATTGATGGTTAGAATTGTAATCTTATTATAAAATGCAGATTGTGTGTGTGTGTCTGTACATTTATATATTGGTTCGGATTTCATGCATTTTTCAATCGATTTCAACAAAACTTCACAAGACTATGTAAAATTACCTTGCGGTGGTTCTGACGGCGCCAAAAATTGGAAAAATACAATTGTTTTTGCATGAAATCAACTTGAAAACACGATTCTGTCGCCAGAATGAAAGGGGGACAACTCATATCGAGTTATACTTATAAAACCCAGGTTGTGTGTGTTCGTTTATATATGGGATCAGATTTCCTACATTTTTCAACAAAACTTTTTTTTGGCAGGTAGTGTTTCTTATTGTCTCACATACTTTTTTCTTTATTTTTAAATTCAGAATGCTTTAAAAATTTCGTTTACAAGACAATTGTTTATAATAAAATTCAATTAATCGGTAGACTCATAACAATTGAAAACAATTTGACCAATTCGTAAAAAAAAAAAAAAACAAAACAAAAGAAAAAAACTAATTAAGACATGCATGTACGTCAACCTTAAACAATAATCTTTGTCAACCTTAAACAATAATCTTTGTCAATTTTATTTTTCAGTCTTTATGATGGTCGATACTTGATCTATCTCTTACTGTTACATCCCCGGGCAATGCCGGGCTCTACTGCTAGTAAAAACTAAAACATTGAAAGAGAATTTATATATTTTTTTGTTTTTGAGAAATTATAACAAAAATAAACACTCTTTCCAATTCTAATCATCACTTTTTAAAGTAACAAACAGCTGAGGAGTAAAGATAGTTAAAATATTACTAATGTCAATAGAAAAACTAATCCATTTCACACTCCGTTTGGGGGTGGGGGCAATGTCTGATTTTGCCATATACTTTTTTTTTTTTTTTAATCTGTTTAAATACTAATTCTTCCTAGGGAGATGCCATATCACTTTTACAGAGTCAAATCATCCTTATTTCATCTGTGTTCCTAATGTAAGGACAGCATTCCAATCAAATAGCTTCCCTCCCCCACAAAGAACTGCCAGTTTATGGAACAAACAAATATATGGTTGTTTCCTTGAACATTTCAATCTTGACATTTTCAAGTCAAAGACCAATTATCAACTTTTCTCCTTAACCTCTTGTAGTTTAAATGAGGTACATCAGCTGGTGCAGTAGCAGGCGAGTGATTATCTTTAGGCGTAATGTTATACCATTAGACCACCTCCAGGATAAAGCACTACTTTCTAGCGACAATGGTTTTGATGCTTCGGTGACTTCTTTCTACTATACCATGTCCGGCAGGTGCATTGGCACATCAGAACTGCAAACGTACACGCCAATTACTCAAAAACTTCTTGAAATGTTTGCATGTGAATGTTGTGAAATTGTCGGTCAATATCTCGAGTGGTGGACTCCCTTTGTAAAAAATTGCCTCTAACTGACGAACTAGTAGAATTTTGTTGACGTAGTGGTTGCCATATCACGAACTGAAAGGGTCCACAATCAATAATTGTCAGAAAGTGCTTACCACCATGATGGGTGATGTCCATTGCTTACCTATTCCAGTTGTCCCTCACATTCAGTTTTCCTTTTTGGCAGAGCCAGGTCAATGGTTTGGCATGCCTCACATTCCCTGACAACCGCTTTTACAACTTCTGACGATACTGAAGGGTCTATCAACCTAACAAAGTAAAACGTCCTTTTCATGCCCTTTGCCAGTGAATATTAGCCACTTGATGTGCATCTAACTTGGTCTTTGCAGTGGCACATACTGACTGCACTGGCTCCGTTCCCTCCTTGTGTAGATTAAACCACCACTTTGGCACTCTGGTCAGCCGGTCTGCCAGATTCATGTTGGATTTGACCAGTGTTATGTCGACCGTCAAGCCATATTCAGCTACAAGCTCGCGAAGTGTGTTCAACCGTCTCCACATTAGCATTTACCCAGACGCCTTTGTATTTATTCGAGCATTGCCAGTTAAGGTGTTCGAAATGAACTGATGAACGCATGCTGAATCAGTAAAAAGATATACTGTCAACATCTGCCATTGAAGAGCCAAATTGACACCCTTTATTGATGTGCTTAGCATCTCCAGCCGGGTGCAGCCATGACACATCCTCAATGACATTTCCATTTACCTCTAATACAACACCTGTGGCTACGGAACTCACGTCTACCCACACGTTCATCTCACGGCCACTGACACACCAGTCTCCTCCTACTGGATCGGCCTCATGTATTCTGGCTCTTATATCGGTTAACATGCAATTAATTGAGGCATCCTCAACCTCGTCATCCCATCCTGTGCTAAGGGTATTTGCTTGTCGTTTCACAAACGCAGTGGCCATTTGTAGCCAGCCGCAAATGGGAAAGTAGCCCACAAGTTTTCCACATAAGGAGAACACGTGATGAGTTATCCTCATAGGGATATTGGGGATCTCTCCACCTCACCTCGATTGGAGAGTACAATTGTCACTCCAGACCTGCAAGACCAACACCTTAGTTCTGTCTTCTAATCTTGTCGGTTATTTGCATACTAGTCCATACTTGGACAGGAGGTCTTTCACATGTGTGACAAGAATCAGACTTTCGTCAATATATGCCGCTGTGGCATTCACAATGGCTTCATCTTATGACAATGCTACGTCAATTAAAGCTTTTATAATGGAAGGTGCCACATTTAAACCGAAACCCAGTCAGGTGAGGCAGTATCTTTGACCCTTCAGTATGACAGTTTGATAGGGCCACAGCGCCTTCTCAACATGTATCTGCAGATATGCCCTCCGTAAGTCCAATAAAGATACATTGGCCCCCGCCATCATCACCATTCTCGCAATATGTGCACAAACCTCTGAGTTAGCAGTATATGGTCCCAAAAAACCATTCAACTCGCAGTAATCCAGTACTGGATGGTCCTTCTGCTTGCTCTCTTGAATCACTGCCGTTCATGGGATTAGACACTTTAATGAACCAAGTTCAGGGTATGGTCGCAGCCATCCATTATCCAGCCACGACTGAAGCTCCCTTTAATATTCATCCCGTGTATAGTCGGGTACTGAATATTCTGCCACTCTATTCTTCAGGGTTATAGGCGATATCCATTCGTCCACTTCCATGAGGCTGTTCATGCTTTGTTACGACAATCGAACTCTGCACTAAAGTCGGGTTCAATGATGGAAATAGCAGCACATTAGGGCTTACTTTCTTCAGAAAATTGAACTACTCCTGAGGAATTGATGTGCACCACTCCTAATTTGCTGAGTGCATCAATCCCAAGAAGAAGATCAAACCCAAGTAGTGGTCTGTCCACAAATAGGGCATCAATGTACACGGGTTGAGCATGACTAACATTCAACGTAATATTGCCCTGTCCACGGCATTTTAGTACCTTACTGTCAGCAGTTAGGACTTCCGTCTTCATTGGTTGCCAATTGCAACATGCGCATTTGCTCACCAACATCTGTGACCAACCAGAATCACCCATGACCATGTACTTCTTTCCGTCTACGGCCACCTGACATCTGTTCCCTGGATCCATTTCCCTGGCACTCTGAGGAAATGTGCCCGACCTTGTTGCACCGAAAACACCATATCTCGCAGCGAGATCTTCAGGTCCGAGTAGCCTTGCCTGCAATCCTTTGCCAGATGGTTGGGACCAAAACACTTAAAGCGCACAATACCGCCCGTCCATGTTGTAACGTCATTATTCGTCTGTTGAGCTGCTGCGGCAACTGGCTCATCCAGCCCTTTGCTATTGGTCATAACGGCCCAAGTCAGGATCTGGTCCAACGTCATAGTGTCCATTCTGGATGATGCATGGAAAAGTTGCTTGACTTGTTGCGGCAGTCCAAAAACAAAGGCGCACGTCATCCATCGTTCAGGCAGTTGGCCACCAACCAACAAAGCTAGCTGTTTC